ATGGCCACATCTGAACCAGCAGTCTGTTCAGAAATGAGAGAAATGACCAGGCACATTCTCTTCATCTGCACAGCGCTAATGAGAACTGGACCAGAACACTGAGTCTGGCATAATAAGTCCTCATAAAGCAAGTCTATTCGCAGAAACAAACACACTGACAGGTTTTCCTATCATCATGAGGACATCATGTCCTCACAAAGGGCTAAATACCAATAAAAGAGAATAGTTGTGAAGATTGTGAGCAGAGATACACACACACATACACACACATTTATATACACACACAAACACACATAAATTCCTAAACACATTTACTTACATACGCAAACACATACAGACAAACACATTCATACACATACACACATATACACACACACCTACAAACACACTTATGCACACATGTCACACACACACACAAATACTGACAAAACACACATATGCATGCACATAATACACATAACATACAAAACACACATACATACACACACACCAAGCATACACATACAAAACACACACACAAACAAAACACACATAATCACTTGTATATACACATAGACACACATACACCCCTACACACACTTACATACACAAATACATACCTACACACACCTATCATACACCTATCTAGACACACACACACACACAAACAAAACACACATAATCACTTATACATACACACAGACACACATACACCCCTACACACACATTTACACAAATACATACCTACACACACCTATGACACACTAATCTAGACACACACACAACACACACTCAGACAGAAACACAAACACATACTAAACATGCACACATCCACACACATAAAACATACACTAAACACACACACACACACACAAAGAAAACAAATGCACACACAGAAAAGCTGTGCACACACGCTTGTTTCTTCAGAGCAGACTCAGAGAGAAACAAGCCGATGCCTGTTTACATACCTCACCTACTCTCTGTGTGTGTGTGCGTATGTGTGTGTGTGTGTGTGTGTGTGTGTGTGTGTGATGATAGGGAAGGGCAGGGAAGAACGTTTGCCTTGCAGGCACAAAAACAAGCACACACACAGAGGTGTTCAGTGGGTGATGAGACATTTTTTGAACTATTTATATTCAGAAAGATTCAAAATGCAAATTTAACATTTATACGTTTATATTTGCAGATTGTTACAGTAATTGAACAAAAAAAAATGCTCCCCACTGGAAAAAAAGATTTCATGAACACTGAAACTTAAAACTTGAGCGAACTCTAAAATGACCGTGGTTATCTAGGCTACCTGAGTCTTGAAACTGTGTTATAACACTTTATAAGTGACTGGGGTCTCATAAAGTGGCCTGTCAGTTTAGAGTATCTGTCGGCCACGCCCACCGTGTGATTACTTCCAGCATGATCTGCTCTGCTAGCACTATCATCGCTAATCCAATTTTCCACACTGAGTCAAGGTCACTGCCCACCACTGTTAGGATTTCCACTCCCATCATCCTTTGCACAGCACTGTGCCTTTCTGCCTGACCCTAAGCCGGACTGTGTAAATTAGATTTTTGCTGAAGTTAAAATAAACACAGCAAACGTGCAGCTCGTTGCCTTTTAAAGTTGTTCTCCTTCTACAGCTCAGCTGACGACCCATTATGGGAAAAGGGTGGTGAAAAGAACAGGCAGCTTTGAAAGCACGCATGGAGGAAACGCACCACAAGAATGGAAGCAGAAGACAATACAGCTCTGGCTCGACACAAACAAACACTGGAACGTCATTAAAGTGCCCTCAGAAACACAGCCAGAGTGCACAGGACACCCTGTACAGACAGTCAAAACTGAACAAAATCATTACAGAACGTGATGAAGCCAGTTATTACTATACCATTAATAACAACAACCATTTATGACTGCACAGTAGTTTACAACCAATTATCACTACACCATTGTACACAACAAACTTACTATAACATTGTACACAACAAATACTACACCACTGACATTGGTCAATTATTACTACTCCACTGACATTGGTCAATTATTACTACTCCACTGACATTGGTCAATTATTACTACTCCACTGACATTGGTCAATTATTACTACACCACTGACATCGGTCAATTATTACTACACCGCTGACATTGGTCAATTGTTACTACTCACTGACATCGGTCAATTATTACTACTCCACTGACATTGGTCAATTATTACTACTCCACTGACATTGGTCAATTATTACTACTCCACTGACATTGGTCAATTATTACTACACCACTGACATCGGTCAATTATTACTACACCGCTGACATTGGTCAATTGTTACTACTCCACTGACATTGGTCAATTATTACTACTCCACTGACATTGGTCAATTATTACTACACCACTGACATCAGGCAATTATTACTACTCCACTGACATTGGTCAATTATTACTACTTCACTGACATTGGTCAATTATTACTATACCACTGACATCAGTCAGTTATTACTACACCGCTGACATTGGTCAATTATTACTACTCCACTGACATTGGTCAATTATTACTACACCACTGACATCGGTCAATTATTACTACACCGCTGACATTGGTCAATTATTACTACTCCACTGACATTGGTCAATTATTACTACACCACTGACATCGGTCAATTATTACTACACCGCTGACATTGGTCAATTATTACTACTTCACTGACATTGGTCAATTATTACTACACCACTGACATCGGTCAATTATTACTACACCATTGACATCAACAGTCAATTATTACTACACCACTGACATCGGTCAATTATTACTACACCGCTGACAACAACAGTCAATTATTAACACACGACTGACGTCAGTCAGTTATTACTACTCTACTGAAAACAAAGTCAATCATTACTACACTACTGACATCAGTCAGTTATTACTACACCACTGACATCAGTCAGTTATTACTACTTTACTGAAAACAAAGTCAATCATTAACACACGACTGACATCAGTCAGTTATAACTACTCTACTGAAAACAAAGTCAATCATTACTACACTACTGACATCAGTCAGTTATTACTACTCCACTGACATCAGTCAGTTATTACTACACCACTGACATCGGTCAATTTTTAACACACCACTGACAACAAGTCAATTATTACTACATCACTGACATTGGTCAATTATTAATACACCACTGACATCAGTCAGTTATTACTACACCACTGACATTGGTCAATTATTAATACACCACTGACATCAGTCAGTTATTACTACACCACTGACAACAACAGTCAATTATTAATACACTACTGACATCAATCAGTTATTACTACACCACTGACAACAAGTCAATTATTACTACATCACTGACATTGGTCAATTATTAATACACCACTGACATCAGTCAGTTATTACTACACCACTGACATTGGTCAATTATTAATACACCACTGACATCAGTCAGTTATTACTACACCACTGACAACAACAGTCAATTATTAATACACTACTGACATCAATCAGTTATTACTACACCACTGACAACAAGTCAATTATTACTACATCACTGACATTGGTCAATTATTAATACACCACTGACATCAATCAGTTATTACTACACCACTGACAACAACAGTCAATTATTACTACACTACTGACATCAGTCAATTATTACTACACCACTGACATCGATCAATTATTACTACACTAGTCAATTATAAATACACCACTGACAGCAGTCAATTATTAACACACCACTGACAACGGTGAATTATTACTACACCACTGACAGCGGTGAATTATTACTTCAACACTGATGTCGGTCAATTATTACTATACCACTGACAGTGGTCAATTATAACTATACCACTGACATTGGTCAATTATTACTACACCACTGGCATCAATTGTCAATTATTACTACACAGTTGACAACAATAGCCAATTATTGCTACACCGTTAACATTAAGTCAATAATTACTACACTACTGACAACAACAGTCCGTTTTTACTACACTATAGACAACAATATTTAATTATTATTACACCATTGACAACAACAGTGAATTATTACTACACCATGGGCAACAGTCAATTATTACTACACCATGGACAACGGTCAATTACTACTACACCTTTGACAACAACAGCCAATCATTACCACACTATTGACAACAACAGTCAGTTATTACTACACCATTAACAGTCAATTATTACTACATCATTGACAACAACGGTCAATTAGTACTGCACTATTGACAACAACAGTCAATTATTACTACAACACTTAAATATTACTATGCCATTGACATCAACAGTCAGTTATTATTACACTATTGACAACAACAGTCGATCATTACTACACCATTGACATCAACAGTCAATTATTACCACACCACTGACAACAAGTCAATTATTACTATGGCACTTCAATGTTACTACAGTTGACAAGTTGGTTATTACTACACCATTGACAACCATCAATTATTACTACACCATTGACATCAATTACTACTATACCATTTATAACACCAGTCAGTTATTACTACATCAGTGAATTATTACTACATTGTTGACAACAACAACCAGTTTTTCCTGCACCATTGACAACAAAAGTTGATTATGGCTATAACTTTGACAATCATCAATTATTTCTACACTATTGATAAAAAAAAAACAATTATCCCTACACAATTGACATCAATTACTACTGCACCATTCAGTTATTACTATATCAGTCAATTATCACTACATTGTTGACAACAACAACCAATTTTTCCTGTACCATTGACAACAAAGGTTGATTATGGCTATAACTTCGACAATCACACTACACTACTTCTACACTATTGATAACAAAAAACAGTTACTACTACACCATTGACAACAACAGTTGCCTGTTATAACACCATTGACAGCAATGGTCAGTCACACCTCATGGTGCTCTTTATGGTGTTGTCCTGCGCTGTCTGATCTAGACTGGATGTCTTGATCTAATGTGAGCTTGTGTTTGTTTTCTTTCTCTAAAAACTCACCTGAAGTGTCCAGGCTGAGCAGGAGTGGCAGGAGTTGCAGGAGAGCTCGGTACACACACATCCCGTTGGTGTTGGAGAGGTTTTGTGTGTGTGAGAGAGAGCCTCCAGTCTGGGGTACTGGACACAAGCTCCTCCTGCAGGACTTCCCCCACCTGTGCTGGAGCTAAGCCCCACCTCCTGGCCTGGGATTGGCTACTGGACACTGCTAGTGAATTAACTACTCCTTCTTATTTTTCACTAATGTTAGTCCAGGAGGCAGGACACCACTGACCAATCATAGTAAAGAAGGAAAGAGAACAAAACTGGCCCCTCATTTAAACTGGAAGAGATAAATACAGGAACAAATATCAGAACTTTACACAATGATAGAGTTTTACATTAGTTTTCTATACTTGATTTTAAACACATTCGACTTCATCTAGACTTACACTTTTGTAAACATGAAAACTTCAAACAGCAATATCAATATAATTCTAGAACAAAACATTCATAATTCAGTATTACATATATAATATATATATTAGTAATAACATAGAATTATTTATATTACACCAGCAAAAATACATATGAAAAAATAAGGATAAATTCAGAAAATAATGTAAAATTACAATTTTGATATAACAACATCAATAATAATAATAACAATATGTGGAGTTGTAGAGATTTAGTACAATATTTACTTAAAATCTTATTAACAAAGTATTAAATATATAAGATGTAGAGTATATACATGCATATATATACATATATAGTTTAAATAATACCATGATTTAAGTTAATAAAGGACTGATTGTTTAAATTAGACCATTTCAATTATTGGATGGTATATACTTTATTTGATATATATTATGTATATATTAGAAGTAAATTAATATTATTTGGAAAGTACAATAAACATCACAACACAATGATATAAAAATGGTCGAAAAAAAATGAATATTAAAAATTCCAAAAAAATACATATGAAAATAATACCTTCTTTTTTTAAAAATATACTTCAAAAAGCCATGAAATGTCTCCACCTGATGGCGCTAGAGGGCTGTTTTGTGGCCAACAAGCCAAACAGGTCAAACCATTCACTCTTACAGATGTTTTTCTCAAAGATAACTCTTAAGGCCTATATGTACTAAAAACATTAACAGAAAAAGAAAAATCCTACATGCAATATCTAAACATAAACAAAACCCACTGAAAAGACTCTCAAACAAGGGTTTTCAACTTAAAGCTTTAACTGTAGTAAGTCTTTCATTATGGACGTTCAGCATCTTCTGATGATGAAGCCTTACAGCTCTTAAAAAGTGTAAGCTCAAACTTTGGTGAGTTTAAAAAATAAATAAATAAATAAATAAATAAATAAAACTGTTACAAGACAATTGAATTGCAACTGAAAGTCTGAGCAAAACCTCTGAAAGGCTTGGCTTCCTATAGCGGTGAAGCAGGAAGAGAGAGAGAGAGAGAGAGAGAGAGAGAGAGAGAGAGAGAGAGAGGGAGAGAGAGAGAACAGAAGAGGTAGTGAAGAGAGCAGACGAGAAGTCAAGAACCTGAAATTTCCTCCAAAAGGTTGCTGAGTGGTGTGGATGTTCTGAAGTGAATTTGACGCTGGGGAGAAGAACGTGGTCCTGAAGAAGAACAGAAAGAGGGAAAATGAACGGACGAGAGCTCATCTGCCTGCTTGTGCTCTTCGCAGTTGCTGTACATGCTGAAGATCCAGAGTTTGGTAAAGAAATTTCTTATCTTCTGTTGGACTGTCTAGCCCAGGTTCATCATCAGTTATTCTTAAAGGGTAATTTCACCAATTTTCAAAAAAGGTTTGCCTAATTCGGTGTTTGAAATGTAAACAGAGAGATTCAGAGTGGTTTGTTTATATGGAATGTTGATGATGGAAAATTGTGGAAAATCTGAAATAATAAGTTTTCTTTGGGGACTATTTTGTCTCATAGCACCCTGCATGTATCCCTCCACCATGAATTGTATTAAAATACATTTAAAGCCAAAACTTTATCACAAAAAGTATCATAAAACAATGAATTCATCACCATTTCATGTAGTAACTTTCTGTGAGGGAGCTTTTAGAGGTGGACGTCTGGTTCCTATCACCACCACTGTGAACAGTTCTGATGTGTTAATTTTCTCTAGAACAGACTTAAAGCAGTGGAATTTCTCAAATTTTCCAACTTGGAATATTTACAATAGTTGATAGTGTTTTTATCTGTCTATTTATTTATTTATTTATTTATTTATTGTCAAATCAACCAAAATAGCCTCAGAGCGGGTACAGCAACAAAGACACAACAAAGACAAGTCCTCTGCTGACGCACTTTAAAAAAAATGCTCACAAATTTTTGGAAAAAAAGAGGCAATTTGCTCCCAAATTGAAGATAATATAGTAATTTTGCTCTGATCTGCTTTTGCTGAGTGAAATCTTTATAAAGATGTCTGTATAAGAGTCAGTACTGCCGTTAGCTTTGAGCCACATGGGGAGTGAAAGACCTGCAGTAATCAGAGAAACGCTGCACTCTCTAAAACTGCTGTAAACTAATGTTGATCCTCACTGACACAGATACAAGAAACCTGGAAATCTCTGGTACTAAGTCACCCTGATCTGTCCAGAAGACCCTGAGAGTTGGAAAAAAGATGAGAAAGATGCAGAAGGGACAGAAGAAAATAAATTAATCATACATGGCTACAAAGATAAGGACAATGGATTTTATGAGTGCACCTCAACGTCCAAAAATAAATACTATTTCTACACCAAGCTAAAGGGTAAGTATCTATTAACATTGTTTTTCCAATGAATCACTGAATCAGGTTCTTGTTCAGTTGAAAGATGCGAATGTTGATGTTTCTAATTCTTCCACTTTTGTGAGAACTGTGCGGGTGTGTAATGAAAGTATTCAAGCGTTATTTGGACTTCAGGTCATGTGGTTCTGAAGAAAAAAGCCTACTAGGGATGGATGATACCACTGACTCACATGTCAATCTGATACTGAGAAATCCAAATACCCACTGTAAAAAAGTAGCTCATCTGATCTACTTAAAAAATTACTTCACGCGGTAACAAGTAAATGAACTAGTTTTATTCAACCTAAATAAGTACTTTGAATGAACGATTCTTTCAATCAGTTGTCAACACATGCCTTGATATGGAATGTTGATGATGGTAAAATAGTGGAAAATCAGAAATAATAAGCTTCCTCTGGGGACTATTTTGCCTCACAGCACCCTGCATGTATCCCTCCACCATCAATTGATGTTTAAAAAGGCCAAAATCTTCTCAAAACTATTATTATACAGTGTTTTAGTCATCAGGCAGTGAATTCATAACCATTTCATGTAGTAACTTTCTGTGAGGGAGCTTTTAGAGGTGGACATCTGGTTCCTATCACCACCACTGTGAACAATTCTGACTCTTATTGAATAAAGACATAAATAGACAATGATCTAAAAAAAGCTGAAATTTCATAGATATTTTTGTTTGTATCCCAAACTACCATTTTATACAAAAAAAACACATGAATAGGATCAACTTTTTGTTAATTTTCTAACTTGTTAAATAACTCAAAACATCTTTTCCAGAGACGTCATTCAAATAAGACATTTTTCTGCTATTTTTGCTGAACAATTTCTATTTATTTAGTTTAACAATTTAAAAAAGATAAGGCATAAAAAATAAAATTTGCCGTAACAGATAAACAGTAATTATGCATTAAAACACACTTATTCACACAAAACACTGAATTTGACTGGGGGTGCCAAAACCTTCGCACATGGCTGTACTTCACATGTCCATCCCCTTTTATTGCTACTCTGACAAAACAAATCAAAAATGAGCGTTTCCATAGCGATGTGATTCGCAATCAGAAACTATTGCAGTGCATCTAACAATAAAGGCAGCATTGAGCTTCTTTTATACAGTGATAGGAAACACTGAGGGCTCCAGTTCCACATGCTGATACATTTTACTGACCACTGTGGACATACACGCTGACCAGCTACTCAGTTAAAGGAGACAAAAAGACACATTCGGAATTAATCGCTAGCAAGACGCTCAGTTTGACAGCATTAGCTAAACTGTCTCAGCTGGAATGGGCCTATTCATTAAATGGTATTTATCATTTTATTCCAGAAATAATGAACGTTAAATACGTTATCATGTTTTTAATTATCAGATACATATTCAGTTTTATTCAAAATATAGTAAAATTAAGGAACACCAGCGTTAGTTGGCATAGTTATCACTCTCTGCTGTTTATCACAGACATACCATGCATTAGCATAAAAAACAGATACTTTTCATTTTTCCAGTAAAAAACATACTTTCAATTATTTCAATATTTCCTGGAGTTAGTGCAAGTGTGTCGGGTTGGTTGGCTCACAGTGAAAAAGCTATAATCTTAAAAAAAAAATGAAGCTCAGAGCTCTTAACTTAAGTAAAACCACAAATATAAACATTCAGTGGAAACCAAAAACATTTTTGAATATATTTTTTCATTTTTATACATATGATATATGACATATACATATCTTGAGTTGCACTAATCATCAAATGGTCTAAAGCTTGTTGTAAAATGAATGTAAATGAAATATTTAAAAAGTGTGATAACAGCAATGCAGTATGTGTTGTGTTAGCATGCTATTTAGCGTGTGTGCAGTGTATAATATGAAAGAATTATATACAGAATTTCACATTTGCTTTATGTAGGTTAGCTAGCTTTACTTTGCCTTTCAAATAAAAAAAGATTGAACGCATCAATATCTCAGTATTGACCCCCCCCCCGCCCCGCCACACTCCTCGCACATACTCGATCAACTATGAAATGAATCAATCTTGAAAACAGAATAAAACATAACAATTAAGTATGGAGAAAGCATGAAAGCTCCTCCTCTCTCTCCTCTGTTCTTCTCTTCATTCCTCTCTCTCTCTCTCTCTCGTGGTCAGTGTGTGACGGCTGCGTGGACTTGGACATGGGATGGGCTACAACGATCGTGATTGGAGATATTTTGGTCACTCTCATGGTCATCCTTATAGTCTACCTGTGCGCTAAGAAGAAGGCCGGTCCTGCGCCTCGTCAGAGAGGTAACATACACTACAATATAGACAATCTACACGATGTTCAATATACTATATTCAATATCTATACAATAAAATATATGATATAGAGTATACATAATATATAACATACCATACACAATATATATAACCTACTAAACACAATATATAATATTCAACATACCATACACAATATATAACAAGAAAAGGAGATACAAAGTCTTTGCGTGACAGTGGTCATATGCTGTACTGACGACTGCACAACCACAACACACGTCAGTAGCAGAGATCGCTTAGAAATTGTGTTTTATATCTTACAGCAACCCCAAGCCGTCAGGCGGGCGCTCCTCCTCCTCCAAACCCCGATTACCAGGTAACTTGAAAAGCGTTTGTGTGGTTGAATATAAAAAATCTTAAACTTTAGATCATCTAGCTCAACTGTTGATGGACTATTTGTGTTAGTCATCCACGAGGCCTTCATCAGTGGTCAGTTTGTGGTCACACAGCCACTTTTGGCTGGATATTTCTGCTACTCTCAATGTAGCAGCGACGCTGACGAGTGTAAAAACTCCAGCAGCACTGCTGTGTCTGATACACACACACTACCATGTCAGGGTCACTGCTGTACTGAGAATGGCCACCTTCCATGTAATATCTGGTCCTGTGGTCAGAAACTGTCCAATGATGAACAGGGTAGAGGGCAGCTGACTAACCACACAGCAACAAACGGGCTACAATCTGTAACTGTACACATGTACTGGTGTTAAAAAATTGTTAATGACTTAATATACTTAATAGTTGCTGTTATTTTATTCAATAATAACTTTTACAGTGTATATTGAAAAGTTACACATTAAAAGGTATTTAAGATGTTTTAGTCAATATTTCCAGTTTGAGATATCAAGAAGTTATTAAATGATAATGATTTACTGTTATTACGGATATGGAAGCACAAAGTAGATGTTTCTAATAAACTGGCCAGTTTGTGGAACCCCAAGGTAGGAGTTTCTAATAAAGTGGCCAGTTAGTGGAACTCCAAGGTAGGTGTTTCTAATAAAGTGGCCAGTTAGTGGAAGCACAAGATGGGTGTTTCTAATAAAGTGGCCAGTTACTGGAAGAAGACGGCTGGTGTTTCTAATAAAGTGACCATTTAGTGGAAGCCCAAGGTGGGTGTTTCTGATAAAGCGGCCAGTTAGTGGAACCACAAGGTAGGTGTTTCTAATTAAGTGGCCAGTTAGTGGAACCACAAGGTTGGTGTTTCTAATAAAGTGGCCAGTTATTGGAACCACAAGGTGGGTGTTTCTAATAAGAGGCCATTTACTGGAAGAACACGGCAGGTGTTTCCAATAAAGTGGCCATTTAGTGGAAGCCCAAGGTGGGTGTTTCCAATAAAGTGTCCATTTAGTGGAAGTACAAGGTGGGTTTTTCTGATAAAGTGGCCACTGAGTGTTCACGCTTTTAAAGATTTGCTAACGGTTTGATTTTGAAATTTGTCCTTCTGCAGGTTCTGAATCCGGCCACACGCAGCAGAGACGTGTATGCCGAGGCGGTACGGAAACACTGAAGACCTGCTGGACCCACCCAAACAGCATCTTCAGTTGGTTCATTTGCTTGAAACTCAGGAACTGTTAAAAGCGAGGTTTAGCACAGTCCCCAACTTCAGTCTAATGGTTCAGTCAAAAACCTAATTTTACAAGACATTGAATTTTGGCTGAGCCATCAGTTTAAGCCTTGCATGAGGTGCTTTGAAAACACCTTTGATTTCTTTTTTCCGTTCGAAAGTTTGGCATCACTGTTTTCAATTGGCAATATAACAACTGTTATTAATATCCAGAAAGTCTTGTATTTGAACTGTGATCAAGGTGATCAAATTTTGGGTCGTTTCTTTTGGTTCATTCATCATGAAATTTACACACAATGTAAAAAACAACAGGCATTTTCAAATTATATCAAAAACTGAAAAACGTCAAAAATGGAGATAAGGGGTTTTGTTCTGAAAACAGCGCTACATAAAACCATTAACTAACCATAGTCTTTCCTGAAGAACCCTTGGAGAACCTCCTTTGAAGTCTTTTCTTAAACAAACAATTAAAAAACATTCTGGAATTGGGTTTATAGTATCTACACCATAGAAGTTATGTTTGAAAATAACAACAGTTATTAAGCGAGCAAGTGATTCCAAACTTTCGAACAGTAGTGTGTATACAGCACTGTTGTACCTTCGAGTAATTCGGGGCACGTTGTACTCTTTACAGCTGCAGCAGATTGAGAATTCAGGTCTGATAAATCAGGAAATAAACACAAAAAACGAGAATTAGGAGCTAAATGTTGATGAGTAAAATGTAACCGAGTAAAAAGTAGATTACTCTCCTCACTGATGTGCTTAAATAGAGGTATTAAATACTTACATATTGTTTAAAGTATTTAGGAAAGTGTAAATTCTTTAAAATGTTACTTGAGTTGCTGGAATGAAGCTGAATGAGTTACCAAACTCTTCCTCTTTATCTCACATCTTATCATCAAATAAAAGCTTTGCTCTGTAAATTTGCTCACAGTTATGCTGAGGTTGATTACTGAGTGATTATATGGCTGCTTATGAATTTCACCAAAACTCACTGCTTTTCTGGGTCACGTTTTATTTTGAAAGTTCCCTGTAGATCATCTACAGACACTTTAACTGACAAACTATCTGGTGGAACTCAACTGATTATTAACCATATTTATATCAGGGCTACATTTAGGATTAGGGTTGAAGTTGAGGTTGGGTTTAGGTTTAGGATTATGATTAGGTTTCAGTTTTGGATTTAAAATTAGGGCTAAGTTTAGGGTTTAGGGTGAGGTTTAGGTTAGTGTTAAATTTAAGGGTAGGCTTAAGTTTAGATTTTGGGTTAAGGGCAAGGTCAGGTTTAGGTTTAGATTTTGGGTTGAAGTTAAGGTTAGGTTTACATTTTGGGTTAAGGTTGGATTTAGGTTTAGATTTTGGGTTGAAGTTAAGACTGAGTTTAAGTTTAGAATTTGGGTTAAGGTTATGGTCAGGTTTACATTTAGATTTTGGGTTGAAGTTAAGGTCAGGTTTAGGTTTACATTTTGGGTTAATATTAAGGTTGAGTTATAGATTTGGTTTAAAGTTAAGAATAGGCTTAGGTTTAGATTTTTGAATAAAGTTAAGGTTGGGTTTAGGATAGATTTTGAGTTACATGTAAGAGTAAGCTTAGGTTTAGATTTTGGGTTAAAGTTAAGAGTAGGCTTAGGATTTGGGTTAAAGTTAGGCTCAGGTTTAGGTTTTGAGTCAAATGTTATAGGATTAGGTTTAAATTTTGGGTTGAAGTAAGGTTTTGGTTTAGGTTAGAACTAGGTTTTGGGTTAAAGTTAGATTTAGATTTGTATTGAAAGTTATTGATAGATTTGGGTTTAGGATAAGGTTTAGGTTTTGAGTTGATGGTTAGGGGTATGTTTAGGATTAATCTAACACATTGAACTTAGCCTTCAGCTGCATTTAATTGTTTTTTAATCAAAGACAAACTGAGCTATGACGCATCTACAGTGGACTCTCAAAATAAAGTTAGACCCATGTCTGTTTTCTAAGTACAAAGAAGACTAGAACATTCTATATGCTGTCTAAATGTGTGGTCTTATGATATTTGCCATAAAGCCATAGTTTTTTAACAGTGTCATACTTTTGGTCAGATCAGCCCATGACTATCAGCTCCAGTGCTGAAGAATCACTCAACAGAATATATGTGTAAATAAAGACACCATCTCCATCTCAGCTTTCACCTTTCATAATTACCCTGATTTTCTTTCAGCTTGTTAATGTATAGTATTGAATAATGTGTGAAATGGTTTTCTTATTGTTTTTGTTCTATACTCTATTCTGTTACTATTCTACAACAGTGCAAATGTTGTTTCTTCTTCAGGTTAAAGTTTAATTCATGTTTATTTTTTTAAAAATCATAATGTCTAAAAGTCATTTTTGCTGAAAAAAAAACAGCTGAAAATATGAAGGCTATTGTAACTTACTGTTGAAATTTCCTTTAGTAGACTAATAGACAGGACAGTAAAATGGAAACTTTAGTTAAACTTAAGATCAAATCATAAGATATGATTTGAAATATGCCATTGTACACATTTCACAACATATTTCTGAAGAGACGTGTTTAACATTTATTTGTTTTTCAGTCTGAATTTCTTTCACTAAATTTCACAATAAAGTCATATTTGCAATCAAATGTTTATGAATGACTCTGGAAAAAAAAGGGGGAAAATGTACCATTGCATCACTGATTTAGTTTCATAATGCATACAGTATCATAAGCGGTGACATCCACATGTTATTTACATTTTAGAGTCTGCTTTCAGACGGTGTGTCACACACCCACAGCAGACTGTCATTTACAGAAATTCAAAGAGATGATTTAGGGGAAAAAGCTGAAATACAGTGGCACATTATCAGTTACTCAGAGCTACTTTTAGATGCCCTTACAGAAAAGGAAAATTTGTGCAGGGAAGTGTTTACATTAGATCTTGTTTAGAGCTGTTTAATACTCTAAAAACAGGGTTACAGTTGTTTTGTTTCCATTTCCGTTGCTTCTCTTGCAGCTTCAGAAACGCATTTCACTTTCTGTAAAGCAGTTTAAATAATGATCTAAGTTAATAAAGGACTGATTACATAAATTAAATATTGGATAGTATACATTTTATTTGGGACTATTTTGCCTCACAAAGCTCTGGATTAAAAATACACGTGTGTGTGTCACAGTTATCAGGCAGTATGCATAAACATTTCATGTAATACCATTGCATGAGGGATACTTTAGACGCAGTAAACTCTTCAGACTTCTGGTTCCTATCAATAACACTGTGAACAATTACTTCTCTAGAATGCTGCATTTCAATTTAAACCACAAGGAATGTTTGGTTTTTTTAAGATGTTTTTTACATCTTAACCTGTTATTTTTTTTAAATACTGGTGTAATTCCCCTTTTCTCCCATATCTGTTAAAGAGAATGAATGTTTGGGTTGGATGGAGTCCCCTGGATGTTCAATTAACATTCTAGCTTCAAGATCCTGGCATAGGTTTGTTTAAATAGTAGTGGAAAGCAAAACGTTTTTTTTCACAGAGTGAATCATGGATTTACACATGGCCATCAAAATGCTTTTGTCAACAGTATTAAAAAATGTTCTTTTTAAAGCCAAGAACCTTTTTAAAGATCAAAGAATCTTCACATGAAAATTCAAAGGTTTTTCTTAGAACCGTACATCCAGACAGGGACTTTGCATTTCAACAGAGAAGTGTGTCTAGGACACAAGCCGGGTACTTTATCTTGCAACAGCAGCATTTGACTAGACTACAAGCCAGGGACTTTGCAGAGTGATAAGTGGAGTCCGACTGGGCCACGAGATGAGGACGTAGCAGTGTAACAGCAGAGTTTGATTAAGCCATGAGATGGGGACATAGCAATGTGACAGCGGAATTTGACTAGGCCATGAGATGGGGACGTAGCAGCGTACCAGCAGAGTTTGACTAGGCCATGAGATGGGGACGTAGCAGCGTACCAGCAGAGTTTGACTAGGCCATGAGATGGGGATGTAGCAGTGTACCAGCAGAGTTTGACTAGGCCATGAGATGGGGACGTAGCAGTGCGACAGTGGAGTTTGACTAAGCCATGAGATGGGGACACAGCAGTGTAGCAGCGGAGTTTGACTAGGCCATGAGATGGGAATGTAGCATTGTGACAGCGGAGTTTGACTAGGCCATGAGATGGGGACGTAGCAGCGTACCAGCAGAGTTTGACTAGGCCATGAGATGGGGACGTAGCAGCGTACCAGCAGAGTTTGACTAGGCCATGAGATGGGGACGTAGCAGCGTACCAGCAGAGTTTGACTAGGCCATGAGATGGGGACGTAGCAGCGTACCAGCAGAGTTTGACTAGGCCATGAGATGGGGATGTAGCAGTGTACCAGCAGAGTTTGACTAGGCCATGAGATGGGGACGTAGCAGTGCGACAGTGGAGTTTGACTAAGCCATGAGATGGGGACACAGCAGTGTAGCAGTGGAGTTTGACTAGGCCATGAGATGGGAACGTAGCATTGTGACAGCGGAGTTTGACTAGGCCATGAGATGGGGACGTAGCAGTGAGACAGTAGAGCTTGACTAATCCATGAGATGGGGACACAGCAGTGTAACAGCAGAGTTTGACTAGGCCACGAGATGGAGACATAGCAGTGTAGCAGTGGAGTTTGACTAGGCCACAAGAAGGGGACATAGCAGTGTAACAACAGAGTTTGACTAGGCCATGTTATGGGAATGTAGCAGTGTGACAGCAGAGTTTAACTAGGCCACAAGAAGGGGATGTAGCAGATGACATAGCAGTTTAATTAGGCCATGAGATGGGGACGTAGCAGTGAGACAGTAGAGCTCGACTAATCCATGAAATGGGGATGTAGCAGTGTAACAGCAGAGTTTGACTAGGCCACGAGATGGGGACGTAGCAGTGTCACAGTGGAGTTTAACTAGGCCACAAGATGGGGACATAACAGTGTGACAGCAGAGTTTGACTAGGCCACGAGATGGGGACGTAGCAGTGTCACAGTGCAGTTTGACTAGACCACAAGATGGGGACTTTATTCCACAACAGCAGAAGCCATGGACATCACACCACCGCAAAAGTAGAGCTCAATAATGCCATTAACTAGGGACTTGTGACAGCAGAGTTTGCCTGGGCCATGAGATGAGGACACAGCGGTGTGATAGCGGAGTATGACAGGCCACGAGATGGGGACGTAGCAGTGTGACAGTGGAGTTTGACTAGGTCATGAGATGGGGATGTAGCAGTGTGACAGCAGAGTTTGACTAGGCCACGGAATGGGAACATAGCAGTGTGATAGCAGTGTGGACAGAATGGGAACATAGCAGTGCGACAGTGGAGTTTGACTAGGTCACAAGATAGGGACTTAGCAGCATGACAGCTGACTTTGACTAGGCCATGAGATGGGGACTCTGCAGTTTGACAGCGAAGTTTGACTAGGCCACAAGCCAGGGAGTTCACTCTTCAACAGTGGCTTTTGACTAGACAACCAGCTGAGGACTTCATACCACAACAGCAGAATTTGACAACACTGTGAGCCAGGGGCTTCACACCACAACAGCAGAGCTTAACTATGCCATGAGCCAGGGACTTCGTACTGTGACACGGGAGTTTGACTAGGCCACAAGCCAGGAACTTCACACTGTGACAGCAGAGCTTGATTAGGCTGTAAGCCGAAGACTTTGCCCTGCAGAAGCGGAGTTGGAATAGGCCACAAGTTATTTGCAATTCAACAAATGTGACAACCCCCAAAATTAGTGTAAAATACATATGTTTATTTTTCCAAATGGTTTAAATAGTGCATTTCATTTATAGTAAATGAAATTGAAACCCTAATTTAAAAAACACATAATGAGTGTATTTTGGAAACTTACAGTCAGAGATATAGAGATAGCGAGAGGCAGAGAGATGCGTATATGTAGGGAAGGTTTGCTCTGTAACCGTGTAACTGTGTTCAGACTAGGTCGTGGGTGTCTCTCATGCACACAGGATGTTACATATAATATGTCAGTGTGTTTGAGTGCTGAATCTTCACAGTAGCACGGTCGGTGTCTCCTTTTGGTTCCAAAAGGAAACCGCAGAGCATTAGAGACTAGAGATTAGCAGCTAGTCAATAAAACCTCATTATGCTTTTGAACACCTGCCAATGAGAGCAAACCTCAAGCGCAATGCATTTTCCATTTTCTAAATAACAAAGTAAACTCTAGTACTACACTCTGCATACTTTTGGCATTATGAGCTTATACAATCATAGTACAAAAAGGCAACAGACAATGCATAAAGCAATAATAATATCGTTCTTTCCAAAACCGCAAAAGAAAATAATGCTAGCATTTTGTGAACGTTACTAGAATAGTATTACAAAAGCACTGATGCTACGAAAAGAGAGAGTCAAACAGTTCTTTAATTAGTTTCTTTAACAACATGACAAAGTCTGCATTCAGGAATTCAGTATGAAATAATGATCTGATAGCTGCAGTATGTGCAAAATTGTTTTCATTAACTACTATAAATTATTCAGAATCTACTATGAATTTTTCACTAAGAATTATAAATGTTTCAGTACTTACAAGAAATTATTCAGTAGCTACAATTAATTATTCAGTTACTACTATAAATTATTCAGTATCTACTATGAATTATTCAGTAACTAACATAAATTATTCAATATATACTACAAATTATTCAATATAGGCATCAAAATATTTAGTAACTACTATGAATTTTTGAATTTCAGTATCTACTATGAATTATTCAGTATCTACTAGAAATTATCCAATAAATACTCTAAATTGTCCAGTAACCGCTACAAATTATTCAGTTGGCAGGACCGACTCTTGCAAATCTTAGAAAGAAATTGAAACCATTCATTCCCAATACTTTTTTTAAGCATTTATTCCAAAATAAGCCAACAAGCCATTTATCTCTTTAAAGCACCAGTTGGACTCATTACATGATTACTAGAATTTATTAAGGCAGTTTATGTTGTGTCTTAACAAATTTGCAAAAAAAATATATTAACCATTGATTGACCAAACACACTAAAAGTAACTGAACTTACTACACACTTGTGAAGTACACCTGAATTCATGAAATCTTGAAAATGCCTCAGAGAAACTATTTCATTAGGCAACAAGAAAGGCAAATTATTAACAAATATTAACATATTATTTTCCAGATAAGATAGAAATTAAGAAATAGAGGTATGTATATAAACAGAAATCAAGAAAGGAAGAAATCATATGAATAGCATCACTATTAATGAGACATACTCATGTTACCATGACCAGCAGACTTGGAATAAAATTCAAAGACATTATCATTGAAATTGGTGATGATGACGATTATGAGGATCATGATGATTATGATGATGATGACGAAAATCAAGGTGGTGGTGAAGTTCATTTCTTCTTGGCTCCTCCCAGAGTCTGGTACTCAGACCTTTGACCCGGAGCCAACGGCTGAAAAGAGCACAAACAGAATCAAGAATTCTATCTAAACCAAAATTAAATGGTTTCATTGTAATGCTTCTTTTAATGCTAAGAATCAAATTCAAACGCTAGTAAATTTGGTCCAAATTATGGAAACACATCAAAAAAGGTTCTTTGAAACTTTTTTAAGGTTCAAAGAACGTCTACAAAATGTAAAGTTTCCATTCCAGTTAGAGGTTTCTGTTAGAAGGGTAAGCTCATGCAAGAAACCCCTGAGGAACCTTTACAAGTCTATACAGAAAGTGAATGTTCACATACCTGATAAGTGTCTCCATCTCCATTCCGTATTAGATGCTCTTTATCTGAAGCTAGAATGGAAGATGTGAAGAGAGAAAAGCACTTTATTAGAGGTTTGAGAGTTTCCTTTACCTTCATATGACTCGTTACTTGAATTGCCAGTTATGGGTAGTTTCAGGCCTGATAGAGGATCGTAGGCTTTAGTTCAGTGGTCACCTAGCCATCCTTAAGATCTACAACATCTTAGCTATGTTTGTTTTAAGTTTATTTATTTGCATAATGAGAAAAAAAGAAATAAATAAAAACATGTAGTAGAAGGTGAGCTTACATTGCAGGCTTATTATGTTTTAAGGCTTGTTATTCAGTAATTACATAGTTACAATGCAAATGCATTCTAAAGTTAATAATAATAATAAGAAGAAGAAGAAGAAGAAGAAGAATGGTAAGGAATGGAAGCCTGGACCCACCAACACTCCTGGACAATTTAGCAGTTACTTTAGTTAGTTTGACAAAGTTGAAGTTATACAAACATTTTCTGAAGGTCACAACTACCAAGCAGTTCCAGACTGATGGACTGACCACCCCAGAATCCAGACCTCAACATCACCGAATGTGTTTAATTACTTCAGAAAATTATCAACCAACTTCTAAGACTGAACTTTGAAGGTGTGTCTGCAGATTCTTTGCAAACTGGACTGAGCCAAGAGAATGGAAGCTGTAATACAGGTTAAAAAAAGGTTCCTTAAGGTTCTTTAGTAAAGAAAACAGTTCTACATAGAACCATGAACACTCAAAGAACCACTTCGCATGATTGAAGGGTTCTTTGCATGGTGAAATGGTTCATCCGAGTGATGAAGAATGTGCTGTAGATGGTTCTATATAGAACCTTTTTGAAAAGGGTTCTATATAACACCAAAAAGGGTTGTTTTATTGTGATGATGTCAAGTTTGTAACAATAGAAGAACCCATTTGGTGCTATATGTAGAACCATCTAGAGCACATTCTCCATCAATCTGCAGAACCATGTCACCAGGCAAAGAACCCTTCAATCATGCAAAGGGGTTCTTTGAGTGTTCATGGTTCTATGTAGAACCATTTTCTTTATTCTTTTTTAAGCGTGCACCCATGATTTATTTAAATAGGTGTGAAATGGTGATACAAGTCATCCGATTAAGACATTATGGGGCCAGTCATCATAGATTACTGTGCTACAGACCCCAGCTCAACTGCCCCACCTGCACTACTAGTAGATATCCCACTGAATTGACCAGTTCCCAAGCTGTGGTACATGTACACGTGTAATGGGGTATGGGACTGTAGAACGTTTGGGAACACGAACCTAAAGAAAGCTCTTGTGGTCTCTCTTTATTTGGACAGTCCACTATAATCCCCTATAGATCATCTACAGATGTTCAAACTGTTAACAAACTATCTGTTGAAGCTCAGTTGATTCTAAACAGTGGTGGGGTCAGGGTTAGGATTTGGACCAGGGTTAGGGCTAGGAGCAGGGTGAGGGTTAGGATTAGGTTTTGGGTTGAGGTTGAGGTTGAGGTTAAGGTTAGAATTAGAACCAGGTTTAGAGTTAAAGAAAATTAAGGTCAGTTTGGTAGATATTTAGTTGAATGTAAGTTGAAAGTAAATTAAGTATCTACAAACCATCTAAAGTGGACCATACACCTTCCACCACATCTTATCCAACTCATTCTTTTCTGGCTTGATTAGTCGGATCAGCTTTCTGTAGATTTGAAACCTACAGAATGGTCCATCTCAAAGTTGGAGGTTGGTCACCACGACTTCCTTTACAGCAGATTGGGCTCACCTTTGTTGCCGGAGAAACTCTTGCCTTTGGGCTGGGCAGACAGGGAGTACACGGCCACTCCAATGAGGATGGTTGCCAGGGCGTTGCCCACAGCGATGGCGGCGATGGCCAAGACATTCAATTCAATGCAGTTTTCACAGGCTGCAGAGAAAAAGAGAACATGGTGATAGTAATAATGCATACACACATGCATGTACAAGCTACATATGTTCTTCATTTTAATATACTTTGTTTCTATTGGACCATAAAATTTCCACACAGTGTAATAAACAGCTAAAAAAAACAATATCACATCAATATTTCTGAAAATATAAGTATAAAACAATCGGCCTACACACTACCATTCAAAAGTTCACATGCCACCATATTAATAATTTCTGAAATGTCTGTAGTGGGCCGAGTGACAAGAAGACAAAACTGAATGAAGTTTGGTTTCAAACTGAGATTTTAAAGTAATATCTAAAAGTATTCCACAATATTTTGTTATTAAAATACCTCAAAAAGACTAATAAAAAAGGGAGAATTTAATGTTATACATCAATTGTGTCAGAAATAAAATCCCACCAAAATGATAACTTTACAGGAGAAGGAAAAAACATACTCTACTTTTGATGTAAGTCAATGGAACCTGATTTTTTCCAAGAAATTTTCGGTCATTTGTTTTGGTCTATTCATCATGAAATGTACACATAATATATAGGACCAAAGGTACTTTCAAATTATGTCAAAAAACCTGTGATGTAATTTGAGAGTACCTGTGTGTAATCAAACGTCCTCTCGGGCCAGTTTTGGGCACTTTGGGCAGCCCTGACATTGACAATGTGGATTTAAATATTATAAACAATTCACCTGCGTTGTTTATTCAATATTTCAAGAACTCTGTCAACAAGAAGTGAACTAATGATACATAATATACTGCTTATATTAATTTTGGGGCAAATTCATGTGGTAACAAGTAAATTAACTAGTTTTATTCAACATAAATAAATACTTTAAATGAACGATTCATTCTGTCCATGTAGTTAATTGTTAAGTTGAATAAAACTTGTTCAATTGCTTGTTTCCACATGAAGTAATTTTTTTTAGGTAGATCTGAGGAGCCACTTTTTACAGTGTGTCTTGACATTTCCACTTCTGAAATATGATAAATTCTGGATGTTAATTTGATCTGTACATCATTCTCGTTATGTAAACAGACTTGCAGTCATTTTAGAATCTAATACATTCATTATTTCGAACACATCTAATATTTCTTCATCTAGTTTCTCACTTATTATTAGAAAGCTGTGAAGCCGTACAAGTGTATTAGAATCATTCTGTACATTTATCTGCAACCACGTTGGTTTTATGCACCATTTCCAAACTTTGATTCCCAACTTTTAGATGTGTCAACCAAAAAATTTTCTCCTCTCTGTAGAAATACTTTTAAAATTTGCTTGCAGGGCTTCCTTTAGGTTTGTGGAGGGTTAGTTGTTACTTCACTGAAAAGTGACAGTCAAAAGGGAGCAAATTGTCCCCAAACTTTTGACAAGGTATACTGTCTTCATAATAATAACATTCTGCACCATTGTTAGAACTTCACTCAGATCTGACCTCATCAAGCTCATACTGGACGTTCAAGATTCCACAATTTCCATGACTTGTATACAAGACAGGTGGTAGCCTCACTGTACAAGGGGTCCCGTCACAGCACCCACGTATCCGAACACATGCGACACTGCATTACTGCAAACTACGACAGGTAGGAATGGACACTCAAACTCGCCATAGCAGCTAAACCTCAGCCTCACACTTAACTAACATGAACTTCCAGGTTTTCCAAGTTTTCCCAGGATGGGTGGGAACCCTGACAGTGTGTAAATGAACCTGTATGCCTGCCTCCACTGTTGATCGTAAGTCACTGTCCCTATAAAAATTTGCATTGTCCCTATAAAATATTCATATTTTCCAGTGGTCTTCCCCTCACCGGAAAGCTTGTCGATAAGTTTCCAAGTTTTCCAGGTTTTCCAGGAAACCCTGATGTTACCGATGATAATTTTTTTTTAAATCATTTTAATTTTTTCTTTGTTTTCCATAACTGTACACTCATGTGCACACTTCCAGGTTTTCCAAAACTTCCAGGATTAAATATGTGAGAACCCTGATGATGATATTTTTTCCACAACACTTGATCCATTTTCTTATTTTCTAGGTGTCTTTCATGACTGGAAAGCTAGTCTATAAATGTCAATGTTTTCCTGTTGTTCCAGGACATGTGGATGTTAATATTTGATGTTAATATTTTTCTATGACATTTTATCTGTTCGCTTATTTTTTCTGTTTTCCATGACTGGGACACTAGTTTGTGCACTTCCACATTTTCCAAAATGTGTGGGAACCCTGATGCTGATTTTTTTCAAGGATATTTAATCAATTTTCTTATTTTCCAGGGGTCTTCCATGACTGAGGAGCTGGTCTATAAATGTCCAGGTTTTCCCATTTTTCTAGGACATGTGGGAACCCAGCCTTTGTGTAAATTAACAGATGCTCTAATAAACAGTCTCTACTGCTGATCATGAGTCACTACCTCTATAAACACTTGGAATTTTAACTTTAAAAAAATGAAACATTTGAGCTCATAACATCTCTAACAGTGCTCCACATTTTCTGGGAACGTCCAAAAGTAGAAGATTTACAGACCACCACAGTAGACATTTTATCCAGAGTGCTCAGTATTAACATTCTATTATCACCCCAGCAATGTCTGTCAAATGATGATTCAGACCTACTGGCAGGTTTTACAGCCACCAAAAACAACTGTTTTACAACTTTCAGTTATCCGGCTTTCAAAATGTAGCTTGCATGGAAAAACTTACATCCAGGCTCAACAAAGCAAAGCAGTTAACTATTAGGAACTATTAGCAATTGGGAGAGTTTATGTGTCATTCTACAGAAACATCCATTTTTGTGTCCCTAGCCTTTACAGATATATTACACTTAAAAAAACATGTTACAGTTACAATTTATTTATATTTTAAAATGAAAGAGTAAGTTATTTTAACAATTACAACTTCTTGAGCCTCAATTTAGCAATATTGGTTTTTAAATCAATCATATAGAATTCCAAGCACCACAGAAGAGCTCATCCCCACAGTCATGTGTGAAGGCTGAGGCCATATTTTGAAGAAAAAAACAAATTTTTCTGCAATTTTAACTACAATAATCTATACATGACTATGGAATATATAAATTAAATGACAAAGAAAACAAATTCCAAATAAATATTTTAAAATATATAATGAAAGTTGTCTGCGGGAGTCGTGTCACTGGTGTTACTGAGTAACTAAAAATCTCTTATTTTGAAATAAAAGTCACAATGATGACATCACTCGACTTCCTTTTACCTACGTTTTCTGAGGATCTATGAAGAAAAGCACATGGTCCACTGTGTCTTTCAGTTATCAGAGATTTTCTCATTTAGCTCATGATTTCATATGAAGCTTTTAGCTGAAGTCACTGGTGTGACCGACTTTATTCTGAGGTAACTGTCAAAAATAGAATACAAATGGTTTAAATTACATATTTTAGTGGATATTCCATGATTGACAGCATGTGGTTTGATGCTCTGTAGCAGTCATCTTGTAAAATGCATTGTTCATTAAAAATGTTTCTGGTGTTTCCTTTATTATGTGTAACACCAATGAGGATCAGTAACACCAGTGACTCCTATGAAAAGACAGAAAAGTGGCCGTTTCTGTAGAATGACCCTAATATAGTTCAATTCACTGTAGTTTTCAACTGTACTCCGTACTAATTCTCTGTGTTGGCTCTTTTATTTGTCCTTGACCTGTGTGTACACAAAACAATGTGTGTTTCCATCCTGCCGCCACCCACCCCACCTGTTCTTTTTGAAAAATGCAAAAAAAAAAAAATCACAAAAAAAGATTTGCATTCATTGAACCTCTAACAGAATCACTGGCGTATTACATTCTGTTAATAAATTATTTGAAGTTCAGTAAACTCTGAATGTTAAGGCAGAGAAGTCACTTTATCGATTTTAAACATGAACTGAGTTTGATCGCAGGTGATTGTGAGCTTGGTTTTTGTAACATTGTGAAAAGAAGGAAAGACAGGGTACTTACGTCTGACTCTGACTAAAATCTTCAGTGACTTATCAGTCGTGTGGCAGTTTTTTATTTCAGCTTTGTCTTCATTGTATGAAACATTAATATTGGTTTTATTGTCATGTCCTTCCTCCCATGTGCCACCAGTGCATTTTAAATCAGCCGAGTCAGAATTTTTTTGCACAGTAATCGACGGTTCAGCTGCAAATTAAAGAAGCCATTACACAAAGTAGTAGCATTTTTGATATTAACAAAGTGCTGCAGTAAATGTTCTTGATTATATATATATACATACACATATTGTATATATTGTATATAGTTAACTATATATATATATATATATATATATATATATATATATATATATATATATATATATATAGTGTCACTATCAGAACAAAACCTCATCTCCATTATTTATTACACGAATGGAAGTACATTTATATTATCTGTGTATCTAACAATACAATTTTTTTTTTTTTCTCCAAAATAGTAACTTTACAGGAGAAGGACTTAACTTGTAATTAAAGTTAAGGCAAAGAGATTTACTTCCAATTCATTTTGTACCATTTATGTTGGCCAGTTCATCATGAAATTTAAACACAAGGCTAACTAGAATTTTCAAATCATGATTACAAATGAAAAATAAGTGAAAATAGTGATACAAGGTTTTTGAGCGTTAGCGCCGATATACCTATGTATATCCTACCGATATACATTTAACAGTAAACTGTAATCTATTTTGAATCAAGTAAATTCAGTGTATAATTTTTCTCCAGCATTAAATTATCATTCAAAAGTTTGGATATCACTTGTCATAATAACTTCTTTTTGCTATTTTTATGTATTTATATAAGGTGGAATGAAATATTACTATTCACCAAAACTTCTACAGCTTTCTCAGTTAATTGAGAATCTTTTACAGCTCTTCTTTATCATTCGAGTGTTTGAATTATTAGACAGCTGTGAAGTCGTACAGGGCGAGCGTACTGGAATCATTTTATACATTTATCGGCAACAAAATTGGTTTTGCATTATTAAAAATGTAGTTTCCAAACTCTTGAATGTTCGTTTATGTAGTGATCAACATTATTCAAATTTTACATTGCAATAAAGTCTATCTCGGTGAATTAAAGCATCTTGAATGTAGTCACAATATCAAAAATTTCCCATTTTGAGTTTGTTGTAAGAAATTTATAATTCAACTTATTTCTACACATTTTCAACTTTTTAAGTAATTTTTAAAGTAATTTTAAGTAATGTTTTAAGTAATTTCTAGAATCTTCACATAATATTCTTATTGATTTGGAAGACAATATTGCTTCTTTCAAGAAATAATGCAAAAACAGGCAAATTTTCATGCCAATAAACCCGTATTGTAGATAAACTGATCTAAAACAAGTGTAATTGTTTAGAAATAAGTTGAATAATCTTATATTATTGAATTTAAGACACTTTCACCTGCCAAAATATCATTTTTTACACAAACACACATATCTGTGTATATTTTTGTATGTTTTGTAAAAGTAAACAGTATCAGGTTACATTCAAGGTTAAAAGCTGTTCAGTATTTTACACTATACATTATGCTTCACATGCAAATACGATATTAAATATGGACATAGAGGACTTACCAGCAGTCGATCTTTGAATGAACAACAAGCCAGCAAGAAGGAGCAAAGTTAGTCCCTTCATTTCTCTCGCTTGCTTTTCTCTCTACAGCTAAAAAGAAAAAAAAGTAGCATTACTCATCGACCACCACTGCATACTCTTATTATAGGACCAAAACAAGTTCTATGACTTTCAAATTTAAAAACTTTAGTTGTAACTTATATTACAAACATCTAGAATTTAAGAAAAGCTCTGTTAGTTTGCACTGCAGCCCATGTAGGTACTGGGAAATAAGCCTTAGGATGTAATAAGCCTGGTATTTAAAGAAGTAAAAAGGTGCTTCAATTCCTCACTGTTATAACTACATTTCGCTGCTATTGGAACAAAACCTCATATCTCCAAAATGGTAACTTTACAGGAGAAGGAAAAAACATACTTTACTTTTAATGTAAGCCAACAGAACCAGACTTTTTTTACAAGTAATTTTGGGTCATTTCATTGATCCATTCATCATGAAATCATACACATAATGTGAAGGACAACAGGCATTTTCAAATTATGGCAAAAACTGAAAAACAAAACAAAAATGGACATACAAGGTTTTGTTCCAACAGCAGCGATATATTGCATATTAGTTACACAGTAGTTACAACATAATTAGGATAGTGTTACTGACCATACTTGCAGATATTTTTTATAGATTTAACTCTCTTAATTGTCTAAAATTATGATCATAATGCGGATATCTCAGGCTTATAATACGCAGTTATACATACATTGTAATTACAAAGGTATTATTCAATAATAAGCATTAATATGTAATAAGCCTGGTATTGTAAGAGGTTAAATAGCAAAAGCTCACACTTCAATTCTTCACTTTATACTTTCACTACATAAATTTCATATTAGTTACATAGTATTTACTATAGAATTAGTACAGTGTTTCCTGAATAAGAAGTCTTAAGATTCAGAACTGAATAATAAGCCTGAATTTAAGGAGTTAAAGTTCCAAAAGGTTTTCTATCATGGCGAAGAAGCATATAATCAAGCAGAGGACTATTTCACTAAAGAACCTTTAAAGAACCGAGTCTTTTGAAAGCTGTATATACAGCAGCTACAGGTTCTGTTGTTTGGTGCATCCAAAATGGAGGACGACGCCATTTGCCTTCTCTTGTTCAACCATTTTAGCTCTGTGCTTTTTGCGCTCATTAACCACATAGACTATTCAAAAATGTCACTATAGCTTCACAAATTCAGTAAATTCAGACATGATGAATGCTTTTAAGTATTTTTCATCACTAGTTATCAACAAATTCTGACAGATAAGGTATTTTATGACGTTCCATGAAAAATGTGTATGTTTTTAATGGAGACGCCAAAATTCATCAATACAAACTAAACAATAATCTCACAAACAGATATCAGGAGAAGTTTGGATGAAAATTTAACAAAGGAAAACATCTCCTTACCCCAAACACTCGATCTCGGCTTCTCTGCGAGACTTTCAGAGCGTCTCTCTCGTTCTCTCTCAGTGGCTTCTGTTGCTGGGAGGAAGTGTGGGTCTCTCTTTTTTGTGTGTTGTTTTCTCATACGACACTGCATGAACGCTGTAGGTTTGCACTCTTATAGAGGGTTCTACAAACATCAGGTCCAATAAATGAAAATAAAAACAGAAAGCAGGTTCTGTCGGATGTGTTTTAAATTCAGAAGTACAGGAAGCACAATTTTTGGGTTTTAACTAATACATTTTTTTTTTTTTTTACGATACCTTCAAAAAGGTTTGGACAAAATCATGTTTACCACTGTGTTACATCGTCTTTCATTTTAACAGCACTTAAAAATGTTTGAGGACTGAACATACAAACTGATCCAGTTTACAAAGCAAACTTTTTTGCCATGCTAATGTTACACAAGCCTTGAACTGGGCAACTGTTTGGGGCCTTCGCTGTCGTATTTTCGAATGTGGGACAGGTTTTTGGTGTCAGATAGGTCTGGACTGCAGGTAGGCAAGTCTAGCACATCGCCTAGAAGGCAGCATATGTTGCTCCAAAATGTGTACATCTCAGTGTTAATGGTGCTTTCACAAATGTATAGGTTACCTATTAATGTACCCTCACGACAGATCCTGGGTTTTGAACTGTACACTGGTAATGTCTGGTATCTGGGTGGTTCTTTGCTTCTTTGAGCCTAACAATACAATGTCCATTATTTCCAGAAACAATCTGAATGGTTGACTCATCAGACCACAGTACACGTTTCCTCTGTGCATCTTTCCATTTCAGATCAGCTCAAGCCCAGAGAAGTCGGTGGCGTTTCTGGACGTTGTTGATACATGGCTTCTGCTGTGTATAGCAGTCTTAACTTGCTAATGTGGATGCGTCCACAAACGGTGTTTATTGTTTATTTTACCAGTTTATCAAAGATTTCCTGAGCCCATGTGGTGATATCCATCACAGAAACATGCAGGTTTTTTTAATGCAGTGCCATCTGAGAGTTTGAAGGTCATGAGCATTCAGTTGTGGTTTTTTGGCCATTTCCATTACTTGCAGAGATTTCTCTGGATTTCCTGAAACGTTTGATGATATTATATGCTGTAGAGGATGAAATAACTAAATAACTGCACCTTTTGTATCCAGGCATGATTACATCATCCATTTCAATGCTTCTCATTTCTAGGTTTAAGCTGAAAATGTTTCAACTCTTTTGGAACATGTTATGGGCATCGATTTCAGCATGAAAAATGAACAATGAAGTCTATTAGGAAAAACATCAAACATTTTGTCTTGGTACTTCATTTGTAGAAATACAGGCTTTCTCTTTTTATTTGAACGTATACCTCCCGAGTGGCACAACTGTCTAAGTGTTGGCCCTATCATCAGGAAAACATGAGTTCAATCCCTGATGATGCTACAGCCATCCGTGGCTGGGAGTCCAAGAGAGCACAACTGGCCTTGTTCTCTCTGGGAGGGCAGGATGATCCCCACTTCTCGCCTCATCACTCAAATGCAATACTAGCCAGCGCAGACGTCTGTTAGCTGACATGACAGAAATGGCATTAGCGTTCTCCTCCAAGCACGTTCAAGTGTTGCGATAGCAGCAATTCGAAAAGATGCGGTGGTGCTTAACTTGACTCAGAGGAAGCTTGTGTTTGCCTTCGCCCTCCTAGCGCTGGTGGTATCATTGGGGGCCGCCCTATCTAGTGGGTGAAATTAGATATGACTAAATTGGGGAAAAATTGTAATTGTTTTTAAAACATTTACATTTAGTAAAGAACCCTTAAAGAATCACCTAAAACTAGCTACTTGAAGTGTTTTTACAAACTAATTAGCATTCCAAGTTTGGCCCAAAACCTCAACTTATTTACATCTCCATTGACATTTCAACTCAATTAAAGCTTATAAGCCAAATTGGCCAATAAACTGATAGAAAGGGCTTGCACTATTGTGAAGTAAACGAATTATCAGACTTCTCTAGTATAAAAGTCACCACTATTAACATAGAATCATGATTTGTTTCACTCTACAGGTTGAAATGGATTTATTAGCCAGAAATACTTAAAACAGTATACTTAAAACATTTATTTAAACATCTGTACATTTTGTTTGTACAGGCCCTATGTAGGACAAATTTGGTATACTGTAGAGACTTGTTTACATGCCTATATACAATGTCTCTTAATTTCATCCTATATTTTTATCCTAAATTTATCTTTTTTATAGAATTGATTTGGTTCACTTGCCCTCTGATCAAAATGTTATCTTAACTCTTAATTCCAGCTCTCAAGCACTCTTGACGAATTAAAGAGGCCTCGCACAGCCGGGATGCCACAAACAACTTCCTGTACGGTAACTGTACGCCACAGGAAGGCACGACCCACTATCAGCACCTGTTCCTAACCAACAAATACAAGAGCAGACTCTTTTGTACGTTCAAAAGTCCTCCGAAACATTATACATTGCATTCTGCATTTGCATAGTGAACTCGGAAAACAGTCTTTCATTAGAAGTCCTTTTGACGTGGCAACGTTCGTTTCTATGGCAATTTCCCATAGACGCCCTGCTAGATCAGCACAGCAGGTCACCAGTAAAACCAGCATATCATCACTGTCGGAATAAAACCTCGTATCTCCAAAATGATGCCTTCACAAGAGAAGGTGAAAACATTCATAATGGAAGTTAATGAAACAAGACCAAGACTTTATCCCCAAGTAATTCTGGATCATTGCTGTTGGTCCGTTGATTCAAATTCAAATTATGCAAAAAAAAAAAAAAGAAAAATGACAAAAACGGATACACAAGATTTTCATGCAACAGTGACAATGTGTCATGTTTTGGATGCTGGTCTGCTGATCAACCAGTATGACCATGTTTGCTGACAAACTAAACCAACACCAGACCAACATAAACCATCTTAGGCCAATTTAGACCAGCACCAGATCAGCATAAACCATCTTAGACCAATTTAGACCAGCATAAACCAACTTAGACCAGTTTAGACCAGCATAAAACAGGTTAGACCAGTTTAGATTAGTATTAACCAATTCAGACTATTTTAAACAAGCACCAGACCAGCATAAACCAGCTTAGGCCAGTTTAGACCAGCACCAGTCCAGCATAAACCAGTTCAGACCATCTTAGACCAGCACCAGTCCAGCATAAACCAGTTGAGACCATCTTAGACCAGCACAAACCAGTTTAGACAATCTTAGACCAGCTTAGACAAGCACCAAAACCAGCATAAACCAGTTTAGTCCATCTTAGACCAGCCCTAGACCAGCAGAAACCAGTTTAGACCAGCATAAAAGAGCATAGATTGCATAAACTAGTTTAGACCAGCTATGACCAGCACACGACCAGCATAAACCAGAATAAACTACTTTAGTCCAATAACAACCTAGCATAAACTAGCTTAAATTTAGTTTAGATCAGGATAAACCAGCTTAGACCAGCACCAGACCAGCATAAACCAGGATAAGCCAGTTTAGACCAGCAGAAACCAGCTTAGACTAACATGGAATTCATGCACGCTCATGCTTTTTCTTTCTTCATCAGGGCAGAAACACTTTCATAGGTTCACATATTTGCTTGGTTACTGTGAAAATATCTCTTTCATCAAACCAGTCAATCAGTCAAGACACGTTTGATGTCTATGGTCTGCTTCTTAAGCTTTAGCACTGGAGCTACAAGGCTAACGCAGCTAAAAAACCAATGACTGACCAATTAGCGTGATGCTAACTGCATCACACTTGCCTCAAACCATGTGGAGCTGTTCAGTAATCTCTAATAGACATGCTTGTGTGGCTTCTAAAACAGTATCACAACCTGACCTATAAAAATGGACAAGATTCAGGCTTCAAGTTGGCTGCTAATGTTTTTAGCTCTGTGACGCACTTCTGGCAGCAATTAAACAGCTGCATTTGACGTAAGGAGGAAAACTGAGGCGATTTTGTCCTATAAGTTTGCTTTTTCTGCACCAGCCTGGTTCTAGATGACAGAAAATATTGAGAAGAAAGTCTTTTTTGGCAGTTTAATTTAGTCTCAGTTAAATTTCACCTCAAAACAACTAGAACTTTCCACAGCAAAGTGAAAGCACAAAGCTAGTGACTCCATCAGACTGGGCTGTTAGTGGCTGCTTTTATAACACATATCTAGTCCATAAACATTCATTTGTAGCTCAAATGGACTTGAAATGAATGCTAAAATTATAACAGAACATCGTTTGAGGAAGAAAACATGCAGAAACTTTCCAAAGGAACAGGAAGAACACAAAAAACGACACATTTTGCATTCTAGCACCTCCTGCTGGACGGAAAGTGCAATGACCCTCCATCTCATCTTTAATAGATATATACAGTACATACATTATAAGCAAATGTACATTAAATATACACGTAGATATACAAATACATGTGTTTATCATTCTGCTATAATCCTCTGCAGTATAATTTTATTCGTACAAATATACTGTACTTGCATTATGAATATATCATGTATTGCACATTCTCTTCTATAGCACAAAGGACGTAGCATTCCACATAGCATTGACTGTGCTTGGATGATATTTATGAAATTTACACAAATTTAGAGTTTCTATGTCTAATTCATACGGCATCTCATGACTTATTAACTTGCATATTTGATGTCGAGGATAATTTATATGATTTCTTCATCATTCAAATACATTCAAAGTATATATAACGAAGGTGAAGGTGTTCGATTACAGAGCGCAGTTTACCAGTTGTCATGGAAACCGTTATTCCGTAAGGCCTCCTTGTGCAAAGAACATTCAGGTCAGTGCAACTTGTGGGAACCAGATACGATGTGAAGGAATTGGGAGTGAAAAAAAGGTATGCACATGTATTAAAATATACAGTATCAGTCAAAAGTTTGGGCACACCAAAACAGTATGTTGCACGAGTTTTTAAAGGTCTTCAAAGTTTCAAAGTTCTTTCTAAGAGACATAGAAACATTCAAATTGATGGCTATGCATGCATATATGTTCAAAACAAAAAATCAATTATAAATTATATTTTTTTAAAACAAGTATTTTTTATTCAGGACTTTTACAAAAATCTTGAATGGGAAATGTAGAATCATAACCACAAACTTTGTTATTATTATTAAGTGTCAAAGTAATTCCAGATGCCTGGGAACCATGTGGTCAGTGTTTCTCCACAGTGACCTGTCTTCTGTTTGGGTCTTCATGCTTCTGAATGGCTGGCTCTGACTGTCTCCACCATTGTCTTTCTCTTTTACCTTCAAGCATAATTGTCTTTCTGGTCCAAGCATGAACTGGGTCTTCTTAGAATGTGTCCAATATAAGAGCTTCAGTTTGGTTATCGGGGCTTGATAGATGAGGCTTGATTTGTTTGTCTTCACCAACATCAAATTCAGGCATCAGTAAGCTCCCGGAAAAAATTAGTCACCTTGCGTGTTTAAGGTGGTAATAACTTCGGGGCTATAAATACCTACAGGGTGTGTGACGGGATTCATAGATTGAGAAAAGGTGGTACAGTGCAGTGAATGTCTTGTTCAATGTGTGGAAAATGGGTCGCAAAGCAGATGTTAATGATTGGCAAAAAGGAGCGATTGCATTTAGGCAGCCAAAGGCCACAGTGGGAAGGAAGTAACTGAGTTTGCAGGTGTATCTAAGCGTACGGTCATATTTTAAAAATCACTTCACTTCCAGGCAAGAATTGCTTCTAGAAGTCGATGCAGGTTCTTCACAACCAATTTCTGAAAGAATGCTGCTCAGGGAACCGCATACCATAAACATATGGAGCAGAGCGGCACGCAAGAGGCCTTTGCTCACTGCTGCTAACAGAGATGTCCGGTTACAGTGGACGAAGAGACTCAAACACTGGACTGTTCATGACTGGAAACATGTTATCTGGTCAGATGAGTTTCATTTCTGCCCGTATGTGAGTGATGCTCGGCGTTGTGTTCATCGTAGACTTCAGGAAGCCTTCAATGAGGACTGCCTGTAGGTGTGGTTCAAGTTGGAGGCCCTGTGATGTTCTGGGGTGTTTAAATTATGTGGAAATGGGTCCTTTGGCTGAGGTGAGAGTAAATTTGAAGCACAGTGCCAACATTGAGCTGCTTGACACCAGGTTTTGCCTTTTGCTCATCAACTTACCGGAACAGAACATTCCTATCCGTGTATTACAAGATGACAGTTCTCACGTTCACAGGGCTGCAAATGTGACTGATTGGCATGATGAACATTCAGGAGCGTTCACACGTCTGGACTGGCCTGCAAAATCCCCAGATTTGAATCCTCTTGAAAATCTGTGGGACGACCTGGAACGAGAAAGACGCCGGGGAAAGGCATCCACAAAATCTGGCCAATCTGCTCAATTCTTTGATGCAAGGATGGCTGAACATTGATGTCTCCTACATCCAGAAACTTGTCCAGTTCAGGCCAAATCGGATTGCAGCTGTTATTCATGCTCGTGGAGGTATCACACACTATTAGGTACGTTTCAGTCACAGGTGACTCATTTTTTGTCTGGTGAGCTTGTTTTTCCTGTCTGACTTGTTTATTGTCCAGCTATCACATCCAAAAAGAAGACCACAGTCAGGACAATCCTGATCTTTGTTTGCAGTCATTATATTTAAAGATCTTTCCAAGCTCCTTAATCCTTGTTCCTCAGAGTGCCAGTCTGTGTCTTATGTCTCGAGTGCTGGATCCTCTGTTGTTAATAATTGATCCGAGAAGGCGAAAGCTGTCCACCACTTCCACATCTACTCCATCAGTGACAAAGTGAGCAACGTTTCCTGTGGTCATAACCTCAGTCTTCTTCATACTGAGCTTAAGTCCCATCATTTAACTCTGTTCCTAACCTTATAAGGACCTTCTAATGTTCCAGATTTCCACTATGAGTCAGAGGTTATTGATATTTCTTCCACCAATCCTGAACCCTCGATCATCTTCCTCCAGTCCTGCTCGCCACGATCATTATACCATTCTTCTTACTTTATGTTTCTCATTAAAAGTTAATTAGTCTGTCCTTGTTAACACATTTCAGCCAATCAGTTGAGTTGCATGAGGGAGGTAGCCATATTTGGTAGAAGGCCCATGTTTCTGACTGTAGACATTCTGTATGAACTACTATATAGTTTCAATGTTTTCAATATTATATTCCAACAAGTAGAAAACAGAAAAAAAGAGAACCCTTTAAGAGCAGGTGTGTCCAAACTTTTGACTCTTAATATATGTTTACTTAAATGGGAATTGGGCAATACAAGCACTTCTAAGTGGACAAAAGTAAATAGTATTGGAACTATTTCAAATGAAATATGAAAATGTAAATTATAAAAATTATTGTTATGAAGGCCGACTTAACACACTTAGGTAAAAGCTAGCTGCACGCAATTAATGAATGTTAAAACATCGTTGTTGTTGTTGTTTTCACAACAATATGTAATATTTTCTCTTTAGGACAATCAAATATTTTATGTTGGAAAATCTAGATATTTAAAATGGTTAAAATAGCCATCCATGAACTGTCCAAGCAGGGACCAAACACACCTCACTGCCTAACGGGGACGTGAGAGGACAAACGGTGATCACCGTGTGTATAACTGTGAAATCGAGTCAAAGCCAGATCTCATCACTGCTTGTGCTGTTCACTTTGTAGATGTAACCAACCATGGGGTACCTGGCGAAAACCTGAGGGGACAGAACAGAGTTACACTGTTAAATCATACATCCACTCATTGGTCACTTTATTAGAAACACAAACCCTATGCTTCCACTAAATGGCCACTTTATCAGAAACACCCACCTTGTGCTTCCACTAACTGGCCACTTTATTAGAAACACCCACCTTGTGCTTCCACTCACTGGCCACTTTATTAGAAACACCAACCTTGTACATCCACTAACTGGCCACTTTATTAGAAACACCCACCTTGTGCTTCCACTAACTGGCCACTTTATCAGAAACACCCACCTTGTGCTTCCACTAACTGGCCACTTTATTAGAAACACCCACCTTGTGCTTCCACTAACTGGCCATTTTATTAGAAACACCTACCTTGCACTTCCACTAACTGGCCACTTTATTAGAAACACCTACCTTGCACTTCCACTAACTGGCCACTTTATTAGAAACACCTACCTTGTACTTCCACTAACTGGCCAGTTTACCATTGCAATGATAGAAGTCATACATCCACACTTCCCCTTTAAGACAAACACTAACTTATAAGTTTAGACGGCTTAACCTCTGACCTCTAGCTGCATAGGCCAAGGACAGGTCCTCCTCCTCTTCCTCCTCCGTCTTGCGTGCTAAAGTATTTTGTTTGGAGTTCGGCCGTCCTGAAAGTATTCCACACATCACACACTGCCGTCTGTTCTTTGTATAAGCAAAACTCCAGATCAGCCAAGACATGATTGGTATCCAAATTTCTCCTTTTTCTTTAGTTTGGCTCTGGAGCTCTGAGGCTAACATTGCTAACAAACACTAGAAGTCAATAGTCACCCAAATCTGTCCTGTAAATACTCCCCCAAAACTTCTCAAAACCCTCCCAAACCGCATTCCTCCATATTAATGACGGTCACTGCCACAAATACTCACTCTACATCGAGGTGGACGCCTGGGGTGGGTGAATACGGACACTGTTGTCTAAAGCAGCAACCCGAAGTGTTCAGATACCCAAAGTTTTGCTCATTTTTAAAGCTCACAGTGAGTCATACTGTGTCCTAAACCACATCAACAAGTCTGCACCACCTTAATGAGGACCTGGGTGCGGTTTGAGCAGGTCGAGAGACATTTTGGTGGTGTATTTTCACAGAAATGATTTGGGCTATTTGGGTGACTATTGACTTCTAGTGTTTTTTAGCAACTTGCTGTTCCAGTTTTAAACTAAACAAGCAAAACTTGGACTCCAAACATGTCTCGGCCAATCGAATACATCTGGGGTATGTGGACAACTGTGAATTGATCTTTGCCAAACCAATCCATTGAGAGCAGTATATGCAAATTAGCTCTGTTCTGATTGGCTGTGCCTTGTTCCAAAGTAGCCGAGGCTGAAACACCCCTTATAACTTCAGTGTGAATGGGCGCTGCTTAGCTGTAGGCTGACTAGGTGGATATATGCACAGGTGCTGTTTTTGTGACATCACAAAGGCAATGAATTCAAAATGGGCTACTTTTGTAGCTTATTATCCATAGAGGGGGGTTAACATCTTAATATTGCTTACATACAACTCAAAATAGCAAGGAAAGCTGGGAAATAAGACCTAGATTTAGATTTAATTTTATTACTTTCATTTCTATTTCCTATTATTATTATTGTACTTCAACATTAATGGCCACATTTGAGTCCACAGTCAATCATTTGACACATTTGATACAGTGCAGATTCAAACTGGTCTTGCCTTTGCAGAGCATGCTGTGGTCATTCAGCTGGACGTTGGAGGGCAGGGACATGTTCTCCCGGGGCAGATACACACCGTCCACCTGCACTTTTGCTGAGTCATTACTACAAAAATACATCCCACACGTACATTACAAGCCGAAATTGTGGGACATTTGTTAAAATTTGTTAACATGATTCTATTAAGAGATAATAGAAATTAAAATGTATATTAACAGAACACAGAATTAAAATATGACCACTGACACTGGACAGATTCACTGGACAAACCTTGGATGATCCGGTATGAATTATTTCACTCCATTCAAGTGCAATGTACAATGTAAATAACCATTCAATATTGAAAACAATGAATTTTTACCATGATAGCACAATACTTACCATTTCATGGTTATGGGAATCGCGACAGGCTCTTCTAACAAAAAAAAAGGAAAGAAAGATGGAAAGGTTAGTTATTTATCTCTCTATCCTGCTGATATCGTATCTTATCACAAGTCTGAAAAGTCGCTGTAAAGCAACAGAGGTTCTGTGTTATCGCAAGTAACATCACGGCTGCGATTCGGTCACTGAAGATCATCACAACCGTGATGTCATTCACCATAACACCCGACCTCGAGTGTTCCATGACACAACAGTTCTGCAAAATAAAGGAAAATGTAACGCAAAGACGTCCCCAGAATTGTATGAATGAGCTTTAATACTGGCAAATCCTTCCGCCACAAAAAGTAGTACCCGGTTCTGCAGTTTCTCGTTAGGCTGAATGAATAACCGACTCTAAATGTAGGTATTGTGATATGAACTGAGTCTGTTCTACAGTTTCTCATTAGGTTGAATGAATAACCGACTCTAAATGTAGGTATTGTGATATGAACTGAGTCTGCTCTACAGTTACTCATTAGGTTGAATGAATAACCGACTCTAAATGTAGGTATTGTGATATAAACTGAGTCTGTTCTACAGTTTCTCATTAGGTTGAATGAATAACCGACTCTAAATGTAGGTATTGTGATATAAACTGAGTCTGTTCTACAGTTTCTCATTAGGCTGAATGAATAACCGACTCTAAATGTAGGTATTGTGATATAAACTGAGTCTGTTCTACAGTTTCTCATTAGGCTGAATGAATAACCGACTCTAAATGTAGGTATTGTGATATAAACCGAGTCTGTTCTACAGTTTCTCATTAGGTTGAATGGGATTATTACCAGTGTTCAGTAAGGCCTGTCCAACATCACAATAGTTGCTATGAATGCTATCACATTTGTGGGTGGAGTGAACAGGACAATTAACCCAGACTACCATGTAACTTTTCCCCCGAAATACGAACGTATCCTGCAGAATATTCACAAGTGATCTGGAGAACCGAATTTTGTTCGCGAAAGCATCCTTAGACATACCACATGGTCAGCAGGAGCAAAGCTAAGGGCAGCCATACCGATGGCTTTGCCTTTGTCCTTGTGCAGAAGGCAGAGCACCATCAGTGTGAGGATGAGGAGGGTGATGAAGCCAGCAACGCCACCCGTAACGATCCCCAGCATTGGCACCTCCACCCGTGACTGCAGGAACTCTGAGAAATCAGAAAAAGGTTCAAAATGACCCAGCTGAAAAAACCAGCATAGACCAGCATGGCTGATCACCAGCAAAACCAGCATATGTTGTGTTTTGGATGCTGGTATGTTGGTCAACCACCATGACCATGCTGGGGTGACCAGCTAAACCAGAACCAGACCAGCACCAGACCAGCATAAACAAGTACATCCCAGCTCAGACCAGTACAATGCTTGCTGATCTATGATTTTTTTCAGCAGGTAATTTCTCTCAGGTAGCTGGCTAACAGGCTAAAGATCAGCTAGGTGACCAACAATCAACCCAGACAGCGAGCGTATATCGGTCCACTGGCTTGATGAGGTCGGCACCCCACTGACTGTTTGCCACTGCTGGTCCACCCTCAGACCAGGGAAAATGAGCAACGATATGTGGAATTTTGCCTATTACTCTGCTTAACCACCAGTGGGCCGCCTGGAAAATGCTGAGCAAAATGCCAGTGGACCACCAGCTTTGCCATCAGTGGGCCGACAGTGGTCCACTATCCTCTTGCTATCAGCGCAGGCTAAGTGGCTAATGATCAAGTTTACTGGTTGATAAACTAACCATCAGCTAACTGGCAAACAATCAGACTAACTGGCTAATGATAAGCTGACTGTCTAAAAAAACATGCTAACTGGCTAACAATCAGTTAACTGACCTTCAGGCTGACTGGCTAACGATCAAGGAAACTTGCTAACAATTAGCTAACTTACAAACAGTCAGGCTAACTGGCTAATAATCTTTCTAATGATTAGCAATCTGACTAATAAGCACACTAACTGGGTAACTGATCATTTAACGGGCGAATGATCAGCTAACTGGCTTACAATTAAGCAAACTCACTAACAGTTAGCTAACAGGCTAATGGTCGAGCTAACTGGCTACAAAATAGCTAACAGACTAATAAGGATGTGTTAGAATATGAACTGTTTTAGCACGTTTGAATGTTCAGAGTAACTAGATATTCTAGACTGGACAAAAAAGTGAACAGTTAAATTAAACATGGATTTTTTGTTCTTTATTTAATCAATTTTCTTGATCAGTTTGACCTACTGGGCTGCAGAAATGTATGCAGACGCTGCAGCACCCACTGGATCAAACTGAGGATGTTTGATGTAACAGATGATTCATTAATTAGAGCTGCCTGACTATATTCATTAAAGTGGCTTAATTAGATTAATTAGACTAACCTAATTAGAACAGTCTGTTAAAAGAATCCTCCAGTGATTTCTGAAATAATCTCAATATGCTGCGTTTGTATCTTACTGTTGATTCCCATTGACAATGACTGTACGATGCAGACGTAGCAGACAGAGATCAGGTTGAAAATACACTGGACTAATTTCTTACGCACTCTTCACGTGAGGAGCGAAATCAGACCTGTTAACGTGAGGTTGGTCTGGACGGAGCCAACGCTGTTGTTGGCGCTGACCGAGACGTTTCCTGGCAGGCTGCTCAGGGTGACCTGTAGGCTGTGATTGGCCAGCCAGGGGTAGCTCCGTGAGTCCAGGATGAGGAAGTCTGTAGTGTTGGCTACCAGCTGGCCAGACTGGTCCACCCAGGTGATAGTGGCGGGGGGGTTGGAGCGCACCAGAGCGAAGAGGACCAAGGAGAGACCAGGGTCTGAGGTTTCACTGTAGTGAGCATTCACTCGCAGAATCTCCGGCTGAACTGGGTGAGAGAGAACTGGCATAAAAAAAACCCCAAAAGGACATTATAATAAAACATACAGTCCTTTCTTAGAAAGGAGATCAGATCGCAGCCCAAAAATTGTCTGAATCCAACTGTAGCCCAATAAAATTCTCTCTGAACTTGACTGTAGCCCACAAAATTCTGTCTGAACTCGACTGTAGCCCCACAAAATTCTCTCTGAACTCGACTGTAGCCCACAAAATTCTGTCTGAACCAAGTGTAGCCCACAAAATACTGTCTGAACCGACTGTAGCCTAACAAAATTCTCTCTGAACTCGACCGTAGCCCACAAAATTCTGTCTGAACCGACCGTAGCCCACAAAATACTGTCTGAACCGACTGTAGCCTAACAAAATTCTGTCTGAACTCGACTGTAGCCTAACAAAATTCTCTCTGAACTCGACTGTAGCCCACAAAATTCTGTCTGAACCGACTGTAGCCCACAAAATACCGTCTGAAGTGACTATAGTCCAACAAAATTGTCTGAACCCGACTGCAGCCCAACAAAATTCTGTCTGAACCAACTGTAGCTGACAAAATTCTGTCTGAACCGACTGTAGCCTGACAAAATTCTATCTGAACTGACTGCAGCCCACAAAATTCTGTCTGAACCAACTGTAGCCCAACAAAATTCTGTCTGAACCGACTGTAGCCTGACAAAATTCTGTCTGAACCGACTATAACCTGACAAAATTCTGTCTGAACCGACTGTAGCCTGACAAAATTCTGTTTTAACCGACTGTAGCCCCACAAAATTCTGTCTGAATCGACTGTAGCCCCACAAAATTCTGTCTAAACCGACTGTAGCTGACAAAATTCTGTCTGAACCGACTGTAGCTGACAAAATTCTCTCTGAACTCGACTGTAGCCCACAAAATTCTGTCTGAACTCGACTGTAGCCCAAAAAATTCTGTCTGAACCGACTGCAGCCCAACAAAATTCTGTCTGAACCAACTGTAGCTGACAAAATTCTGTCTGAACCGACTGTAGCCCAACAAAATTCTGTCTGAACCGACTGTAGCCCAACAAAATTCTATCTGAACTGACTGCAGCCCAATAAAACTCTGTCTGCACTGACTGTAGCCTGACAAAATTCTGCCTGAACCGACTGCAGCCCCACAAAATTCTATCTGAACCGACTGTAGCCCCACAAAATTCTGTCTGAACCGACTGTAGCCCCACAAAATTCTGTCTGAATCGACTGTAGCCCAACAAAATTCTGTCTGAACCGACTGTAGCTGACAAAATTCTGTCTGAATCGACTGTAGCTGACAAAATTCTGTCTGAACTCGACTGTAGCCCAACAAAATTCTGTCTGAACCGACTGTAGCTGACAAAATTCTGTCTGAATCGACTGTAGCTGACAAAATTCTGTCTGAACCGACTGTAGCTGACAAAATTCTGTCTGAATCGACTGTAGCCTGACAAAATTCTGTCTGAACTCGACTGTAGCTGACAAAATTCTATCTGAACTGACTGTAGCCCCACAAAATTCTATCTGAACTGACTGTAGCCTGACAAAATTCTGTCTGAATCGACTGTAGCTGACAAAATTCTGTCTGAATCGACTGTAGCTGACAAAATTCTGTTTTAACCGACTGTAGCCCAACAAAATTCTGTCTGAACCGACTGTAGCCCAACAACATTCTGTCTGAACCGACTGTAGCCCCACAAAATTCTGTCTGAACCGACTGTAGCCCAACAAAATTCTGTCTGAACCGACTGTAGCCCAACAAAATTCTGTTTTAACCGACTGTAGCCCACAAAATTCTGTCTGAACCGACTGTAGCCTGACAAAATTCTGTTTTAACTGACTGTAGCCCGACAAAATTCTGTTTTAACTGACTGTAGCCCAACAAAATTCTGTTTTAACCGACTGTAGCCCACAAAATTCTGTCTGAACCGACTGTAGCCTAACAAAATTCTGTCTGAATCGACTGTAGCTGACAAAATTCTGTCTGAATCGACTGTAGCTGACAAAATTCTGTCTGAACCGACTGTAGCCCAACAAAATTCTGTCTGAACCGACTGTAGCCCCACAAAATTCTGTCTGAACCGACTGTAGCCCAACAAAATTCTGTTTTAACCGACTGTAGCCCACAAAATTCTGTCTGAACCGACTGTAGCCTGACAAAATTCTGTCTGAACCGACTGCGGCCCATAAAATTCTGTCTGAACCAACTGTAGCCTCACAAAATTCTGTCTGAATCAACTGTAGCCTCACAAAATTCTGTCTGAACCAACTGTAGCCTCACAAAATTCTGTCTGAATCAACTGTAGCTGACAAAATTCTGTCTGAACTCGACTGTAGCCCAACAAAATTCTGTCTGAACCGACTGTAGCCCCACAAAATTCTATCTGAACTGACTGCAGCCCACAAAATTCTGTCTGAACCAACTGTAGCCCAACAAAATTCTGTCTGAATCAACTGTAGCTGACAAAATTCTGTCTGAACCGACTGTAGCCCCACAAAATTCTGTCTGAATCGACTGTAGCCCAACAAAATTCTGTCTGAACCGACTGTAGCTGACAAAATTCTGTCTGAATCGACTGTAGCTGACAAAATTCTGTCTGAACTCAACTGTAGCCCAACAAAATTCTGTCTGAACCGACTGTAGCTGACAAAATTCTGTCTGAATCGACTGTAGCTGACAAAATTCTGTCTGAACCGACTGTAGCTGACAAAATTCTGTCTGAATTGACTGTAGCCTGACAAAATTCTGTCTGAACCGACTGTAGCTGACAAAATTCTGTCTGAATCGACTGTAGCTGACAAAATTCTATCTGAACTCGACTGTAGCTGACAAAATTCTGTCTGAATTGACTGTAGCCCAACAAAATTCTGTCTGAACCGACTGTAGCTGACAAAATTCTGTCTGAATCGACTGTAGCTGACAAAATTCTGTCTGAACTCGACTGTAGCTGACAAAATTCTGTCTGAACCGACTGTAGCCTGACAAAATTCTGCCTGAACCGACTGTAGCCTGACAAAATTCTGTCTGAACCGACTGTAGCCCACAGAATTCTGTCTGAACCGACTATAACCTGATATAATTCTGTCTGAGCCGACTGTAGCCCAACAACATTCTGTCTGGGCTTAACTGTAGCTAAACCCGAACCAAACAGTCCAATCATGAGCTATGGAGCAGCTTACACTGAACATAGCCCAACAAAATTCTATCTGAACTGACTGTAGCCCAACAAAATTCTGTCTGCACCGACTGTAGCTGACAAAATTCTGTCTGAACCGACTGTAGCCTGACAAAATTCTGTCTGAATCGACTGTAGCTGACAAAATTCTGTCTGAACTCGACTGTAGCCCAACAAAATTCTGTCTGAACCGACTGTAGCTGACAAAATTCTGTCTGAATCGACTGTAGCTGACAAAATTCTGTCTGAACCGACTGTAGCTGACAAAATTCTGTCTGAATTGACTGTAGCCTGACAAAATTCTGTCTGAACCGACTGTAGCTGACAAAATTCTGTCTGAATCGACTGTAGCTGACAAAATTCTATCTGAACTCGACTGTAGCTGACAAAATTCTGTCTGAATTGACTGTAGCCCAACAAAATTCTGTCTGAACCGACTGTAGCTGACAAAATTCTGTCTGAATCGACTGTAGCTGACAAAATTCTGTCTGAACTCGACTGTAGCTGACAAAATTCTGTCTGAACCGACTGTAGCCTGACAAAATTCTGCCTGAACCGACTGTAGCCTGACAAAATTCTGTCTGAACCGACTGTAGCCCACAGAATTCTGTCTGAACCGACTATAACCTGATATAATTCTGTCTGAGCCGACTGTAGCCCAACAACATTCTGTCTGGGCTTAACTGTAGCTAAACCCGAACCAAACAGTCCAATCATGAGCTATGGAGCAGCTTACACTGAACATAGCCCAACAAAATTCTATCTGAACTGACTGTAGCCCAACAAAATTCTGTCTGCACCGACTGTAGCTGACAAAATTCTGTCTGAACCGACTGTAGCCTGACAAAATTCTGCCTGAACCGACTGTAGCTGACAAAATTCTGCCTGAACCGACTGTAGCTGACAAAATTCTGTCTGAACCGACTGTAGCTGACAAAATTCTGTCTGAACCGACTGTAGCTGACAAAATTCTGTCTGAATCGACTGTAGCTGACAAAATTCTGCCTGAACCAACTGTAGCCTGACAAAATTCTGCCTGAACCAACTGTAGCCTGACAAAATTCTGTCTGAACCGACTGTAGCTGACAAAATTCTGTCTGAACCGACTGTAGCCCAACAAAATTCTGTCTGAATCGACTGTAGCTGACAAAATTCTGTCTGAACCGACTGTAGCTGACAAAATTCTGTCTGAACCGACTGCAGCTCACAAAATTCTGTCTGAACCGACTGTAGCTCGACAAAATTCTGCCTGAACCGACTGTAGCCTGACAAAATTCTGTCTGAACCGACTGTAGCCCACAGAATTCTGTCTGAACCGACTATAACCTGATATAATTCTGTCTGAGCCGACTGTAGCCCAACAACATTCTGTCTGGGCTTAACTGTAGCTAAACCCGAACCAAACAGTCCAATCATGAGCTATGGAGCAGCTTACACTGAACATTTAGGATGACCGTAGCATTGTAGCTCTCTCCACCGCCCGGGTTACTGGCAGCACACACCAGCTCGCGGTCCCATTTCCTCGGCCGGAGTGTGAAGCTGCTGTTTCGTTCCGAGTTGTACTTCACCCTGCCCGAATCCTCTGGTGATGTCATCACCAGGCGTGCGGCGCCCTGGCTGCCCGTCACCTCGCTCTGCCGTTCCCCGTTCAGGTACCAGGTCAGTAGGGGCGGAGCCTGTGCACTCCAGCCCTCCGACTCGCAGTTGAAGCGGTGGGAGACGTTCTCCTGCAGGTTGACCTCAGAACGCTGGTGTCCATCAATCTTGGGGGCGGGATCGATTGCGTCTAAAAGGGTCCAGACATTTAAACAAAAGACAATCAGACAAAACTTATTAATGAAGCTAGACGTTAGACCCACATTCACCACAAGACAGAGCAATCAAAAAATCAATCACCTGTCCACCCCCAGGTAAAGGTGTGCAGGAGGAGCACAGAAAGCCCCACCCCCTTCCTCAGACACACCCACTCCATAGTGTCCTAAAGGAAACAAACACATATACAGTACCATTCAAAATTGCGGATGCCTATACTTAATTTTCAATTTGTACTATTTTCCACATCTTACAATTATAGTGAAGACATACAATCCATTAAATTAACACGTACTGATTTCATCCAATCAGAAATACTGACTTTCTGGCAAAAAGAGCTATTTAGACCCCACCTACCAAAACACACCTGATTGGCTCACATGCATTAACGAGGTAATAACTTTTAGTGAGGTACACATTATAATTAGAATGATACGATGATTGTTGTTCAGTTGTAAATTAAGTTCTAAATGAAAAAAAAATAAATGTAAAATTTCTGTTTTGGAAAATAATTCATATACAGGCATCAACCTCACTCTTTCTTTTTGCCCTAGAAACACCTTTCAGGCAGAGGCCTCTTGATATAAACGTCTTTAAAATCATGAAAAACAGTCATACGCAAAAGTTTCAGCACCCCTGGTCTCATGATGTGTTTTCATTGTGATTTTTTTAAGTGGAAATAACACATATAACACATCTTCTACACAGAATACACTTTGGCACATTTTAATACAGACTTAGACAATCAATAAAACCTGTGCCCAGAAAATGGCATATTTAAGTGGAGGATGTCTCGGAGGAAGCTTGTGCTGGCCTTCACCCTTGCGTGATAGAGGAAGAGCTAGCTAGCAGGTGGAACTGGCTACGACTAAACTGAGGAGAAAAATCAGGTCAATAACGGAAGCAAATGCTGTCAGCACTTTTCTACTCTTACTGTAGTCTTGCACTTATTAAATTGCCTTATAAGGGTATTGTGTACCCTTGTAGGACTCCTGTTTCTGGCAGTGTCTTAAGCCACTGCATGACTTTCAGAGTTGTCAGATTGCTGTACTGTTCACACTGGACAACTTGCTGTCTTGTAAAAGGTCCGATAGCGTCACTAGGGTGGAACCCTCAAGGCTCCATCTCAGCACCTTTAGTCAGGGAACATAACTGAACCACAATCCACTGAAATGATATTTTCTAAGCTGTACTGACTCCACACACCCCGTCTCGTCTCCAGGCTTTTATTTTACTGTTCTGTTTTAAAACATTCGGTTATGAAAAGGTACAAATACGAACTTTTCAGCTTAAGGTACACAACTGGACCTTAAAACCACTGTTGTACCTTTGAGGGAACATTTACATTGTTTGTACCTTGATGAATGAAACATGTACCTGCACAGAACCTGTGGTTCTAGCAGTGTGAGGATCTTGAAGTCGTTGTATTTGCACTCCACATGACTGATCAGCGAGAGGGGCTCACTGACAAGATCACAAGATTTTCCAAGGAATCTCTGACCAGTCCGTCTGCTCTCCGAGCTACACTCTGTCTTGAAAACAGGCGAGAAGTGAGACGGGGAATGAGGCGATACCAAGCACGAGGCAGGGATCTTTTTCTTCCAAAAACGGATGTCAGCAAGAAGTGAGCGATCCAAGTTGTTGGTTGATTTGCAGCGAAAAAACAAGCAGGAAAAAGAAACCAATATGGCTGGGAGAGCTTTTGTTGTAGTCATGCTTGTTGATGTTGTACAGCTCCTCCCTGGGTTTCTCCTCACCCTGTATCTTGCGCTCTCATTGGCTGTAGCTCATCACTGCACTCACTGCCAGTCACAACACTGTTCACACTACAGGACTTGGACTCCCTCACTGCCCCAGATCAGAGGCGAATTAATGTTCGCTTGGGGCTCGCAGATCGGCTCTCGATTGCTAGGTGGGAATTGTTCAAGGACGCCAACCGAGAGACTCACTGATGCCTCGCAGATGCTAAAAAGATATCAAGCAGGTTAATTAGCTGGATCTTTCGGGCATCTGCGAGGCATCAGTGAGTCTCTCGGTTGGCGTCCTTGAACAATTCCCACATGGCGATCGAGAGCCGATCTGCGAGCCCCAAGCGAACACTGATTTGCCCCTGATCTGGGGCTTTTCTCGACAATCTCCAAAAACTGTCGGTCAGTGAAAAATCAGGGCTAAAATTGCGTAGTGTGAACGCACCATTAGCTAAAGACATACTTTAGGACACTAGCCTCTTAGCATTAGCATTAGCATTAGCGTAGACAACCGAACAGAAAACAAAGCATTTATAGAGGATTATATTAAAAACATTAGGGTTAGTATAATATACCTTAATGTAATGTCTATGAGCATCTAGACACACTTTCATAACATATTTTAATGCATTTGTAAGGCATTATAACACGTTATATTGTCACTTGCCAAAGAAGTCAGTCCCAGCTTACAGAGTGCAAAGTGAGGCAAATAAGATTATTAATGCCATTTCCAATATTTTATTTTTCCCCACTGGGGTTAGGGCTGGACCTTCAGGGCTTCAGTCCTGGATATTCAGATGCTCCAAACAGGCTGTCCCCCAGAGTTATTACTACTACCTATTGCTTTCCTTGACCAGCACTCTTACTTTAATCATTACATCACAGCCAACTAAGTACCCACCAGGCCCCTCTCCTGAACCTCCTCTGACATCACACTCAGCATGAAGATGCTGTGGTGTGAAGTCATAGAGAGTGAGAGGCAGGTTTGTAGAGTGCTATCATTGTTATCTGCTCCCTCACTGGTTCTAACATTAACCAGAAACCTTCACTTTGCAAGTGGGCTTTGTTTGTCCGATTACCATCACTACAGTAATGCTAATTTCTGCTAGCATTCTATTGGATTTGCAGTGTTAAATTAGTCTCAAGCTAACGGTTGTGTAAATTCCAACATTGGGTAAAATACCACTGATGGCACCAGCAGTTTAAAGTCTTATATTGAAGTTTCGTAATGTGCTTTATTTTATATGTTTTAGTGTTTTAGTAAATCCTTTAACTTGAAGTTTCAGTCTTAAAACTGGAGGAGCCTTTATTCCAATACACCTCACTTTACTTACAGCTGACATATACAACTTACAAGCTTTTATAACTATATTAATATTATTATTTATATTAACTATATTAATATTATTTATGTTTTGCATGCTTTTCGATGTTGACTTTTGTGATGAGGTTGCAGGTGATGACTCTGCCATGCAGGTCATATTTACGTAAACAACTGCAGAGTAGAATGGTGCACCACCACTCCTGTGTCAGCTAAACTTTCCTGCTCTTTGCTGTCATGTGGGGGTTTTGCTTTGCCTTTCTGGCCAGCATATGAGCAGTTCTATCTCAGTGTCCAGAGCTTGCCTTGACTTCCACAGTTCCCCTTAACTGCCATTTCTTTGTGAGCTAGAAGTGTTTTGATATCTTCTACAGCTGTACAATAAATCAGCACATTCTTATGTATTATTGGTAAACAAATGAAAAATTTAATTAGGCTTTGACTCCGAATTACTAAAGAATATCTACCTATCAAGTCTTCTTTTATTGGTCTTTTTCTCCTATATTTTGTTTTCTTACTTGTTTTTTCTCCCTTCACAAGAAAAAGTATAAAAATATAGTTCATTCAGCAGATCCAGTTTGGAATAAACATTGCAAGATGACAGAATAGGGATGAAAGCAAGAGAGTGATGACGATGGTGACGGCCAGCTGGTCAATAATTCACAGGATTCCATGCTTGAGCTTCCAGAGGAAACCCAAAACAGAGACAAGAGAGGATAAAGCCGGCAGTTAATCAATCAAGCTGTTCACCGCAAGCTAATTTGACTGCTTAGTCACTGAGGGAAGCAGAGCTGATCAATAATCACTGATCAGAGTAGGGTTGCACAATATATCCCCACATTCCTACATATTATTGGCAGAAAGGGTTATAAAGTTAGCATCTATCATATTACAATTGTACACCATATATAGTTTCTGATGTGCCTTGACTTCCACAGTTCCCCTTGACTGCCATTTCATAGTGATAATTTCAGACAGTGGAAGTTCTGAGATGGAGAGCTTTGATATCTACAGTTGATCAACATCATAAGTCAGCACATTGTTATATATTATTGGCCGATAAATGGAAAACCTAATTATTTAGGTTAAAGTTAGCATCTAACATCTTAAACATTTCAGGAAGTAAGACTGTTTCTAGTAAACGGTGATGAAAAATATATTATTAAATAGGAATATGGTTAGGATTAGGACATCTAGCGCCTTAATCAAGCAAGGTGTTCCTTTCATCATATGCTGTTTTCTCTCCAAACATACCTTTGGTGGTTTTTACTTCATCAGTCCATATAATCCAAAGGCATGTTTACAAAATACCTCTGGGTTATTTACATGCTTTGCATGCCTCAGATGTTGACTTTTGTGATTAGGTTGCAGGTGATGACACTTCCATGCAGATCATGTTTACGTAAACAACCGCAAAGTAGAACCATGCACCATCACTCCTATGTCAGCTAAACCTTCCTGCAGCCTCTTTGCTGTCATGTGGGGGTTTTGCTTTGCCTTTCTGGCCAGCATATGAGCAATTCAGTTTCCAGAACTTGCCTTGACTTCCACAGTTCCGCTTAACTGCCATTTCGTAATGACACTTCCAACAGTGGACATTGTGAGCTAGAACTGTTTTGATATCTCCTACAGTTGGACAATAAATTAGCGCATTCTTATACATTATTGGCCAATAATTGGCATCAAGCATCTTTAGGGAAGCAGGATTGTTTTTAGCAGTCAGGACTGAAAAATATTTATCAGTGGCCAATACATTATTCACCAATCGTGGTAAAAGTTATTAGGAGCAAGCATAATGGGCAGAAATATAGAAATCTCTCTTGATTAGCATTACAGACAAATGTAGCATTTATTTCTGAAGGGTAACAAATACAGTAAAATGAGTAAAACACAGATATTTTAGTATATTGGCCTAAATGTTCTGCTCGTTTGAGATGCAGTCAATACAACATCAAACATTGGTTTGAAACGCCTGACAAATATGAACTATAAACCACAAAAAGTTTTGCTTCTGCCAATACCGATATGATTCCGACATCATCGTGCATCCCTAGTTAGCATTAGCACCCAGCATTTTAAGATCGTTAACCTGTGCTGTACTTTTGTATCTGTTTTAGTGCAAAATTGTTTTAAAAATTAAATTATTTTTTACCACAGCAAAGTATTCATTGCTTATCGGCCCAGATGTTCCAATCAGTCAGCGCCTGCGGTAGCACGGACGAGGCCGTGTTGTGTTTACCTCGCTGAGGCCCAGCTGCAGGCGCATATGCTGACCAAGACAACACAACCTTCCTGCAGTCCCTGATCAATAACCTACTGCACATGAACGTTACGGCTGTTTCTAACAGCAGGACACATGAACCGCACGACCGACAGCGCAGTTACGCTTCACAGCCTCCTTCAGGATGACGACAGTGAAGGGTGATGATGATGATGATGATGATAATGTTGATGCACTCAGCAACTTCAATCTGCTCTGTTAATCTGACACAGACATGCCTGGGTGAATGTTACCTGCTTATTTGGCGGCTGACGGAGCTTTTATTCCTCTGTGGATCCATTCATTCCTGCAGGACGAGAAACAGCCCTCCGCCCGGAGCTCAGAGCACAAACACGCACAGATCCACTGCAGCTGCCTCAGCTCTCAGACTGCTGCAGCCGAGAGAGAGAGAGAGAGAGAGAGAGATACAAAGAGCACAGAGAGAGAGAGAGATACAAAGAGCACAGAGAGAGAGAGAGGGAGGGAGAGAAAGATACAGAGAGCACAGGGAGAGAGAGCAGAGAGAGATACAGAGAGCACAGAGAGAGAGAGATACAGAGAGCAGAGAGAGCGGAGAGAGAGATACAGAGAGCACAGAGAGAGAGAGAGATGCAGAGAGAGAGAGAGAGAGATACAAAGAGCACAGAGAGAGAGAGAGATACAAAGAGCACAGAGAGAGAGAGAGATACAAAGAGCACAGAGAGAGAGATACAGAGAGCACAGAGAGAGAGAGAGCAGAGAGAGATACAGAGAGCACAGAGAGAGAGAGAGAGCAGCAGAGAGAGATAGAGAGAGAGAGCAGCACAGAGAGAGAGAGAGCGGAGAGAGATACAGAGAGCACAGAGAGAGAGAGAGTGGAGAGAGATACAGAGGGCAGAGAGACAGAGATAAAGGGAGAAAGAGAGAGAACAGATACAGTAAGAGAGATAGAGAGACATAGAAGAGTACAAGAGAACAAAGGAGAACAGATACAGTAAGAGAGATAGAGAGACATAGAAGAGTACAAGAGAACAAAGGAGAACAGAGAGAGAGAGTGGGCAAAAAAAAAAGGGCAATCAAATTTTGGACACATTTAAAAGACAGCGACCCTCACTCATATCATTATAAAGCCCTGCAGTACCAAGAGTTGAGCAAAGACAACAGTCCCCTCACTCAGCTGGTCCTGAAGCACAGTTCAACACTAACACACACTAACACCCCACTAACACACACTAACACCCCACTAACACACACTAACACTCCACAGGCTCAGGACCAGAACACACTAGGAAACCTAATTAGAGTGAACCAAATTACAAAACAGCTCAAACTGAATTATCTCACCTATTGGGAAACCGAGTCAAACTCACAGAGTAAAATGCAGTGTTATTTGGCCCTAAAACGTCAGTACAGTGTAGCAGATTACCTGAGCACACTGACTGACCCTAAACTGAGGTCCACCTTGACGAAGTACAGACTCAGTCAGCACCGTCTGGCCATAGAGACGGGCAGACACAGGAAATCTTGGCTACCAAAAGAGGAAAGACTGTGCCAGCAGTGCCAGCAGAATAGGCCTGAGACAGAGCTGCACTTTCTGACTGAATGTACCAAATTTACTCAGATTAGAACAGAATTCTTCAGTAAAATCACCAAAACATGTCCTGTGTTTGAGAATCTTCCCCCCACAGAGAAGCTGCCGTACGTTCTAGGAGAATATAAAGAGTTCTGCACACTGGCAGCGCAGTACGTTCACACCTGCCACACTCTGAGGGACAGTGAGTGACCACACCATGTCAGAGATTCACACCTATAAACACATACATTCTGCTTATTATTATTATTATTATTATTATATTATTATTATTATTATTATTATTATAACACCTGCTATATCTGTTATTGCTTTATATCTGTTATTGCTTTATATCTGTTATTGCTTTTTGTATATGTTGTACTTTGTTCTTAATCTCCCAACAAAAGCTTTGGCAATACAAGTGTTAATATTTGTCATGCCAATAAAGCAACATTGAATTGAATTGAATTGAATTGAGTGGAGTAAGAGAAATGTGGAGAGATACAGAGAGAGAGAGAGAGAGAGAGAGAGAGAGAGAGAGAGAGAGAGAGAGAGAGAGAGAGAGAGAGAGCGGAGAGAGATACAGAGAGCACAGAGAGAGAGAGAGTGGAGAGAGATACAGAGGGCAGAGAGACAGAGATAAAGGGAGAAAGAGAGAGAACAGATACAGTAAGAGAGATAGAGAGACATAGAAGAGTACAAGAGAACAAAGGAGAACAGAGAGAGAGAGTAGAGTAAGAGAAATGTGGAGAGATACAGAGAGAGAGAGAGAGAGAGAGAGAGATACAGAGAGCACAGAGAAAGAGAGAGAGCTACTCTATTCCACTGCAATAACAATCACAATTTTTATTCTCGAAAAAGGGGAGAGATAGTACGACGGCGTTTTAGGGCCACTGTTAACATTTAAAAATAGTAGTAGTGATATTCAGAGAAAAAGTTGTGATATTTTGAAAAAAAGTTGTGAGTTTTGAGAATAAAGTCATAATATAAGTCGTAATAAAGTCACTGCGTGGTATATTTTAAGAATAGTCGTAATATTTTGAAAACAAAGTCGTAATATTTCAAGAATAAAACCTTAATATGTTGAAAAAGTAATATTTAGAGAAAAAAGTTGTAATATTTCAAGAATAAAATCATATTTTGAGAATAAATCGTGATATTTCGAAAACAAAGTCATAATATTTTGAGAATAAAATTCTAATACTAAAAATTCCACAACATTAAAGTGGCAGTAATACCAGGAAAAAACACAATATTATGGCCAAAGGGTTTGTAAAAGGATGGTAGTGACCTCCTGGTGTTGAATGAGGGGCGGTGAGTTGGTGGAGTTCTACTTTCATATCGATTCCCCCATAAAGAAACACTCAGTCTCCCTGTCTCTCCTGCACATCAGCACCAGCCTGTTATTAGGATAAGAACCGGCTGAAACGGCTGAGCAGGAAACCGTGTTTATCTAGAATAAAGAGCCAGACGGACTCGGAGGAAACTGTCTGTCTGTGTTGTTGAAGGAGAATTTCAGGCTATAAGACTATTGGTGGTTACATCTCCATTCGAAGTGGGTGTTAAGTTTCACAGGAGACAATAAGAACGATAATCAGAATGACAGATCCTGAACGAGTGGAACTCCGGCACACTCGGCATCTTCGTCGTCGCCAGTACAGCAACCGAGGCCCCACCGCGGTATGGCAGCCCCCCTACAGTTAGCCCACTTTATCCTCCAAATATCAAGAGTTTATTCTTTTAACTTTACAGTTTTTAACAGTGGCCCTAAATGCCATCGGAATATAGAGATAAAACAGATAGAAAAAGATAAAGAAAAAGAGAGAGAGAGAGACACAGAGAGAGAGAGAGAGACACAGAGAGAGAGACTCCAACAATCTATGACCTTGGCACAAAGATCATTTACTCCTGTAGACTCAAACACCCTCAGCTCTGTGCTCAGCTGCTCTGGTCTGGAAAGCCTCCGCAGTGCAGGCTCATTCAGGCAGAGGCAGTGGAGCCTGAAACACCTGGATGGAGGACGAATCAGAAGCTAGAGGGCGCTACCGAGCGAGTCCTAAATGAAAGGGTTCCTATGGAGCTTCTGAGCAAAATCATATTTTATAAACACTTAATTTTTTAATAGAAAAATACACAAAGTTTCTGACCCAGAACAGCAAACCGGATTTCAACACTGCTGTTCAGACTTCATAACAGTGTCTTATGTACATTCGTCAAGTCTGAGCGCAAATCACTTCACTTAGGCAATGAGCCAATCAGCACTCAGTAGCAGTAATGACAGCCAGTCAGCACTCAGTAGCAGTAATGACAACCAATCAGCTCAAGGTAGCAGTAATGACAGCCAATCAGCACTCAGTTGCAGTAATGACAGCCAATCAGCACTCAGTAGATCAGTAGTAATGCTAACCAATCAGCGCTTTTTTCTGCGATGCTCTAATGGAACACATCCTTTTCTTTTCATTGTTTTGTGTGAAATTGGGACTCAACTTGAGACTTTCTTGTACTAATTCAGGACTCGACTTGAGGCTTGCCCAGACTGACTTGGGACTCGACTTGAGGCCTGCCAAGACTGACTTGGGACTCGACTTGAGGCTTGCCTACTTGGGCCTCAACCCTGCCCGTACTGATGGAGCATTTGACTCGAGACTTGCCTGTACTGACTCAAGATTTGACATGAGGGTTGCCCATTCTGTCTCAGGACTCAACTTAAGGCTTGCCTGGACTAACTCAGGACTCGACCTGAGGCTTGTCCGCACAGACTTGTAACTCAAATCGAGGCTTGCCCAGACTAACTCAGGACTCAATTTGAGGCTTGCCCGTACTGACTCAGGGCTCGACTTGAGAACTGGCCGAAGTGACTCATGACTCAACTTGAAGCTTGAGTTTTGAGTCTATCTTGCCCGTACTGACTCAGGGCTCGACTTGAGACTTGTCTGGTTTGACTCAGGACATGAGACTTGCCTGCACTCATTCAGGACACGACCAGAAGCTTGTCTGTACTGACTCTGGACTTGACTTGAGGCATGCGTGTGCTGATTTAGGACCTGACTTAAGGCTTGTCTGTTCAGACTCAAGACTTGACCTTGCACGTACTGACTCAACTTGAGACTCGCCTGTTCTGATTCAGGACTCAAGACTTGCCTGTACTGTTCTGAATTTGGGACTCGACCTTGTCTGTACTAACTCTAGACTTACGACTTGCCTGTACTGACTCAGGACATGTCTTGAGGCTTGCTCGTACTGTCTCAGAACTTTACCTCGGTCCACTACTCAGGACTCGACTTGAGGCTTGCTCGTACTGACTCAAGACTCGACTTTGCCTGAACTATTTAGGACTCGACTTGAGGCTTGCTTGTACTGACTTGGGACTTGACCTTGCCTGAATCACTCAGGACTCGAGGCTTGCTCGTACTGTCTCAGAACTTTACCTCGGTGCACTACTCAGGACTCGACTTGAGGCTTGCTCATACTGACTCAGAACTTTACCTCGGTCCACTACTCAGGACTTGACTTAAGGCTTGCTCGTACTGACTCAAGACTCGACCTTGCCTGAACTATTTAGGACTCAACTTGAGGCTTGCTCGTACTGACTTGGGACTTGACCTTGCCTGCATCACTCAGGACTCAAGGCTTGCTTGTACTGTCTCGGAACTTGACCTGGGTGCACTACTCAGGACTCGACTTGAGGCTTGCTCATACTGACTCAGAACTTGACCTCGGTGCACTACTCAGAACTTGACCTCAGTGCACTACTCAGGACTCGACTTGAGGCTTGCTCATACTTACTCAAGACTCAACCTTGCCTGAACTATTTAGGACTCGACTTGAGGCTTGCTCGTACTGACTCGGGACTTGACTTGAGGTTTGCCTGACATCCTTAAAGTACTGAGAAACTTCCTGCAGTGGAACTTCATCATCCATCCAGCAGGCCCAGGAGCAGAACCGGCACTGCAGAACAATCTCAGCTGTGAAGAACTGAAGACGACACCGTTCTTTGAATCCTTTTGCATTATTTCTTTATTTATATATATTTATTATTCATCTCAGTTTGTTTGGAATTCTTTTTTTAACCATTGTTGTTTCACTTTAGTATTTTTTGTACTCCAAAACAAAAACAAACAAAAAAACAAAAATAAAAACAAGAAGGACAAAATGAAAGTAGAAGGGAAAACGGAAGAGGAGGAGGAAGGGAAGAGGAGGACAGGATGAAAGATGGGACAACGAGGACGCAGCCTTCATCAAAGAGGGGCCAGAGAAAGCCCAGCATGCACCTGGGGCTCGGTGGGACGACGCGAGTCGACGCCTCAAACACAAAGCCGCGCACAGAGAAATGCACTCTAGACCACAACCTGGTGATTTTAACTCCATCAATGAAGGGTCTCGTCCCTAATCTCACCTTGTACGCTCTGTAGTGCGCACTAGTGCACTTCACTTGTTGCTAATCAGCTCGACACTTTACACTGTTCTATCCAGGCTCCGCCCACATTTGCACAAATGTATGTAAATATAAGGTCACACTGTTACGATAAACCGAACGTAATTTTTTTAAAAATTCGTAACTGTGCTAACGTTAGCATGTTAGGCTAACTCTGTCCAGGTCACTGACGTAGCACTTTAAACTGAAAACTCGTTGTTATTTAGCGAATCTAAACAAAAACTGCCCGTAAAGCTTGTTCAACCTAGCAACAGTTGCTAAGAAAGAACACAATCGTGGGCGGAGCATGAATAACTCAGTTTGTTGTATCTGAACTGCAAAAAGCTAATATCGCTAAAACAAATCGCTTTGGACAAATACCTCTTTGGGCTAAACGACATCGTTAAAAGTTAAACTAATTCCGCAGGTTTGACTGACACTAAACTGACCGTACTGTCCACTTTCCGCTGACCAAGGGCCGTTTGAGTCTTTCAGAGCCGAGAGATTAAAGGAAAAGCCTGAGAAAACATGCTAACGTTGCTAGTTAGCATGATCTCTCTTCATAATAATGCTAATTCATGGGTATTTTTAGCTGAACTCTCCTGTTAGCATGTCTAAACGTGAATATGTGCTTATAGCCACCCGTTAGCATCAACTCATTTCCATAATGCTGATTCACAGCTTGACTCACTGTTAGCTATGTTAGCATTTTTACCTCAAACGTTCTGCCCTTCAGGGTTACGAAGGAATGGTAAACATTTAGCATAGTTAACCTGTTAGCCATGAACATATGCTAATAGCCACTAATTATTTAATATAGTACTAATATAATACTAATCAATGGCTATTAGCTTTTGTTTTCACACACAGCAATATTAGCGGTTTTAGCTCAACTAGTCCTTTAAAAGTTTCAGACACAGCGTAAATCCTCTGTTAAGAAGGCTAACTGCAAACACAAGACAGTAGCCGCTAGTTAGCATGCTGTCTTTTTAATAATGCTAATGTGTGGCTATTTGCTATCACTCACCATTTGCCACATTAGCATTTTACCTCAACTACTCCTTTAGGGTTTTAAGGGTTAGCAAGCAATTCTACACCCTCTGTTAACATGGCTAACTGTCAATATATGCTAGGAGCCGTAAGTTAGCATGCTGTCTTATTTGCTATGATTCACTGTTAGCCACATTAGCATTTTTGCCTGCTCAACTCCTTTAAGGGTCAAGCCGCAAACGCCCTGTTCATGTGGCTAACAGTGAATACAAGCTAGTGTCCACCAGTTAGCATGGCATCCTTTCAGTGATGCTAACTAATAGCTGTTTTCATTTTCCTTCACATTTAGCAACATTAGCATTCTTAGCTTGGCAACTTCTTTAAGATGTCTGACTTTTACAGTTACGGATGCAAATGTAAAGTCTGTTCTTTCATCTTTAGCCATGTTAGCATTTTAGCTCATTTCTTTGACTTTTAGCAACATTAGCATGTTCTGACACACTTCTCTGAGGTGTCTCCCCTCAGGGGTTAAGAGGTAAATGTAAATGCTCTGATAACATGGCTAACTGTGAGTATACGCTGGTGGACGCTGGTTAGCACTACATCTTTTCAATAAAGCTAATCGGTTTTCTTTCAGTCTTAGCAACATTAGCATTTTAGCTCAATTCCTCTTTTAAACAGCGTCTTTAAGGGTGCAAATGCTAACACTGTTAAAAGAGCTAACCATTCTTTTACAGAGTTTTTAAGGTCTAAGAAGCAAACGTAAACGCTCCGTTAACACGGCTAACTCTGAATGCAAGCTAGCAGCCGCTAGTTAGCACTACATCTTTTCAATAAAAGCTAATCTGTTTTCTTTCTCTCTTAGCAACATTAGCATTTAAGTTTAGCCTCTCTTTTAAACAGTATCTTTCAGTTTAAGGGTGCAAATGTAAACACTCTGTTAACACAGCTAACTCTGAATGCAAGCTAGCAGCCACTAGTTAGCACTGTATCTTTTTATTGACACTGCTTTATTTCACTCTTAGCAACATTAGCATTTTAGGCTCAAACACTCTTTGAAAGAGTTTTTAAGGTCTAAGATGCAAATGTATTAACGTGGCTAACTCTGAATGCATATCTTTACAAAAATGCTATCTGTTTTCTTTCACGCTTAGCAAAATTAGCATTTTAGCTCCTTTCGATCTTAGCAACATTAGCATTTTAGCTCCTTTCGATCTTAGCAACATTAGCATTTTAGCTCAGCCACTCTTTTGAACAGTGTGAACGATTGGTTAACGTGGCTAACTCTGAACGTAAGCTAGCGGCCACTAGTTAGCACTATATCTTTATAATAACGCTAATCTGTTTTCTTTCAATCTTAGCAACGTTAGCATTTCAGCTCAGCTTCTCTTTTGAACAGTCTGTCTCTGAGGTTTAGGGTACGAATGTGAACGCCGGACGGGGAAGATCTGAAGTTCTGGACTCCAAACGTGGACAACGGGTCAATTAGCATCTCCTTCTTTCTCTCAAACAAGTCCAGACGTGAACAACAGTGACCGTGACGACACGACAGAAGTGAAATGATTTAAAAGCGACAAAAATACTAATCGTAACAATACTAATAATAACAATAATAATAATTATAATAATAATAATTACACTCTGCTTCTGTATTAAAATGATAAGAAAACAATCAAAATCAAAAAGAGTGTCTCTCTCCCGTCGTCGTCTCCTCTTTTGGCTAAAAAAAAAAAGAAAATGAAAAGAAAATGAAAAGAAAAGCAACACAAAAAAAATTACATTTGTAGAGAAAAAACATCAGAGACGTTCAAAAAAATACACATAATAAAACAATATATAAAAATAGCCTCCCGACATCGCCAAAAAAAGAAATTAATAATAATAATAATAATAAAAAAAAGAAAGAAAGCTTTGATACAGAAACAGCGTTTGGCAATCTATACATGGCGTCACTGTACAGAAGAGAGAGAAACGTCTTTAAACGAGCCACGGCGCACCACACTGTCGGCCACGCGGGGAGAGGGTGATGAGGCGCGTGAGAGAGAGAGAGAGAGAGAGTGAGAGAGAGAGATGGAATGAAGAGGGCTGATCTAAGGAAAGGTGGAGGCAACTGAAGCTGCGAAAGCAAAGCCAAAACAAGAAAAAAAACAAATAAACAAAACGAAACCACTTAAACGGAAAGTGCAGTGATCGAAAGAAAAAAACCCAAAACGCTGTTTTTTTCTTGTTTTTTTTGCCATTTTTTTGCAACACAGAACTGTTTTTCTTCTTTTAATAATAATAATAATATTAATAATCATCATTATAATTTTTATAACCATAAAACTTCTTTTACAGAAAACAAGGATAACAATAATAATAATAATGATCATAATTTCCTACATGAACATTAGCCATAAAAATGCATTTAAAAAAAATAAGAGAGAGAGAGAGAAAGAGAGAGAGAGAGAGAGAGAGAGTGAGAGAGACAAAAAAAATAAAACAAAAAAAGATGAGAGCTGGTCGTCCTGTGCGATTGCAAGAGCCTGTCCGAAAAAATTAAAAATAAAAATAAAAGTAAAAATAAAAATAAAATAGAAATACGAACACCCCTCCCGGGCTGGTGGAATGGGTGGGTCTGAGAGAGGGCCCCACTGGGCTGCATTACAGCCCCATCCGGAATGATCCACTGCAGCACGGCGGCAGGGGTGTGTGTGAGGGGGCGTGTATGAGGGGGCGGGATTAGGAGAGGGGGGCGGGGCAGCACAGGCTTTTTAACGTGAAATACTTTGGGTTTGTGGCTGACGTGAAACTCTGCGTTCGATAAATATGTCTGTGTGTGTGTGTGTGTGAGTGTGTGTGTGTGTGTGTGTCTGTGTGTGTGTGTTCACGTAAGACCGTGTTTGCCTTGTACTTTGAGGCGCGATACGCGTTGCTACAGCAACATTTACCCAACAGAGAGACAGCGAGAGAGGGGTGGGGTAAAACAAGGAAGGTGAAAGAGGAGAGGGAGGGTTTTGTCAGGGCAGAGGGAGGAGTGGTGGATGATGAAGGGGCGGGGCCTGGCGCCCTATTTGTCCAATCAAACGGAAGAGCGATAAAAATTAAAAATAAAAAAAATAAAAACGCAACCAAAGTGACTCTTCTTTTCGGAATCTGTAGGGACCCTCCCTCCCCAGACTCTTCAATACAGCACCCCCCCTCCCCTCCCCTCCCCCATCCCTCCATCCCGGCTGCTGGACACGACTACAGGACCCACAGCGCCCCCTATAGACAGACGATGGCATTTTGGCATGACGCAGCTGAACACAGGAGACGGATATGGAGCTTTGTACACTGCGCGAACCCCTGAAACACACAGAGCGAGAGAAAAACGTTACTAATATACACTGTAATACACATATATTAGACCTGTTATAAACACGTTCACATTTCAGTACTGATAAAACATTGTAATACACGTATATTAGACCTGTTATAAACACGTTCACATTTCAGTACTGATAAAACATTGTAATACACGTATATTAGACCTGTTATAAACACGTTCACATTTCAGTACTGATAAAACATTGTAATACATGTATATTAGACCTGTTACAAACACGTTCACATTCAGTACTGATAAAACATTGTAATACATGTTTATTAGACCTATTATAAACACGTTCACATTCAGTACTGATAAAACATTGTAATACATGTATATTAGACCTGTTATAAACACGTTCACATTCAGTACTGATAAAACATTGTAATACATGTATATTAGACCTGTTATAAACAATACCATTCGAATACCATTCACCAAACTAAATGGGCTGTAAGATGCTTTACAGACTGGCTGGAACAAAACAACATTAATACTGATCTGGCAAAAACTGACAAAACTGAGCTGAACCTGATATTGCGGCAGTTTTATGGCTCAGTCTGATTTGGTCAGACTCTGAAGATCAGACTACACGTTTGGCGAATGGTATTGGGTTCATTTCTGGCTGATTCCAGGTTGTTTGTGTTCTTCTGTCACAGCTGCCGACTGAAAAGCTGCTCAGTGATGATGACAGTTTGGGAATTTAGTGTAAGGAGCTGGAGAACGAACTGCCGGCTGTGCAGCGAGTGGGCGGAGCTCGTTACTCTGACGTAGCAACAAGCTGCTCGTTAAGGAACTATAATTTGGTGAAGGAACTGTCGAACATTAAAACATATTAAACGCCGCGTTCACGGCCCAGTTTATTAATTTATTACTTTATTTATTTAACTGTTGTATTAAAGCAATAGAACACTTGAGGAGTGTGTTATCGCCAATAACATCACGGCTGTGATGATCTACGGCGACCAAATCACAGCCGTGAGGTTATTTCGCGATAACACACTCCCTCTGTGTTCTACTGCTTAACTAAAGTATAAACTGATTGACTGCTTAAAGCATTCGTCCAAATATCGTACATCGTCCATATTTTAATCAGAAGTATTTGTATATACGTAGTTTAATGCAGTACATAAGCTTGTGGCCCACCCCAAAATGCCTGCTTACATATACTGACATTACTGAAATATTATTATTAAATAAATAAATAAATAAATAAATAAAATAGCTGTGACATTCGAAATTACATTTTTGACACTGCCAATCAAAATTCCAGCTTATCTAAACACAACAGCTGAGACCTGTTCACTATATGCAGTCATACGCAGAACAGGGCACCACTGGTCAAATGACATGCTCTGTTGATTTTCTAAGTTGAAGCCATGACGATACTATATGACACAAATATAGCCATTTTATTTACTGTCCAGAACCACCAGTGAACCTACACGAGTCTCCCTGAGTTTACATGGAATGTTGATGATGGGAAAACAGTGGAAAATTGGGGAAAAAAAAAAAAAAAAAAACGTTTTCTTTCAGGACTACCTTGCCTTACCGCGCCCTGCAGGTACCCCTCCGTCATGAAGGGATAAAAATAAACGGTTTAACAAGACGTTTCAGGCCAAAACTTTATCATACACTATCATCAAGCAATGTCTCAGGCGTCAGGCAGTGCATTCATAGCCATTTTGTGTAAGAACTTTTAGAGGGGGTTAAGAGAGGCGTTAAAATCTTCGGACGTCTGGTTCCCATCACCACCACAACAGTTCTGACCAGGCAAGTTTTTCTAGAACGGAGCGTTTCGCACCAAACCGCTCTGAACGACTTTACCATTTAATTATGTAGAAAGTGTGAAAAATCGGTTCCCCTTTTACTTATTTCCACTGAGAAAATCAACCAAAACGTGGAATTTGACCGGGGTGCACACATTTTTGCACACAACCGTACTCTTACATAAATACAATGACCGCAGTTGCCTTTGATCATGGTTTATGAAACCTGAATGCATGAACACCAAGACAACCGAGAGAAATCAGACTTCATTTGGAATCACCAGCTGCTGTTTTAATTGCGTGAACTGCCCAATTAGGAATGGACCAATATGGTTTACACTACAATACATTTTACATAGTGCTAAACTATTCGCTTTCATTTAACGTCAGCAACAGAGCTGCCTCGATACCTGAACTGTACGCGGTTACCTGTGTATTTAGACCCCGGCCTGCTCCATGCTGTACTGAAGGTCCTGGGGTTTGTAGGTTAGCAGCATGTCGCTGGTACAGGAGGAGGGGTAACAGGCAGCCGAATGCAGCTCTCCCTCCACATCACACACTGTCAACAAACAGACAGGTATTATTATTATTATTATTAGAGCTGAAAAGAGCTAAAACGTAACCTCTAAAGCTGAACTTAATCCCTAATCCGACAATGACTTACTACTATTCTACACTTATTTCTGCACTACACTATTAAATTACATATAAACAAAAGCAGAGATCACCTTAACAGAACTGGTTCAACATCAGGCTTTAAAACACATTTGGGACTTTTATCTGAACTTGGGACTTCAGACTAAAACTCCTTTGATCTGAGTGACCCGATATCTTAATTATGTTTACTTTATTACAACAAATGATTGAACATTTCAAAATAATTATAACACTACCGAAACGTTATCAAATGTTTCAGTAGTGAGTGTTTCGGTCAAAAACACTCATTTTTGAGTACGTGACTATTAAACACAGCTTTGAACAGCTGGACTCACATAATATTTTCAGTCGCATGAAAATTTTTTTCATTAAAACACTAAAAAAAGTGCTTAATTACAGAAAATGTGACAATTCTTAATGTTCCACACTGATTTCCAGATTTTGGGACATATTTACTTTAAAACAATGGGATCTAACTGCTCACCATGTGGCCATGAGAGACAGGGATGCAGCCTCGCTTCCTGCTATAAAATGCAGGGGTGTGGCTAAAATAAGGCTCCGCCCACAGACTAAAACTGTGTTACCTCAGGATTTTATCCCAATTCATGGGGGGCCAACAGGACTACAGACTATTCTCAATGCAACTCAACTCATTTTTCAATTCATATGATTTACATTGTGTTTTTATTGGTACTATAATGTACAAATTAGACAGAGATGCTTTTTTAACGTTATCTATTTTTAAAATAATGAATTAATATAATACTGAGTACATTTCAATACTGAGTAACTCGTTTTGTAAGTGACTACAAATACGTCCACTCAACGTGCCTGTAGGAAACCATGTACTATATACAGTTTACACCTATATTATTATTATTAGTGTTATATTGCCAAATTTTACTGATCTGAACCAGCATATTTTTTACTTCATATGCAACAGCTTTAATCTTTCAGTAAACATTTCTAAAGCCTAACTCTGAGGCGCCGGGTTGGCCAGTTAGCATCTTCTAAGATGTGTTCTTATGTAGGGCCATGTTTACAATGTTTTACGGCCTAATACTTCATATATACGAAGTGTGTGACTGTAACGTTGTCTACATTAGTAGATTCTGCATTTTCCTTCCCTCTTTAAGCCAGTTTCCTACTTCATCATGCATGAGTGTGCGTGAGTTTATTTTACTGTAGGGGAAAGGCGGAGTCTATATAAACAGCAGTGATAATTATCGAATCGATTCAGAATCTTTCGAGAGAGAATCGCGATGCGTCTAAGAATCAAGTGTTTTAAGTCCTTTAATTTCAGAAAATCGCCGATAAATAAGAGATGATCATCAGGGTTTACGTACCCGACTCCTCCCTCTGACGCAGCTGCTGGCTTCCTGTTAGAGACGTTTGGCTGAGGATATCCGACATGCGGGCAGAGCTTAATGCCTTCCCATCCAATAAGCTCATTCCAGACATTGGGTCCGCCTGGTCCTGCAAATCGAACAAAATCGATCGGTCCGTTGAACGGTCACGCATACAGTTTCCTGCCTCAGACCTTCAAAGTATATTAGATCCACCCTCACGCTCAGTCAGCACGGTGTTCCTGTCATCAGATGCTGCTTTTTCCACCAAATACACCTTTGGTAACTGTGACCAAAGAGTGTCATTTTTACTTCATCAGTCCACAGCACTTTCCAGAAATCCTCTGGCTTATCTACATGATGTTTTACAAACTTCAGACGTTGACTTTTGTAAGGTTTCCTTCTGATGACTCTTCCTTGTGCATATCAGAAGAGTGCACCGCCACTCCTGTGTCAGCTGAACCGTCCTGCAGGTTCTTTGCTGTCATGTGGGGGTTTTGCTTTGCCTTACCGGTCAGCATATGAGCACTTCCATCTGAGAGCTTTCTAGATCTTTTAGATCTTGGTTGCATATTTTTTAAAGAGTTTTAGACTTCAGAAAGATCATGTATTTATACAGAGCTGATGGAAACGCAACCTAATTTGCAGAATTATACTGCGACATTTAAGCTGTTCAATTTTAATAATAGATACAAGCAAATAAATATTTTTAAAAATTCAGTTAATTCAATTCTGCTTCCGGTAATGAGCTGAAATTAAACTCACATTCGACATGAACCGATACATTTCTGTTAACTGAACTCCTCCTGAACTTACTCCACCAAGAAGACTATGTAAGCAACGGACAGACGGACGTACATAAGCGTCGTCAGCGGTCTGGATGGTGTGGTGGCGCTGCAGCGAGCCGCGGTGCCGATAGGAGTCGCCCTGCGCAGGACGAGAGCCGTAACCAGCTCCGTTAGGATCTCCCTCCATAACCAACACCCTACAGTCTACATCTCCACCAGCTACAGAGAGAGAGAGAGGGATGCAGAGAGAGAGAGACACAGAGAGACAGATAGGGATACAGAGAGAGAGACACAGAGAGAGAAAGAAAGCGCAAGAGAAAGAGACAGACAGAGAGAGAGGAGGAAAAAAATTTAAAGGAGAATGACGAGAAAAAAGTGAGGTAAGTACTGGTAAATATAGAGTTACTGGTAAATGCAGCGGTAGGTAAATATAGAGTTATTAATTCCTGTGTTCATTTTGCTGGTTTTCTGTTTGTAAATGACATTTAACAAGAAATATCTGCGTCACGGCTGCGACGATCATGAAAGAATGATGGATTCAGTGTCAACATGTGATGGTGTGTAAGCTCTTTCAGTAACAGTGCTTAAGTGTGTGAGTGTTTTTAACTATTAACTAGCCTAAATAAGCTAATATAAGGGCTGTCAAATGATTACATTAATTAATAATGATTTTTTAAATCATCTTGGGTAGTTGATTGCAATTGATCGTACTTATTAGCTTAAATTTAAGCCTGAAGAAAGACTTTCTCAATTTAAAAAGCATTTTATTGAAGCTTTTGACAGTTTGCTTTTGTTAATTTGCTGCTGGTTAATATATCCACAGTTTTTCAGTGAGACTGTCCAGCTCAGTTTTGCTTTACAAGACATTAAAAAGCTGTATTTGAACAAAAATGCAAATCACAAATTCTACCAGAGAAACATACAGAGCACTGCAGCTGAGCTTTGGCCTGAATTACAGTCATGTGGGGGTTTTGCTTTGCCTTTCTGGTCAGCATACCCCCATTCGCATCTGAGTTTTCCTGATCTTCTAGATCTTAGTGCATATTTTTCACTTTAGAAAGATTATTAATTGGGCAGAAGAGCTGAATTTAAAAAAGTTGTGGCTTTAAAAATGTATCGCATTTGACAGCCCAGATATATTATTAATAATGTGCACAAAACGTTTGGGTCATTCTCACGAAAGAGCCATAAGTATTTGAGTGTCAACCATCACACAGATAAACACCATTCATATAACGTAATAGATCAACTGGCGCTCAGCATGTGTTGAATCTCTTTACTGCAATGTTCTCCTTATAAACTCTAGGGAAACAAAACAACAAAGTACAACAAAGTACAAAATTACAACCTCTATGACTCGGTATGTGTTACGGTAATAAGATAAGCCTGCAAAATACTATATTTTGTAAAATACATAGGTTTTAATATTAAGTACTTAGTCCAACAACAGTTTACAGTTTATGAAAGGAAGAGTTAAAACTTTTTTGTACTAAAAATTAATTCAAAAATCCAAATTATTTTTAATTAAACTGTTCAGGTTTCATTCTGAATTACTCAACCAGGAATCTGTTTATATATTCAGTCATTGTCATATTTTCAAGTTCCAGCGTTTGTCACATTCGTGAGAATAACCCAATTGTACACTGAACAAACAGGAATGTCGCTCATTCCTATCTGTTCAATTTAGCCACTCCACTCCACTCCACCTCTCTGTGCCGTCGCGCCCCGCATGTAGGCGTGTCTGTGCGTGGGGGAGGAGTAAGGGGGCGTTTCCCCACGGGGCGGAGCCAGCAGCTCGTGTCCGTCGGCACAGGGTCCGGGCGCAGGCGCCTTGGCCAGCAGGCCGTCGTGGAAGTGTGGGACGTCGTCGTCCTCCTCCATGCTCTCGGAGTGCGGCAGGGCGGGCGCGGGCGGGCACTCGGTGCGGATCTGCAGCAGGTGGTGGTGGTGGTGATGGTGGTAGTGCTGCGCCTGGGGCGGAGCCTGAGCCTCGAGGGCCTCGGAGGCCGGCGCCAGCTGCCGAAGCAGCAGCATCTCGCTGTAGTCCTGCGGGGTGGGGGCGGCAGGGGGCGGGGCCTGGCCCGGGGCAGGCGGGGCCTGTGACGGGGAAGGGGACGGGGCCGGGCGGGGGTTCTGGCGCTTCAGGAGAGCGGCCAGGTCCTGTGGGGGCAGACGGGGGTCGGCGTGGCCTGTCAGAGAGTGGCGTGGCGACAGCAAGCCCTGCAGGATGGGGGTGACGTGCTGCTGCTGTGCCGCTGTGCGGTACTCCAGAGGGGTCGGGGACAGCAGGGCCTGCTGCAGAGCCGAAGGGCTGCCGTAGCCCACCGCCCCTGCACCGCCGGCGCCTTGGTACCCACCCTCCAGACCCGGCACCTTCAGAGACGCCCCGTGAAGGTAGGGGTTGTAGGCGCCCACCACGCCGCTGGTCAGGTGGGCGTTGAACTGGGCGTGGTCATATGCCGACGTGGAGCACTGGAAGCGGCCCAGGCTACGACTGCAAAAGAAAAACAAGGACAGTATCACTGAGGTGAAGCACCAAAGGGGCTCGTTTTTGTCCTGTGGGTACAATGAGGGCTGGGTATGATTTGATACCGATTCCTGAAACTCTACTTTCTTTTCAATTACAAACCCAGAGCAGGTGCGGCTTAAAACAGAAATTAATCAAGAAGCACTGACGTTAGTAACATACGGCACATGGAACGTCATTCAGACAGCCAATCAGTAGCCTAGAATTTGGAATACAAGCTCCCTGGACAAAAATTGTGTGTTTAAGGTGGGGACTAAATTTTTGTCCGGGGAGCTTGTGAATAAAAATCACTTTGCTTTCAGGCAAGAATTGCTTCTAGAAGTTAATGCAGGTTCTTCACAAAATGTGCCTTAACTCTTGCACAGGCCATATTTTGTGTTTTTTTTTCCCCCAGTATGTTAAAGCAAATAAACAAACATTAACGGTCTATTAAAAAGCGCAGAACTGTGTCTCCTGTAGACGATGTGTACTTACTTTCACTTAAACAAAACATGACATTTGATTGGGGTGCCTAAACATATACATATCCACCTATATCAGCCTACAGCAGGTTAGCCCTGCCCACTCACGCTGTGTTTCAGCCCTGACTGCCTTTTGAATGAGGGCAGCCAATCAGAATAGGGCTCATTTACATATATCAGTCTTAAAGGCACGGCAGCAAAAAAAGCTTGTTTGTTTCTAAGTTATAGAGTGGCTGGAAAACAGTCATGGTAAAAAAGCATAAATGGATTACGACTATTTTTGGTAGATAAAAGTTTACAAAATATTACAGCGGACCTCAACGTGGGGGGTAAAGTACGAGAAAAATGTATGATATGGGCCCTTTAATTTAAATTAAACTGACATAATTACAGGCTTCAGTTACCGGTTGTGATAACAGTGGGTTATAACTTAAAACATATTTGTGCTTCATGACAGGAGAGTGTTGAACTGCACTGGGCTGAACTGACCCGGACAGATGATTCAACAAGATAATGACTCAACAACTACGATTCAGCAAGACTAAACATGCACATATTGACTGAAAGCGCGATCGCCGAGTAGTAAGTGAAGCCATGACTGCGCCCAGTGGTGTGTTTAGTGGTGCGTGTTCGGACAAACGCTCATCCCCTCACGACTGGACGGAGAGAAAATGTCGAGTCACTTAGAGTTCTGCATGTGTTCTAGCATATACTGCACCATCGCTAGGCAACAGTGCTCTCTGGAGATACAGGGTTGTACCATTTCATACTCACAATAGGGGCGGGGTGAGGGTGGGCTCAGAAGCCCCTTTTTAGACCATTTCAGTCCAAAACTATTCAAATATAACACCTACAACCCCGACATGTGAGTGTGAAACCTACAAAACAATCACTTACATTCATGTAAGTACAGTCATATGCAAAGACAGACCTGGTCAAACGACACGCTGATTTTCTACGTGAAAGTAAGTCGGTACGTCCCATACAGGGAACCTGAATTTGGCATCTTTCGGCGAATTTATACCAGAAAAATTCAGTTTATTTGCTGAGTTTTACATATTGGAAAAAGTAAAATACAAATTGTGCCACTTTTGCCACATTTTACAGTTAATTTTGTGTTAAATTCAGCAAATAAACATCAATAGTGCATTAAAATGTGCAGAAGTGTATCTCTGTACACAATGTCTTAACTTAAAGGGGAACTCCACCGAATTGTCATAATTTCAACATAATTAAATCGTTCAGTTTGGTTTGTTTTTAAGAGTCAGAACTGTTCACAGTGGTGGTGATAGGAACCAGACGTCCACCACTAAAAGCTCCCTCACAGAAAGTTACTACATGAAATGGTTATGAATTCACTGCCTGATGTTTGAGACATGGTTTTATGGCAGTTTTGGGAAGAATTTGGCCTTTTTTTAAACCTATTCATTGTGGAGGGATACATGGAGGGCACTGTGAAGCAAAATAGTCCCTAAAGATTTATATTTCCCATCATCAACATTCCATATAAACTCAGAAGACTTGTGTAGGTTCACTGGTGGTTCTGGATAGTAAATAAAATGTCTATATTTGTGTTGTAGTCATGGCGACCCCTGGTTCCTATCACCACCACTGTAAAGACATCTGAACCATTTCAAACCAAACCACTCTGAGTCACTCTGATTACAGCTCAAACAGCAAATTAGAGAGAAATTCTGAAAAATGGGTGGAATTCCCCTTCAAGCCCTGTTCGGGCTGGATTAGTCCATTAAGCCAATTAACCTCAATCGGGCTAGACTAGTCCAGTTGAGGCCATTCGGAATACAGTTTCTATCCGATTGAACAAGGTGGGAAATCCTGTAAATAATCAGTTAAATAGAAGAATAATATCTGTGTAAACGTCTGTATCTGATTACATTCCCTATCGGAAAGTTTAAGTTCAGTCTGATCATGTTCGTCGCGTCATAGTGAAAGTTTATACCGTTCAACATGGCGGAGCAGAAACTGGTCTGCAGAGGAGACGAAGTTTATGCTCTGATCTTTAAAAGACGGCGGTGGGACGGACGTCCAGCTTATGTGTCTCAGAGCACGACGTCTTCCTCTCGGCCTTCTTTAATAAGGACATGTGAAGGACGTTTTCCTGAGTCTGACATCATTTTAAAGCAGTTAAAAACACAAGCACTGCTCACTGCTGCTCATCGCACTCTGACTGGACTCACGTGATGCTGGTTGTCATGGCAACATCTACACTAAGCGGTTCTCTACACGTGCGTTTAATGTTGGATCTGATCCCTTGTAGTGAGCATGTAAACAGATTTTCATCAGATTGTTGAGTAGAGTGAGAATAAACACCTCAGTCTTAATCTATAATCAGAATGTGTTCAATCAGATTGGCAAGTCTTTGCATGTGAATACAGCCGGTGTGACGTTTGCAATACGGAAAGTGTTTGATATCTTGGGGAGGGTCTCTGATACGCGCTAGGAGACCAAAAAAAACTGCTCAAAAACCTTTTTTCTCAGCAATGCGAGGCGACATCTACCTGGAAAAACGCAGAGATGTGAATCCAGACAGGACTAAACAATCAGAGCAGCGCTGAGTTGGGTGAAAAACAGTAGATGATTCAGTCTGGAATTTTCTGAGGGGAAGAGAGTGGAAAAAAAACGATGTTGCCGATCCAGACAGCGATAAAACCACAGAGGAAAGGAACCCAGTATGGAAGCACATCAGCAGCAAAATGACAATGAAAATATAATATGTAAAGTGGTGTATTTGATGTATTTGAGTGTTTATCATATTTACACAGAGTTAGGCTCAAAATGAAAATTCAAACTCAGCGTTTCACTGACCCAGAGATTTAGATGCTGTATGAGCAGCTTTATATAAATTAAAATGTATTTTCAGAAGTGTACGGTTATGATTACTGTGATTATGCAACGTCAAAATGATTATTAAAATAAAAGATTAATTTACCTTCTATCTGATAACGCATTTGAAATTGCATTACTGCACTCGTTCTGTGGCGAAAAACCTTCAACTCGATTACATTTTCACTTTCGAAGACATCCACCTGTCAATCATCATGTCAGGGTGGGGCCAACAGCCTACTCAACAAAAAAAGCCTTTAACTGAGAAACATGGCGGCGGAAGAGTTTATAGCTGTTCTTATATTAGCAGACGAGGTGGATTAGAGGAAAATATCCACTGCTGATACTTACAGTCTTTAAACACGACACGATGAGAACGGGTTTAATCAAACGTGTGGATTTTTGAAGAATTGGTGGAATTCCCCTTTAAAGCTCATATAGAGCATCTAAATCTCTGCGCAAAAAATATGTGAATCTTAGTTTGCTAAAAGGCAGATTAAAATCACAGTGGTCAACCTGAATTTTCATTCTGAGTCCAGCACTGCATTCATGAGAAGGAAATTTAAATGTAAACATTCATATTCATTACCATTTTACATATTACCTATTTAAATGTGCTGCTAATATGCTTCTACATCTCAGGACTTTCATGTAGAAAATCAACAAAAACGTCATTTGACCAGCCAAAACTTTTGCACACGACTGTACATCTATAAGGACGTAAAAGGAGGAAAACCACTGCGGTACCACGGTTCTACCACTGGGGGGTGCTATCTGTACCACTAATATTTGTACCTCATGCACTGAATCCAGAAAGTCCTTCAAATTTCTATAAAAAAAAATTCTAGAAACAAACTTCACACAATTCCTATTATAATATACAGAATAAAAGTCACCCTTCAAAAGAAACGGAAGGTACAAGAAACAAAAGAGTGTAAAAAGGAATGGACATTGCATAGATGTAAACAATGGAAGACAAACAGGCATGAAGACAATGGAGGGAAAACAATAACAAACAAACAAATAAATAAATAAATAAATAAATAAATACAAACAGTTAAATAGAGCAGAATCGTGGATCTGAAGTAAAAGCTAACGCAGTTGACGTCAGCATTGGCGCGTCGGTCACCTGTGCGTTTCGGCATTGTCCGCGCTCAGCTGCTTCCCCAGAACTCGGTGACACGGCGTCGCTAGGAAACCCTGCCGCTGGGCGCCGCCCGCCAGCTCCACCTCCTGGACCTGGATGGTCACCTGCTGCTGCTGTGGGAGACCCTGCGGCAAGACGACGGGGGCATGGACGGGGGCGTGGGCGGGGCCAGGGGGCTGCTGCTGCGGCTGGTTGGGCAGCGTCATGCGGGGGAGGGCGTTCGGGGGTGGGCTGCCGCTGGAGGACTGGTACAGGTCAGGGGCGTGCTGGAACTGGACGGCAGACGGTCCGCCTGAGGAAGGAGCAAATAAAATGATCACCTGCCTGGAAACGCGATCAATAAGATCTGACATAATTAATAAATTACTACAGTGCACTGTATAGTTAATCAACATAAACGCATTAATTGATTCTAATGATGCTAATTATATTAACTTACCATTATTATTATTATTATCATTATTATTATTATTATACTTATTTGTTATTTCTTTTTATTAATATTTCTTGTTCTAAACCGGTAATGTATCTTTTAAATACTGTACTGTGATAATTACACTAAACTGTGAAGTGACAACCAAATAAATCAAATCAGTCATATAATAATATTTTATTAACATTTAATACTTACAGCTAAACAGCTAATACAGCTATAAGACAGATGCATAAGAGAGTAAAGAACATATGATGGAGGAAAAGAGGAGAAAAGGCAGAGAGAGACAGAATCTCACCGTGTCCCTGCATCATGGCCTGGCCCCCTGGAGGAGGACTCTGATTGGCTGGCCTGAAGAGGTGGTTGTTGGGATGCGTGGGTGGCGGACTGGAGGGCTGTATACGCAACCTGAGCGAGAGGAGAGAGAGAGGAGAGAGAGAGAGAGAGAGAGAAATAAAAATAGAGATAAAAAGAGAAAAAAGGAGAGACAAACAGAAAGAAAAGTGAGAAACGAATTAAAAGAAAAAACAGAGAGGGAAGAGAAAGTGTAGGAGTGAGACAGTGTGAGAGAGTAAGAGAGAAAGAGAAAAAATAAAGAGAGAAGAGAGCGAGAGAGAAAAAAAATGGAGAATAGAAGAAAAAAGGACAGAAATAAAAAGAGAAAGGAAAGAGAAAAACAGAAAGAGGGAGAAGAGAGAAAGGAGAGACAGTGTGAGAGAGTGAGAGAGAGTGAAAAAGAGATAAAAGAAAAAAGGAGAGACAAAGAAAATGAAAAACAGATCAAGAAGAAAGAGAAATCAGAAAGAAGAGAAAGAGAACAAAGAAAGAAGTGTGAGAGTGAGAGAGAGTGTGGCAAAAAGAGAAATAGAAAATAGAGATAAGAGAGCAAAGGAGAGAGAAAGAATGAAAAAGAGTAGGAGGAAAAAGAGAAAACAAAAAAACGGAAAGGAGAAAGAGAAGAGAAAGAGCAAAAAGAGAGCGAGAAAGAGGAATAAAGAAAGAGAGAGAGAGAGAGAGACAGAAGAGAGAAAGAGAAAGAAAGAGAGAAAGAAAATGAAAGAGAAAAAGAGAAAAAGGGACAGAAAAGAAAAAACAGAAGAGACAGAGAAAGAAAAGAGAGAGAGAAAAAAGAGAGGTAGAGACAGAGAGAAAGAAAAAGAAAAACATGTGAACAATACACTGCGCTCTGAATGCCTCCTGCATCTTTTATACAGTGATAGGAAACGTGTATGTCCTCTTTTCAGGCTCATGCAGGTGAGACTGCTGTTTATATTAGTTTATCTTGGGGAGATTGTAAGTTTGAACCCCAACAACACTGTGAGCAAAAAAGTCGTTAAGTATTGGTGATCCTGGCGATGTTTTCACTGATAACAATAAACCTGTAGGTCGTCAATATCGTCCGATATTATCGGCAGACTGATATATCGGTCGGGCTCTAACAGTAACCAGAGTCCCTACAGTGTACCGAGATATCGGGGTGTGTAAATGTGTCTGTACCTCTGAAGCTGGTGGGTAAGGTGACTGGGCTGGTTCTCTCCATGTCCCAAAGAAAGGGCCTGAGAGAGAGAGAGAGAGAGAGAGAGAGAGAGAGAGAGAGAGAGAGAGAGAGTATTAAAAGATAGTCACGTAAGTGTAACACATGGGATCGTAGTAATTTTACACACACTGATCTGTCTTTTTTCCCCACCACACTACACAGCCAAAAGTATGTGGACACCTGACCATCACTCCTATATGAGCTTGTTGGACGTCCCGTTCCAAAACAATGGTCATTAATATGGAGTGTATATTGTGGCTGTAACCCCCTCCACTCTTCTGGGAAGCTTTCTACAGATTTTGGGTCTGTGGGAATTTCTGTCCATTTAGTCTAAAGAGCATTTGTGAGGTCAGGCACTGATGTTGGTCAAGAGGGTCTGCCTCACAATCTCAGCTCTAGTTCATCCCAAAGGTGTTCAGTGGGGTTGAGGTCAGGGCTCTGTGAGGGCCACTGGAGTTCCTCCACACCAAACTGGTCACTCCATGTCTTTATGGAGCTGCTTTGTGCACAGGGGCTCAGCCATGCTGGAACAGGAAAGGCTCTTCCCCAAACTGCTGACACAAAGCTGGAAACGTATAACTGTGTAAAATGTCTTTGTGCTGCAGCATCAGCATCACCCTTCACTGGAACTGAGGGGCCTGAAAAACAGCCCAGCTCATCATCCCTCCTCCACCACACTTTACTGTGAGTACTGTGCATTCCGGTTGGTAACGTTCTTCATCCACCAAACCCAGATTCGTCCATCAGACAGATAGCGAAGTGTGATTCATTACTCCAGAGAACACGTTCCAGTGCTTTACACCCCTCCAGCCGACACTTGGCATTGCGCACAGTGATCTCAGGCTTATGTGCAGCCGCCATGAAATGTGTGTGTGCATGAGTACCTGTATTTGCTGGTGTAGGATCTGTTGTTCTTGCTGGTAGAGGACGTGCTGTTGCTGTGTGTGCTCCAGTAGTTTTTCATCCTGTGGGGCAGCGTACATCTTCTGCAGCTGCTCACACTCCTAAAGTACACACACACAAAACGCAAAACATTTTAAAAACACAGCACAACCTGCAGAGGCTCTAGCGCCACCTTGGCCTGATTAAACCTGTAAATTCTGCATAGGAAAATGAGATCCGTTCAATGGTTGCGGAAGCTACAAGTGTAAACACGCTGTGTTTATGACGGGACGATGGTCCGAACAGGGCCTCGGTGAGATGACGTCATGTCTACGGAAGCTGGAATGTGAGCGTTTACCTGTTTGAGCTGTTTGATCTCTAGCTGGGCTTTGAAAGCTTGGATAGTCGCGGCTCCGTCGGAGAACCGCCGCACGGGAGAGAAGCGCTCCATCGGCAGGTGCAGAGTGTTGCAGTCCTTATAGGACGACCTGGGAGATAAGCATACACAAAGCACTGTCGGTCAACAGGTGGGCATCAGGTTCATCTCGTAAACAAGCTCATCGATCAATGTTTTCCACAGCAACTGTCTTTCGGAGGTACTGATTAGGGGCTGAGTGGGATCAGTTAGCATGAAACTGCAGTTTCAGGCGTCAAACTACGCACCGATCTTTGTTTGGATGGGTTTTTTGGCCTTTATATGCTAAACTGACCATGTTTTTAAAGAGAAATGATTCCAAATCCAGCACATTTTAACAAAACATCTAATTTACGCTGTTAATCCTAAATGTAGTCGTTCAGCCGAGACGAGTCTGGGGTCTAAAGTTTACCTCCTTATCTTAGAACTGGCTATTCTAGCTAATAAGCAGCAGACGCTCATCCCTCACAGGCTAACTGGATTTTGTCCACAGTTTTGTCCATGTTTATGGTCATACAGTGTCAGAAACCACATAAGTCTATTAGAGATACTGAACAACCTGATATGGTTTGAAGCTTTAGACCTGCAGTTAGCACCATGCTAACTGGGATGATATTTGCTTTCATTACTTGTTAGCTACATTAGCTTCGTAGCTCCAGTGCAAAACTAAAAAGCTTACTTCTAACTTCTTGGCTAGGACTGGATACTGAAATTCAGTACTTATATGGTGCTGACCAAAAATAACGTATATAACTGTAGACCAATCAGCCATAACATTATGACCACCTCCGCATTTCTACACTCATTGTCCACTTTATCAGCTCCACTGACCATATAGGTTCACTCTGTAGCTCTACAGTTACAGACTGTAGTCGTTCTGTTTCTCTTTGCCCTGTTCTTCAGTGGTCAGGACCCCCATGGACCCTCACAGAGCAGATACTATTTGAGTGGTGGATCATTCTCAGCACTGCAGTAACACTGACGTGGTGGTGGTGTGTTAGTGTGTGTTGTGCTGGTGCGAGTGGATCAGACACAGCAGTGCTGCTGTAATTAAATTAGTGAAATTAGCCTAGATGCTAACATAAGCTGGAGCTTGCAGACCACTCAATAACTTCAATTTGTATTTGAGATATAAATTTATTTACTTTAGCCAGAAAACGCCGACTCAGTGACTCAGTTAGCCTAGCATTTTCAAAAAGGATCTTTCTGAAATACAAGCATTTGAAGCATCTTACTAATTACTAATAACGTAAGCATTAACCGATACTTACAGTAGAATATTTTGTAGTATTTGTGTGAAACGTTCCTCGGTATGTTCTGGACACCACATCTGCTAAAATAATTGATTTTTTATTCAGTTGCTAATCCTGCAGGCTTCTTATTTTTAAGACCTGCCCTCGTCCACTTCGACTCGCCACTTGAGTCTGTACACTTACATTACACAAGTGTCCGCTCGCGGCAGAAGAGGAGCAGAACGAACTCGCCCTCTGCTAGGTTATCATCAGTCAGTTAATCGGCTGACGAGCAAACTTTTACAACATTTTTGTTGAAAAGTTTGAGCGTAACATACATTTGTGAGCAGCTGCTTCGTCTGGCTTTAAACTCAAAGTAGCAGCTTTCTTTGTGCTGCTGTTAGCCGTGCAGCCTTGATGACGTTTTAGCAGTCGTGTATAACAGACTGAGTAGTTTGTCAACTAAAACACAGCAAATCGAACGCTGTGGTTTGGAAATGTTAAGCTTTTTAAAGTATTTAACTGCTATAGTTCATAAACAGTTCTGTTCGTTATTATTTTCAGGTCTGAAACGATGAATTCAGATGCTGAAGTGTTCACTCGGTCCCTCGTCCCTCCGAGGGGTCGTCTAAAAAACTTCACTTCAGCTAATGAAGTAACGGAACGGCCCTCAAGGGAAACGCCCAGGCGACTGACTGAGGGCTGGATACTAAAACAGGCCGTCTGTTATTTAACTCACCTGTAACTTGTTTGCAACTAAACATCTGCTATATTTACCTTTAACTACAGACGCCACCCTAACCCTAACCCTGGTCCAAGTCCTGCTGAGAATGAGTTTCACCACATAGTTTGACAATCTGAACATCTGTAGATGACCTATAGGGAGGGGGCTAAAGTGCACTAGACCTCATTTGCATTTTTAACCAATATTTGAGGAGCCTGTTACTGTACGTCATTGTATGAGCCAAGTGAGCTAAACGAATCTTTCGATGAGGTGAATCAGTTCAGTCTGACTGCTCAAAGGATTCGTTCAAAAAGATCAAGTTGTTCAAGAACATCACATTGCTGGCGTTAATGCTAACACTTTACGTGAGCCCTGCAACATAACACTGACCAACACGTCACGGGAGACGTCAGACGCTGTCAGACCGACAGATTCTGTTCAATAATAACAGTGTCATGGTTCCATTGTTATAACAGATGCCACAATGCTTGTCATAATAGCTTACGTCACATGGTCACTTTTGTTAGTTGTCAGCCATCATAACAACAAACATTATGACATCTGTTATGACAATTATCGGTAATATCACCGGATGTAATCAGTTACGACGACTTATGACAATGTATGACATCCTGGTTATGTCTGTATTATGTAGAGCTCATTACATAACATTAGAAGAAGAGATTTTCTTCTGGAGAAGCGCTAATATAAACAACGTTTATACACAAGCAAATGGCCAAAGATTCAGAAGAGCATGCAGGACATGCAATTCTCAGGAGCCCGTGTCCAGTCAGAGGCCCACAGCACTGGATGAGCACACTAACTACAGAAGGCTGTGGTCCTCTGAGACTGGAGATGGACACCAACATTACAGGTCAGGCAAAGGTCAAACTGAAGGCCATGCGTCTCATTCACACCATCAGTCCAGAGCCCTGGATCCAAAATGCACTACTTGTACGCACTACTTGCACTACTCCAGAGCTGCAGAGTGCGTGCCACTCCAGAGTGCGTGCCACTCCAGAGGCGTGCTACTCCAGAGTGTGTGCTACTCGCACTACTCCAGAATGTGCAATACTCCAGAGCTCCAGAGCGTGCGCTACTCCAGAGTGCATGCTACTCTAGAGCTCCAGAGTGCGTGCCACTCCAGAGTGCGTGCCACTCCAGAGTTCCAAAGGGCGTGCTACTTGAGTGTGCGCTACTCGCCCTACTCCAGAATGTGCAATACTCCAGAGCTCCAGAGCGTGCACTACTCCAGAGTGCGCACTACTCACATTACTCCAGAGTGCGCACTACTCACATTACTCCAGAGTGCGCACTACTCACATTACTCCAGAGTGCGCACTACTCACATTACTCCAGAGTGCGCACTACTCACATTACTCCAGAATGTGCAAAACTCCAGAGTACATGCTCATCCAGAGTGCGCGCTACTTGCACTACTCAAGAATGTGCAATACTCCAGAGCTCCAGAGTGAGCGCTACTCACACAAATTCAAAATGTGCGATACTCCAGAGTGTGCGGTACTTGCGCTACTAGAGCTCCAGAGTGCGCACTACTCACACTACTCCAGAATGTGTGCTACTTCTGCTACTCCAGATTGTACGCTGCTCCACAATGCACGCTACTCCAGAGTGCACACTACTCGTGCTCTGCTCCAGAGTGCGCACTACTCGTGCTCTGCTCCAGAGTGCGCACTACTCCACTGCTGTTTGGATGAAGATCTCTGCAGTGCAGGCTGAGTGAGTTGAGTGTATTTGTTAGCCTGTGTTTGGGCAAAAGTTTGGGCACCGTCAGCCAAATTATGTCCAGTTGATTTTCTAAATAAATGCGTTCAACACATCATTTATGAAGAACTGATTCAAATACGACATCTTTCTGCACATTTCGGTGCCCAACCTGCTGAGTAACATATTGGAAAAAAAAAATAAAACAATATGCTGTAACTTTTTCACAGGCCACATTTTATGTTTTACTTTTCCCCCAAAATGTTAAATTCACTGAATAAACAGCCAGTTTGCACTAAAATGTGCGGAGGTGTGATCTCTGCATAGGATGTGATCACAAAGAAAATCAACAAAACACTGACCAGGGGCGCCAAAACTTTTGCATACAACAGTAGGTCTGGTGTTTCTGTAATATTTCTGTAATAACTGAGTCTGCAGCTCTACTCATTCTGCAGATACTCAGTAGAAGATCAGTTTATCAGCTGCTGTTTCATTTCAGCTTCTATTTTTAAATAAATAAATAAATAAATAAACTTCTATTTAGCGAAACTGTTTACAATCGAACACACTTCACATTACGCACGTTTGATGCGTTTCTCATGTGTCAATTTTGTAAACACGACCTCAAGGCTTCTGTTTCCATCAGGGCTTCTGTATTTTACTGATTTTTTCAAAATAAGAGTCCTGAGTCACATACTGTTCAAATGAAACGGTGAGTTATTTTCGATGGGAAAGTCGCAGATAAACAAATGAGGGGTCGGTAGTTTTAGGACGACCCCAAGAATTCAATCATGTCCAAGTTATGTAATCACAGATACAAGGAAATAACAGGAAATATTTCAATTACAAAATAAATTAACTATGAGTTCTGAATTGCTAATATTTCTATCAGTTACTCAACATTCGAGGATTGTACAGAATAATTATTTAATATTTCCACTGTCCAAAGAACCAGAACTTTCATTTTATACACTGATTGAAATGCAACTAAATCCAAAATATGAATATTCATAAACGAATTTAATATCCTGGAACTACAACATGAGCGCTAGGCTTGTTTGAAGCAATTATTACCCACCACTGCATTTACATTAAAGATCTACCTCTACATCTTCATAACAATCTACCTGGATGAGTTACAGCTCCCTCTTGTTTGTATCTGAAGAAATATGGAATTTGTAAAATAAAGAATATTTGGAATGTGAGTTTGGAGTCACTGATGGTTCTATGGAGCTTCAGTGTTGAAAACCATGGAGAGTTATTTATCCTTAAACCTTTATCTACTTATTTCACTTTAAATTCAGCGTTAGGGGCAGATACATTAAGCAGCAGTAAGTATGGATGTTGAACAGTAATAAGCTGTAGACTAAAAAATACACACGATTAGTGTTAGCCATGCTAGCAAGCTAACTGCACAACAGGTAACATTAAAGGGCCCAAATCCTATTTTTTTTGTCTTCTATTTTATTTTACAAAGTCCACTTACAGTGTTTTCTGAAAGTAAGTTAACAGAAAATAAGAATGCACTTCAATAAGCCACATTTCACCAATTTATACAAAATACAATTTCCACATTTTAATATATTTGAAGACACATAAAATATAAAATGTGCCCAAATTTTTTAAATTCAGGAAATAAACAGTAATTGTGCATTAAAAAGTTAAAATCTAAAGCTTACAAATCAACAAAACATGCAATCACGGTGAACGATCTCTGTTTTGATTGGCCGACCTGGCTTGTGCCTCAGGGCTGAAACACTCTCTATAACTTCAGTGTGAGTGGGCGGGGCTAAACTGCTGTAGGCTGAACAGGTGGCCGTATGCAAATGCGTTCGTTTTAAATGACATCACAAAAACAGCGAATTCCAAATGGGTAGCTTATTCTCCAAATATGGACTGTATGAGCGGGGTGGGGTGTGGGTGGGGTGTGGTGCGCGATGAAAGGTATGTTATTAACCTTTATCAAAACAAGACAAAAACAAACCAAAAAAGGAGGGAAAACTGAGGTTTTGGGCCCTTTAAAGTTTCCATGAACACTAACATGATCAGTAAAAGCCTCAGAAACACTGTAAGATCGTTCATGTTCAGCTCAACACCGTTAATAAGAGAATCTCGAGTGTGCGTTTGTGTTTGCGTCCCTCACCGTGAGTGTTCGGGGGTCCAGCCCCGCGGTCTCGCTCTCTGCGCCTCTGCCGAGAGCTCGGACGAGGTGTATCCTGAGCTCCCCGCGGTGTGTGTGGTGTGCCGCTTGGAGCTGTTCGCCAAGTACCTGCACCACGGGGGGGGCGGGAGGGAGACAGGAAGCAGCACGAATCAGCTCTCTGACTGGCCACGCAGCCGTCCAATTGGAAAAAACAGAACCCCTCCTTTGCTTTTAGCCCTTCTGTTCGTGTTATTTGTTTATAGCGAAGCTTAGTCACAAGCGAAGCTGTGAGAGGGTCAGAATTTGGCATTTTAGAGTGAAATTTGAAGAAAAAGGGGGGAAATTTTAATGAGAAGCCAGAACTGGATGGAATTAGGGCAGAAGAGATAGATAGATAGAAAGAAAGAGAGAGAAAGAGAGAGAGAGAGAGAGAGAGAGCGAAATACAGCGAGAAACCACGACAGCTAGGGGGCGCCAAAGCACCCCGGTGGCGGAAAGCGGTGCTGCAGCCTTTAGTACGCTCCCCGCACCCCACGACACCCAGCACAGCGAGCAGCTCCCAGACACCACCACCCACGAGAGCGCCAGAAGAACACGCACACGCCCGCAGAAAGCAGCCGAGGAAGCACTGCGTCCACAAGGGGGCGCACACAGCACCGCAAGCAGCTCTTACATTCATCAGCACCGTCTCCATTCACTCATCTCTCTCACTCTCTATCACACAAACACAAATCCAGAGGAAGTGCAGCAGGACGATTCCACACTCCACCATCTCCAGTCTAACCCTGATCTGGTTGTGTTCTCTTCTGACCTTCCAGCAAGAAGACAAACTGAGTCAAACTGAGTCAAAATCTGATTCAATTTGAGTCAAAACTTCAGTCAATTTGAATCAAACTGATCTTTCCATGCTTCACCATGTAGCTACTTCCACGTGGTTGGACAAGCTTCATAATACTGGGGGGGGCGTTTACTAGCCAGGTGGTCTTTTCTCTAAATATGAATTTGTGAATTTGTTTCAAAACAATGTTTCAAATTATCCAACAAATTTTAATATAAGACAAAAACACCACAAGTAAACACAAAAAGCGTGTGGTTTGGAGGTGAGGAAACCAGCCTTGTGACCAGAAGGTCGCCGGTTCGATCCCCCGAGCCGACAGTATGTGACTAAAGTGCCCTTGAGCAAGACACCTAAACCCCAACTGCTGCCCGGGGGCTGCGGATAGGGCTGCCCACCGCTCCGGGCAAGTGCGTTCACTGCTCCCTAGTGTGTGTGTTCACTAGTGTGTACATGGTGTTTCGCTGCATGGATGGGTTAAATGCGGAGGTGAAATTGCCCCACTGTGGGACTAATAAGGGTCACTTAACCTTAAATAATCATTCCATTTATTTTTAAAGATTTATTCTGAACCTATATCCAACACTCTTTTTGTAAAATTGCTTTAATTCAGCTACATTGGAGGGTTTTTTGCGCATGAACTGCCCGTTTAAAGTCTCACCACAGCACCTCAATGGTATTCAAGTCAAGACTTTGACTCGGCGCCTCCAAAACCTTCCATTATGTTTCAGATCATAGTATTTATAATAAGTGCCTTTGTTATGTGAAGCTTGCCCAACCTAGCAACAGTAGTTACAACAAATCTAAACTGTGGCCAGAGAGATCGATTTCATTTTCACTGAGCGAAAATCACTGCTGGTTCAAAAACACACTGACGGACAGCAGGAACGGCTGATCCACGAGCTGAATGTGCTACGGTGAAGTGTGGAATCACCCTCAGCGTGCTGCTGTTCGGACTCGTTTGGCCCGTCAGTTCGGTTCTGGCCAGCGGCGGACGGCAGAAGACGGAAAACATCCTTTGATTTCTTTCTCTTCCTGCAGAGCTGACGGCACAGCATTACTGCGGTTGAATCATTTAAAAAAAAAAAAACCTGCGTAACTGCTGTAATATTAAATAGGTTAAAAGGTTTCGGGGTTTTTTTGTATTTGAAGGAATGTACTGGCAAAAATAAAGACATTTTGGTAACACTTTCTATGAATGTCACCTTTGTAAGCATCTATAAACACATTCGTAACATGTTATAATGCATTCGTAAGACATTATAAACATAGCTATAAATATTTATAAAAATGCATTACACATTATAGCCATGTTTATTATACATTATGAATTGTACATTATAAGTACTGATCATAACAAATTATAAGAGCTCATAAGTCGTATTTGTCCGCTCTAAGTAAAGTGAAGCGTACTGTACTAAAGCCTCCTCCAGTGTTCAGAGTGAGGCTTCAAGTTGAAGTATTTACTGAAGGATTTACTGAAACACTAAAACATTCACAATAAAGCACTTTACTGGCTTCAAATGTCAGAGTTTAAACTAGAGCTGCCATCAGTGTTTTACCCAATGTGGGAAAGGTAATGTACACCACCGTTAGCTTGGTATTTGTCTTTACTTTACGCTCTCTAAGCTGGGACTGACTTCTTTGGCACTGACAGTATAACATGTTATCAACACTACTTATAATGCATTATATTAACAATTCATAACGTGTAATAAACATGGCTATAAAATGTAATTCAGTGTAATTCTTTTTTATAAATATTTATAACCATGTTTATAATGCCTTATGAATACATTATAACATGTTTTAAATGTGTTTATAGATGCTTACAGAGGTGACATTCATAGAAAGTGTTACCGACATTTTCTCACCATCTCCCCCAAAATGTGGTCAACCAGCCAGGACACGTTTGGTGCCTGAAACGTTTTTTGCTGCAGCTACGAGGCTAAAACTGACCAAACCCACCCTTCGTGATGGACACTACTACTGTTTTCAGCCATGCGACATACGCTTGTCCATGTTTATAGATGACGGTGTGTTATACAGTGTCAGAAATCATATAATCAAGTCTCCCAGTACTTGTTAGCTACACTAGCCTCATAGCTCCAGCGCTAAAAATAACTTCAGACACCCTACATGCCTCGGCTGATCGACTACATCTGGGGTACGGGAGGAAAATTTTAGAAATCTGAGCTTTCAAGAAAGTCTAACTTGTGCTAATGTCAACTGTGTGCATGCCAGCAGATCTGCAGGAAGAGACCCAGAGCCGATCGTCGACCCGCAAAAGCTGCGTTCATTCAAACAGCACAGACTCACCTCTGCACCGCCTCGGGGTCCGGCTCTCCGTCAGAACCTTCCTCATCCACCGGAGCTACAGCCGGGATGGGGTGCTGAAGAGGGGGAGACATAAGGGCACAACTAATCACACTGTTTTGCACAGATAATAGCAAGTAATCGCATTTGTCTTGCTTTGACAAAATCCATTTAAAAAAGCTGAGCATCTTGTTTACAGCTATGTGAGTGGGCAGAATGACCTTCATCAGGGATGTATTAACTAACAAATGTTTTACATTTAATAATTCAACAACTTCATTGTCATTTAATTTTAAATAAATAAATAATAAATAAATGAATGAATGAATTAAAACCACACAAAAAACAGCTGTTCGGGAAAAAGAGAACTGATTATGTCTAACATTATGCAAAATATATCAAATGAAAAAAAAAAACGAAAGATGAAAAAGGCCATTTTTATCAAAAGACCACGTGACTCGTTTAAATTGGTCAAATTTTAACAAAATAAAAATTCAGACTGAGGTCACATTACACGTGCTGCCTCCGTCTCTCTCAGCCCCACCAAACACCCTCACTCACAGGACTGGCGACGAGTGGGGACTGGCCCCGGGGCCTCTTGAGCATCTGCTGGGCGTGAAGCTGAATATTGGCCCCTCCGTCCGACGCTCGACGACCCAGCGGGCCCATCCCGTTCAACAACTGCAAAGTAGGGGGCTGCAGGAGAGACTGCTCCTACAGAACGGAGAGAGAGAGAATGAGCCTGAGTCTGTTCTACAGTTACTCATTAGGTTGAATGAATAACCGACTCTAAATGTAGGTATTGTGATATAAACTGAGTCTGTTCCACAGTTTCTCATTAGGTTGAATGAATAACCGGCTCTAAATGTAGGTATTGTGATATAAACTGAGTCGTCCTATTAATCCTGTAGAACCACAGTGGCAAATCACATACCTTGTACTCGAGCTGCTGTGTGGGCTGGAGGCTCTGAGTGGGCATGAACGCTGGGATGTGCGTCATGGTGGGGGGCAGCGGGGGGAATGGAGGCTGAGGGACTGCCCGTACAAAACCAGGGGCCAACTTCTGCAGCTCCTCCTGCATCTCCGCCCTGAGAAACATACACAGACAGATCAATATCTATATGAATATACATGTATATATACATACATACATACGTACATACATACATTCACATGTATATATATATATATATATATATATATATATATATATATATATATATAATGATAGCAGCAACATGCAAGATGGTTAGCAACACCTTAGCAATCGCCTGGGACACCATAACATGGCCTAGCACCTTAGCAACCACCTGGGATACCATAGCATGGCCTAGCACCTTAGCAACCACCTTGGCCACCATAGCATGGCCTAGCAACACCTTAGCAACAACCTGGGACCCCATAGCATGGCCTAGCAACACCTTATCAACCACCTGGGACGCCATGGCATGGCCTATCCACACCTTAGCAACCACCTGGGACACCACAGCATGGCCTAGAAACAACTTAGCAACAACCTGGGACCCCATAGCATGGCCTAGCAACACCTTATCAACCACCTGGGACACCAAAGCACGGCTAGCAAAACCTTAGCAACCACCTGGGACGCCATAGCATGGCCTAGAAACACCTTAGGAACCACCTAACATAACAGTAACAGCCTGGCAATACTCTAGCAACCACCTGGAAGTCTACTGCAATGGCCTAGTAACATCTTAGAAACCACCTGAGATAACACAGCAACATCTTAGCAACTACCTTGGACACCACTGCACGGCCTAGCAACACCTCAGCAACCCCTTGAGATAACACAGCCACAGCCTGCCAACACCTAAGTAACCACCTTGAAATTATGCATAGTAACTGCCTACCGACCACCTGGGATTCTATGGCACTGGCCTAGCAACACCTTAGCAACCACCTGGGATACCATGTGATCAGCCTGGCAACACCGTAGCAAATCTGGGATTTCAAAGCAACAGTTTTGTCAAGACGAGGTAAAGTTCATTCAGACTTTCCCCTTCCAGTTGTTTTTTTCACCCGTGGGTCATTTTTTCCTTCCTGCGGTCGACGATCATTAACTTTAAGTGAACACTCGAACTTCAAAATCAGTCAGAACACACATCTCTCCCCTCACCAACACCCACTGACACCAATATTCCATCTCTATTTATGACGACGATTACTTTGTCACTTCCCCCTGCTGACACAGTACCTGGGGTCCGGCACTCCCACGGTGTGGCGTCTCATGGACAGATACCGCGCCATGGCTTCTGGACTCGGCTCCTCCCCTTCATCACTGTCCAGTGCCATCGTCCCGTCAGGCTAAACACAACACAACACAAACAGTTAGAGGAGAACGTTTCTGTTTGTTTCATCTGCAGCAGATCCCAGTTCAGTGAATACATGAGGGTGTGTTTATCGGGACTGTGTGTGTGCGTGTGTGTGTGTGTGTGTGTGTGTGTGTGTGTGTGTGTGTGTGTTTGTTTTCAAGAAGCAGCACAGAGCTATCATAACAAATGTGTGTGAAGAGTGTGTGGTAAGTTGCCTGTCCACCAAAAACAAACAAACAAAAAAAATTACACTCGTACAAAAACTTTTTTCTGTTCTTATTTAAGTTCAAAGACCCAACTATGCAATATTTTAATTTTCAAATAATCTGTCAATCTCTGCCCTGCATATTCAAATGTTCTACAGGAATAAGAAACGAACAAAACATGTTTCACTTTAATAACTGAATGGGAAAAGACTTTTATTCTTACTGTTTTATATTTTACTGTTGTTATTATTATTGTTATTATTATTATTATTATTACTGTAAATGGTATTACAAGCCATTATTTTATTATTATCAGTGTTAATAATAATAATAATAATAATAATAATAATAATAACAATAAGAAGAAGAAGAATATTATTATTATTAATTATTATGTTAGCCTGACAAACTTTCAAACTAGAACCATTAAACTGTGACAGACTGTACAGCCTTTACAGGAACAGCGTGTTTGTGTTTTCGGTATTAAGTGCACATTTGTTTGTCTTTCAAACACAATGTTTTTCCAGAGAAAATTAATGTTGGATTATTGTGACATCATCCGAGCTGGATTTGAATATTCTCAACATTCCAACATTAATTTCCTATGGGAAAACACTGTGTTTGAACGCCGAGAGGCGTCCTTTATGACATCATCTGAGCTAGATTTGAATATTCTCAACATTCCAACATTAATTTCCTATGGGAAAACACTGTGTCTGAACGCTGAGAGGCGTCCTTTGTGACATCATCCGAGCTGGATTTGAATATTCTCAACATTCTAACACAACCTCTCACAATGACCCTCAGAGTTAAATATAGAATTACATATATACTAGCACACCTATATTAGCAACCACCTGGGACACCACTGCAATGGCCTAGCAACACCTTAGCAACCACCATTATCATTATTATTATTATTATTATTATCATTGTTGCAGTTGGTACTATTACTAGCTGTTATTATTATTGTTATTATTGTTGTTATTATGCGTAATTACTAGCTATCACTACTATTATTTTTGTGTTATTATAGGTATTATTACAATTATAGGTGTTATTACCAGCAAGTTATAAGAAGTGTTTCAGCCTGGATTTTTAAAAAAGGAGCACAGCCAATCAAAACAGAGCTCATTTACATATCGGACTAAAAGGTACAGTAACAAAGACGGCCTGTTACTATATTATTACTATTTATTATTATTATTATTATTATTATTATTGTTGGTACTATTACTAGATGTCATTGTTATTATTATTATTATTATTATTATTGTGCATAATGACTAGGTATCATTACTATTATTATTTTTTATGTGTTATTATTAGCAATTATTATAGGTGTTACTACTAGCAAGTTATAAGAAGTGTTTCAGCCTGGATTTTTAAAAAACGGAGCACAGCCAATCAAAACAGAGCTCATTTACATATCGATCCCTAGATACAGTAACACAGACGGCCTGTTTAACTGTAAGGGATAAAGAGAGGCTGGAAAACAGTGATGATTTTGGTGAATAAAGCCACTCAGAGGGAAACCAAAGCAGAAGGAAACGCGGGATATGAGCCCTTTAATTCTGCTTTGGCTGAGGCAGCAACGCTGGCTGAATTAAGTGAATCATGTCTGAGCAGTAAAACACATGCTGCGGCAGATTGTCCGGCGCCGTGTTTACAGAGCGAGCGCCGAGGTCAGGACGAGCTCGCGGGAGAAAGTAAACTGTGGAGGATTTCTCTCTTTTCTCCTCCTCCCACCTGCAGCAGCGCCGAGCCGCCACTGCGCACCGTTACGCAACCACAGCTCTCCAGGCAGGAGGAGCGAGACGGTGAGCAGTGAGGAGCCTCGACCTGCGGAGGGGCGCAGCGCCAAGACGCCACCACACGGGGGCAGCGTGGAGACCCCGCTCTCAACTCACCTCCACAATCTGGTTCTCCGGATTTATGAGCTGAACGTGAGGAACCGTCATACTGACAGTGTTACCCTGATCCTGAGAGAGAGAGAGAGAGAGAGAGAGAGAAAGAGAGAAAGAGAGAGCGCGCGAGAGAGAGAGAGAGAGAGCGCGAGAGAGAGAGAGAGAGAGAGAATACAGAGAGAGAGAGAGGGAGAGAGAGAGAGAGAGAGAGAGAGAATACAGAGAGAGAGGGAGAGAGAGAGAGAGAGAGAGAGAGAGAATATAGATAGAGAGGGAGAGAGAGAGAGAATAGAGAGAGAGAGAGAGAGAGAGAGAATACAAAGAGAGAGAGAGAGAGAATACAAAGAGAGAGAGAGAGAGAGAGAGAGAGAGAGCAGAGAGAGCGAGAGAGAGTAAAGAGAGACAGAGAAAAAAGAGAGAACATGTGAGACCAAGTCTGACCAACTGACCTGATCTTTAACCCTTAAAAGTCCAGAATAATGAATAAGTTAATTACATACTAATTAACAGTGATATTCACATTCAACACCGACAGACTCGAGTCAGCGCTTCTGACTCTCAGTGACAGATAATCAATATAAAATGATCAATAGCGCTGACCACGACTTCTAAAGCTTAACTCCGCTGAGTAGCAGGTCAGTCAGACCTTACATGAAAACACAAACTTCTCTGACCACCACAGTGACCAACAGTCTACAGCCCACCAGCAGCGCTCGCCTGTACGCGGCTCTGCGCTGCATACAGATGTGGACACATCAAACGCTGCTTTGAAGACTCCGGAGTGGCTCCTTCATGCATATTCATTTAGAGCGACAAAACAGCGGGCAGAACATCAAACACTTCCCCCAAACAACAGGCTGCCGGGGCAACAGGAGCGCACCTGCACGGCGTTGAGGGGGTAGCCAATGGGGCGCGGGGTGGGCGGAGACACGCGGAGAGTCTTGTGCCTCTTCAGCCTGTCCAGCAGCAGACTGTAGATGGCGCTGTAGTGATCGTATGCGTCAGTGTGCAGCGACTAGAGAGAGAGAGAGAAAGAGATTATGTATATATATACACACCGGCCACTTTATTAGAAACACCTGCCTTGTACTTCCACTAACTGGCCACTTTATTGGAAACACCTATGTTGTACTTCCACTCACTGGCCACTTTATTGGAAACACCTATGTTGTACTTCCACTAACTGGCCACTTTATTGGAAACACCTATGTTGTACTTCCACTAACTGGCCACTTTATTGGAAACACCTACCCTGTACATCCACTCACTGGCCACTTTATTAGAAACACCCATATTATTCTTCAGATGGTGGTCCATTCTCAGCACAGCAGTGACCCTGACCTGGTCGTGTGTGTGTGGTGCTGGTACGAGCGTATCAGACACAGCAGTGTTGCTGAAGCTTTTACACTCGTCAGTGTCACTGCTGGGTCAAGAGTGGCCAAAGTATCCGGCCAAGACTGGCTCTGTGGTCAGAAGCTGACCACTGATGAAGACACAGAGAATTACACAAACTACATCCACAGATGAGCTGCAGTCTCTAACTGTACATCAGCAAGTAGCAGAAGTGGAGCTACAGGAGAGGGGTTTCTGATAAAGTGGCCAGTTTCTCAATGTAGCCCCGAATAACTGACAGCAGTAACTGAATAACCCGTTCAGTGTAATAAGAGTTCGGGGGTTAACTGGAGTGTGTTTGCGTCGTCACCTGTAAGGTGCGCTCTCGGTCCAGTCCCATCTCAGACATGGCCATCAGGACCTGCTCGTTGATCAGTTCGGTCTCCCTCTCCGTCTTCACCTGCTCACATTCCGCTATCAACTACAACAGACAGACAGCTCTGTTTACTGTGTTTGATACATAATATAATATATACACACACATACATAATACATATATACATTATATATATCTATATCTACGCATATATATATATATATATATATATATATATATATATATATATACACACACACACACATATACACATATTATACACACATATATATGTACACACACATACACATATACACACACTAACAAATACAAATCCGCAGATATATATACTTAGTACTTAAATATAAACAATGCATATGGACCAATCATTACATATAGGTACTTTCTGAACGTGTGTGTTCTTGTAGTGCTACACTTGTGAGGACCCTGTGTCCTCACTATGATAGGACTATATGAACATTTTGCTCAAGTGAGGACATTTTGCTGGTCCTCACCTGAGCATGTGTTGTTTTCACCACAATTACTTTTTTTATTGAAAACTAAAAGAGCAGAAAAACTGCCTTTTGGATACTGAGATTAAGGTTAGGGTTATGTTTAGGTTTAGGTGTAGTATTATTTAGCTACAGTAACACAAAAATCAATAGAAACCTAGGGACGTCCTCATATGTATAGCAAGACAAACATGTCTGTGTGTGTGTGTGTGTGTCTCACCCTTTCAAACTCGGGGTCCGGGTCTCCCTGCTTCATCCACTTGTTCTTGCAGATCTGCTCCATGGTCAGCCTGCGACTGGGGTCCAATACTAACATGTGCCTGATCAGATACTCACAGTCTGAAACACACAACCAATAATAAACATCAGCAAGTGGGAAAATGACAACTGATACAGACGTGCAGGAGGCCTGTCCTAACACACTGCTTAGGACTGCGGGGTCACTTAGCCTGTAACGGTGGACAAAGCACTTAAAGTAGAAGTGCTATATTTACAGTTAAAGCAACAAAGACTTCATTTTAAATTCGGTGATATTCTAACTACGGTTATGATAATAAAATATATTCATTTGATTAACAAATTCTACCACAATGTGTGTTTTAAAAACAGATCAACTTTCCTGTTTATTAAAAAGGTTTTTACTTAGTGCAGTTTCAGTGACTCCAGCACTGGGCTGCCCAAAGTTAAGCCATGAGGACGTTTGATTGGGCACTGGCCACTTTTTTGGAAACACCTACCCTGTACATCCACTCACTGGCCACTTTATTGGAAACACCTACCCTGTACTTCCACCAGCTGGCCACTTTATTGGAAACACCTACCCTGTACTTCCACTCACTGGCCACTTTATTGGAAACACCTACCTTGTACTTCCCCTCACTGGCCACTTTTTTTGGAAACACCTACCCTGTACTTCCACTCACTGGCCACTTTATTGGAAACACCTACCTTGTACTTCCCCTCACTGGCCACTTTATTGGAAACACCTACCCTGTACTTCCACTAACTGGACACTTTATTAGAAGCACCTACCCTGTACTTCCACTAACGGGCCACTTTATTGGAAACACCTACCTTGTACTTCCACTCACTGGCCACTTTATTGGAAACACCTACCCTGTACATCCACTCATTGGCCACTTTATTGGAAACACCTACCCTGTACTTCCACTCACTGGCCACTTTATTGGAAACACCTACCCTGTACTTCCACTCACTGGCCACTTTATTGGAAACACCTACCTTGTACTTCCCCTCACTGGCCACTTTTTTGGAAACACCTACCCTGTACTTCCACTCACTGGCCACTTTATTGGAAACACCTACCTTGTACTTCCCCTCACTGGCCACTTTATTGGAAACACCTACCTTGTACTTCCCCTCACTGGCCACTTTATTGGAAACACCTACCCTGTACTTCCCACTCACTGGCCACTTTATTGGAAACACCTACCCTGTACTTCCACTAACTGGACACTTTATTAGAAGCACCTACCCTGTACGTCCACTAACGGGCCACTTTTTTGGAAACACCTACCTTGTACTTCCCCTCACTGGCCACTTTATTGGAAACACCTACCCTGTACTTCCACTAACTGGACACTTTATTAGAAGCACCTACCCTGTACGTCCACTAACGGGCCACTTTTTTGGAAACACCAACCATGTGCTTCCACTCACTGGCCTCTTTATTGACCCTTTCCCCACCACCATATCCAATGAGAGAACAGTCATTTTTATACTATATATTTCAGCACTATATATAACTAGGTTTATAGTATTATAGTAATTAAATATAGTGTAATATTTAAAAAAAGGAAAAATTACAAATCTCCTAAAAGCGATCAAAGCCCCCCAACTATATTAATTTTGGGCTAAACATGAGGGGATTTTTTTGCTTCTTTATTTATGCTATATTACACCTCACTGTATCACATATCATTCATATACTAATATAAGCAGCATTACATTTATTTAAATACTTACACATGTATTTCTCTCTTACTGAAGTCTGCTAATAACGTTTATATGACTTTACGCTCTAATAACACAAACCCCTCTTCAGCCCTTAGAATCGAACAGGCTGCGCATATAAGACTGATATATGCAAATGACCTCTGTTCTGATAGGCTCTGTATAACTTCAGTGTGAGTGGGCGGGGCTAAACTGCTGAGCATGCAGATATATGTAGATGTGGTTGTTTTGTGTGACATCACAAAAAAATCCCCCAAAGTCAGGACAATTCAGTTTTCCATAATACGTGCCCTTTAAAACAAGCAGGATATTTGCTCTAGTTTTAAGGTTCTGTGCAAGAACCAAGGTTTTCTGGGATGTTTCAGTACTGATATGTAAATAGTACTTAAAGGGGAGTTTCATGTACTTTGTCACATCATGTAATATTCTGTGCGTCACTCAGCTCATCCCTTTAACAGAATTCACAGGTCTGTGAAACCGCCTGCCCTCATATAACTGCCCCAAAAACGCTTTCAATTTTTCAACAGGTCCTCCCACCTTCAAGATGCATCATCAGGAGGGGGTTTTCTTAGTCTTTAACTGGAAAGTCTTACTCTGGAGACTTCCCGGGCTCAGCTGTAGGAGGTGAGTGGGCATGTTTACAGCAGATGTAGCAATGGTTACAGTTCTCATTGAGCCCAGAGTGTCCCTTCATCCATCCATTATTTTCCATAACTCATTATATAGTATATTACATACTTCTGTTAATTCTTATTAAAGTAATAAATGAATTTATTAACCAGGCTCCACAAATACCACGAGTATGTGTTTCAGTGGTTGTTTTCGACTGTGTGTTGTGTACCTGTGGACATGAAGAAGGGAATCCGGAACTTCCCGCTGAGGACTCGCGCTCTGAGGTTCTGCAAAGTGCTGCCGTCGAACGGGAGAGCACCACACACCAGCACATACAACACCACACCTAAGCTCTACGGTCAACACGGAGAAAAGGAAAAGGTATGAGAGACAGAAATATGGGTCCACGCAAGGCATTAGGGCTGAAGTCCGGCTGTAAGTTGCTAAAAAGGAAGCCGTGATTGTAGCCCTGCCACTGAAACACAACTGTTAAATGGCTTTTAATGAGGTTCCAAAGGTGTTCAGTGGGGCTGAGGTCAGGACTCTGTGCAGGCCACTGGAGTTCCTCCACAAACTCTGACACAAAGCTGGAAGCAGATAACTGTGTGAAATGTCACCCTTCACTGGAACTAAAGGGCCTGAAAAACAGCCCCAGCTCATCATCCCTCCTCCACCAAACTTTACTGTTGGCACTGTGCATTCTGGTTGGTAATGTTCTCCTGGCGTCCATCAAACCCAGATTCATCCATCAAACTGACAGATAGTGAAGCTGATTCATCTCTCCAGAGAACACGTTTCCACTGCACCCGAGTCCAATGGCGGCGCTTTACACCCCTCCAGCCGACACTTGGCATTGCACATAGTGATCTTAGGCTTGTGTGCAGCTGCTCAGCCACGGAAACCCATTTCATGAAGCTCCTGACACACAGTTCCTGTGCTGATGTTGCTTCCAGAGGCAGTTTGGAACTCTTTAATGAGCAATTTAACAGATGCACTGTGAGTTTAGGTGGTCTACTGCTTTGTGTCTGAGCCGTTGTTGCTCCTAGACACGCAATAATACCACTTATGGTTGTCTAGGGCAGCTCTAGCAGGGAAGAAATTTCACGAGCTGACTTGTGGCAAAGGTGGCTTCATGTGTCAGTGCCGTGTTTAAAGTCACTAAACTCAAAAATGTATCAATACTGTATCACATTTGATCTGATGTCATTTATAATGTGTTTCAAACCGTAGACCTGACTCAAGAATTGAAACTGGTCATCTTACCCATATGTCCACTTTGGGCCCGTCGTACTCTTTGCCTTCGAACAGTTCTGGAGCTGCGTACGGAGGACTCCCGCACCAGGTCTTCAACAACTGACCCCGAGAGAACATATTACTAAAGCCAAAATCTACAGAACGAGAGAAACAACAGAAAGTAAGGTTAGTTTTGTACTTTGTGTTCTTTTCCAAGTTCCTTTTTTAAAGCTTCACATCTGAGAAGTTCATAACTTCATCTCACTCTCTCTGGTTCTCACCTGCGATTTTGATGTTGAGGTTGTGGTCCAGCAGCAAGTTCTCGGCCTTCAGGTCGCGGTGGACGATGTTTCTGCAGTGACAGAAATGCACAGCCGCCACAATCTGCTTAAACTTCCGCCGAGCGTCCTTCTCCGCCATCCGCCCGTGAGCCACCAGGTGGTCTAACACAGACACAGTGGGAAGAGTTTAAGGCACTGTAATGTCACTCGATTCAAGCCGACTCAATTTGATTCTTTAGGAAACAACTAAATGCATCATGAAATCTTTGATTCTTCAGAAAATGATCAGCATCATAAATCCGAAATATTACCAGTCGATTCAATCTGACTGTGATATAACATAACATCACAAATATCACCACAGACAGATTTAATTTGATTCTTTAGTAAACGATTTAGTGCATCATGAAATCTAAAGTATCCTGAGTCGATTCAATTTGATTCTTTGGGAAAGGATTCAGTGCAAATCTCATGATACCACCAGAATTCAATTTGCTTTGATATTTTAGGAAGTGATTCAGTGCATCATGAAATCCTCAATATCACTGGAGCTGAATCGACCGATATTTCAGATTTCATGGTGCACTGAATCATTTCTTAAAGAATCGAATCAAATTGATTCAACCCCTGGTGAAACTGAAGATTTCATGATGCCTTGAATTGTCTCCCAACGAATCAAACCAGATCGATTTAGTGCATCCTGAAATCTTCAATATCACCAAGAGACGAATCAATTTGATTTTACTCTTTAAGAAATAATTAAGTGCACCATGAAATCTGAAACATCAGTCGATTCAATGTGACTCTTAACGAACTGACTCAGTGTCATGTGAAATCTGAAATTTCACCATGAGTCAGTTTGATTTGATTCTTCGCGAAACAATTTAATGCGTCATAAAATCTCAAAAAACGATTCTGTAATAAATGATTCGGTGCTAATTTTACTATGAACCCACTCAATTTGATTCTTCAGGAAACAATTCAGTGAATCATGAAATTTCAAGTCTCACCATGAGTTGATTCAATTTGATTTTTAGGAAAAGATTCAGTGCATCAAAAAATCTGAAGAATCACCACGAGTCAATTCGATTAGAACCTCAAACTTCATAACGATTACATAAGAAACGATTCAGTTCATGAAATTCTTAAATAAAAGTAAAGATGTTTTTAGAAAAGCATGAATAATTAGCCAGCTGTCCCTTTGATCCCCATCAGCTGCACTTATACGTAAGATAATGTAACATATGTACTTCACAGCGATAACTCTACACTCCTCTAAGGGTTAAAGCTGGAGCGCAGAGTGAAAGAAAGAAAGAGGTGATTGTGGGAAGAAAACAATGGAGAAAATCTGTTATGTCAGTGGATGAGGAACATCTACTAAATATAGCCTTACCGAAGATTTCTCCACCGCTGGCGTACTCCGTTACTAAATATATCATCCGTTCTGTTTCCATCACCTGGAATATGAACACACACAAAATCAGGGCTGCGCTCGGCATGTTTGGCTAATAATGTTACTGCCTGTCAGTATCAGCCCCCCAAAAATGACTGACAGGGAGGCTGGACCAATGAGCAGTGAGATATAAGGGGTGGGGGCGTGACCTGGTAGAGGCGAATGATGTGAGGGTGCCGCAACATCTTCATTATCTGAACCTCCCTGAAGATCTTCTTCAGGTTCTCGTCGTCCAGCTGCGTCTTGTCCACGATCTTAATCGCCACCTGGGAGAGCGAGAGAGAGAGCGAGAGAGAGAGAGAGAGGAGAGAGTTAATGTCATTTAAAAAAAGCCATTTTCCATCTACAGAATTGGCCCAAGAACACCTAGAACTTGAAAGCTCTTCAGAAAAAAAGCAGTTATTCGAGTGTGGGCGTGTCCATAGCACAAGCCCCGCCCACTCAACTCTAATACGCTCTTCTACTGTCTCACATTTCATCAATTCTTCCCCTCAAATCTTTGTTTTTTTCCATACTGTATAAAATCATTAATCCATAGCTAAAACAGCAGTAAATGGTAAAGGGAAATTCCACCCATTTTTCAAAATTTCCACATTGAGCAGTTAAGACGTAAACAGAGTGGTTCAGAGTGGTTTGGTGTGAAACACACTGTTCTAGATAAACTTACCGAGTCAGAACGGTTCACAGTGGTGGTGATAGGGACCAGACGTCCACCTCTAAAAGCTCCCTCACAGAAAGTTACTACATGAAATGGTTATGAATTCACTGCCTGATGTCTGAGACACTGTTCCATGAATATTCTGGCCTAAAACAGTTTCAAGGCAAAATAGTCCTTAAAGAAAACTTACTATTTCAGATTTTCCACTATTTTCCATCATCAACATTCCATATAAACTCAGAAGACTCGTGTAGGTTCACTGGTGGTTCTGGATAGTAAATAAAATGTCTATATTTGTGTTGTAGTCATGGCGACCCCTGGTTCCTATCACCACCACTGTAAAGACATCTGAACCATTTCACACCAAACCACTCTGAATCTCTTTGATTGTAGAAATGTTGAAAAATTAATGGAATTCCTGTTTGAACCTTCAACCTTTTGTCTATTTGTCCATTCGTTCCATTTCTTGGTAGCTGTGCATCAAAGTGCACAGGAAATGATGCAAACTTGACACCAAGCATGTAGAACTACTCCCTCAACCTAAAGCGAGCACTGGATCTGGAATCAAGGCTGACCGTACCACAGTCCGACAAACAGACCCATCCCAACCACAGTATCCAACCTCAGCTCACAGCCAAGGGCCACACTATTCAACACCCAACACTCAGAGTCATTTCATACCTCTAAAGACACAGCAAAACAACTACAAACGCTCTCCAGTGTGGTGACCTCACTGTTCATAAATACTGTTTTTCATAATCTTACACTGTATTTAAATGCTGGTCTACCGTCTTGCGCCTCGTTAATGGCCACTATTTGATCTTTAAAGCGTTCTGAATGCATTCTACAGTTTCTAATAGTGCAAATTTTGTTTGAACTTCTGTTTTTCATCATACGTTAACAGACACTACAAGCATTCAGCGTATAACATCAGCATAACATCTGGCTTATTCTACCGCTGCAGCCGCCAGCGCAAGTTGGACAAGTAGGGCTCTTGGCGAAACAGTCACTGCGGTCAGCAGAAGGTCAACACCAGCTTTGACCGGATTTTTAAAAATAAGGAAATATCTGGTTTGCTGCTGACCGTCTACCGCCAATGTGGGGGCAGGCGAATATCCCGATACTAGGGCTGCTCGATTATGGCAAAAATCATAATCACAATTATCGTGGTCAAGATTGAGATCATGATATGTTCTCAATACTGACAAACATCATGATTTTACTGACCTTTTAGAAAACTTATATTTTTAACAGTGGATTTCCTTCAATTTTAAATATAATTCAACTGAAAAACATAAATAAATAAGGAAAAGGGATAGGCTGGATTTACAGCACAAAACATTGCTGTGAAACTGAACGCGGCACAATAATCGCTTTATCTTGACTGTCGTTTTCATAATCGCTGGAACCCAAAATCGAAAATACAATTCGATCAATCGTCCAACCCTACCTGGTACTTTTTCATGATGCACAACACGTATCACGATATTCTGACAGAGACTAAATGCTCAAAACTCAGACTCAAAACTCTGAGCACAACAATCTCCATTCAGCGTTTCACACACTGCACTGCTATGAATCCAATTAAACCAGCCCAATTATGCTCTCTATATCTCTCGTAATGAAACAGTAAAGTGCTCGGACACACAATATGCTCAGAAAAGTGTATCGTTGATCATGATACCAAAATTTAACCACAATAACCATAAAATCTCATCATATCGCCCGACTTTAAAACACAGCATAAGACGTTACAAGCTAGCGACTTTAAATCTGAGCCCAAAACTACATACAAAGTGAAGGTGATTCCAAGGAAAGGATTAATTCCAAATATAAACTCTTTAATTGTAAAATACTTCATGCTAATTGGCACCTTCGACAGCTGCACTGAAGTAAAGAGAAGCTGCTTTGAACAATGTAAAATAGAAGGTAGTTTAATCTTCACCGTTATTACTAAAATACGGTAAATACTTAAAATAGTGAAAAAGCCTGTGAGAGGGTGTGTCCGAACTTTCGACTGGTACTGTATGTATGCACAGTAGTACGCAAGTTTGGGCGAATAACACGTATTTACGGTTGATTTTAAAAGTGGAAATAAGTTTACAAATTCTCTACAAAGAACATACACTTGCATATTTAAACGCACAATTACTGTTTATTTACTATAATTTAATATACTGAAAAAACAAATAAAACACATATACTGGCCTGTGAAACACATAAAATATGCCATAACGTCATGTTTTATTTGTCTTCCTCAAATATTCATAGAAATTATGCACTAAAACTTGCAGGAAAACGTCATATGTAAGTGTGTTCTCTGTAGATGATGTGTTTCTATTTAATTTCAATTGGAAAATCAACAAAACAAGTCATCTGACCAATGGGAGCTGAAACTTTTGCATGCGACTAAAAGGATATATGTACAGTTTTAGGTACCTGAGAAAAAATGACAATTAAAATGCTGTTTGTTTGGGCAGTAAGTGGTCATTTGCACAGAAAAACACTAATTTCGCATAATATTTAGTATTGATTGTCAAAAGTGATTTTATGCATGTCAATATGTTTGTTTAGCCATTTCCAAACATCTCCTCATGCCAGACAAGTATGTACTGTAGTTGTCATCCAGAACCTGGTTTGACTGATTAAAAATGCAATTTTATAATTTTATATTTTTACAATTTCTTTTCCTTATATTTTAAATTCAGAAAATAAATGGATTAAAATTGTGTATAAATGTCATATTTAAGTTTGTTCCATGTAGACATTTTGTTAACTTCTTTTTGCTTATAAGTCAAAAGAACTTATTGTGCCATCCTGCCGCCATCCGTGACTGGAAGTCCAGGAGTTCAGAGTTGTTATCCTGTCTCTACGTGGCTCGGATGATTCTACCCACCAAAGAGCTCAGGTTTTGTTTCAACTGTCCACAGCATCTGATTTCAAAATGCCTCGGCTTATCTAAGTGTTGTGTTGCATACTTTAGATGTTGACTTTTGGTTTGACATCACAGTTAAGGTCAAGTTCTGATGACCCTGCCATGTAGATGTTTGTGCAACAACCCTGAACAGTGGGTCACTGCATCACTACTGCTGTGCCGTCCATATCTTACAATATGTCCTTGGCAGTGATGTGGGGGTTTTGCTTTGCACAACTGACCAGTTCCGTAAACTTCCCTTTCTAAACAGTAAAATGACCGCAGCCATCCACGGCCGGGAGTCCAAGAGATCAAATTGTCCCCCCTCGGCCCACCATCACTCAGCATGATGTTAGCCATTAGTTAGCTAATGTAACAGAATTAGCAGCTAGCGCTCTCCTCCAAGCGTGTTGGACTCCAGTGACGTTGCGTTAGCAGCAGTTTGCAAAGATGTGGTGGAGATTCGCGTGTCTTGGGGGAAGCATGTTAGCCTTCACTCTACCAGCTTGGTAGCATCATGTGATCAGAGGAGACCTAGTTAGCGGGGCGAGTTGTCCATGACTAACACTGGGGAGAAAATTGGGTAAAAATGAAGCTCTAAAAAAAGAAATTCTTTTTACATATTTTTATATTTATTTGCATTTATTCTAAAGTTAAATTCACTGTTGAGAATAGTTTTAAATAGGGACGGGCAATATGACCATATATATCGTTATCGTGATATATTATGTCAATACACTATGCTTTTCTGAATAAGCCATGTATACGGTCAGCAGTTACAAAACCGACCAACTGCTGACCAAATGTTTTATTATAAAGAGAGAAAATTTAGTCCCATTGAACTGGATTTAGTGCAACACAACATGACAAATACTGAATAAAAATCACTATGTTCAATTTTTGATATTTTTTTTTATGTAGCACTACTGGCTCTTTTTACTCTCTTCCAACTGATCAGATGTCTGAAAAAATGAATATCGTGTATCATGAAAATCTCATGAAGTATTGCAATATTATATTTCTGCCAGATCGCCCACCTCTAGTTATAAACTCCACGGCTAGGTGCCTAAGATTTCTGCACAGAACTTTATGTACGTTTTTATGTACTGGTAGGACTGCAAATGTTACGTAAGTGCTGGGAAAGAGAATAAAGGATTGGTGGAAGTGAGCTGTTCGGATGAAGCCGGAAAAAACACATTTATCCCCCCCTTATACACTACAGATCATTAAGAGATTGAAGCGAGATAAAGACAGAAAGGGCCTGTGAGGGTTTGTGTGTTAAAGAGTCTGTTTGTTCACACAAACAGTGATCTTTGTAGAGGCAGGAGGAGGGATATGTTTTGGTTAAAGGGGTGGATAATATGGTAAAAACACACAAGATACATGAGACAGTTGCACAAATTTGGGCAAAATTACACATTTTGTTTGAAAAAATGTCAACATCAATTCTGTATGGAACCTGAATATGACCTATGGCTGAAATTTATAATGCACAATTATTATTTATCTGCTGAATTTAATATATTGGAGGGGAAAAAAATGTAGTATGTGCATAAGTTTGAGCACCTTTTAGTCAGTATTCAGTAAGACTCCCTTTGGTTTAACGTTTCTTGCAGCCAGTCTTTCCTTTCCTGATTTAAGAATTTTTTTCCACTTTTCCCTGAAATAAACTTCTAGAAATGTTTATTGGTTTT